AATTTGTGAATTTCTTGACCCTGGGGTCTCATGTTTCCCCCTGGGGAGGGGGTAAACTTTACTATAGTTTATATAGGGAAATCACATTTTGGACCAACATTTGTTTAATTTCCATTGGAAGTTATTCAATTTGGGTTAGCAGTATCAGTATTAGGTAGCAGTTTGATAATAAGCACATATCAACCCTGACTGACCCCCAGGGGCTGATCATGGTGGGGCCAAAAAGGGTCGAATTTACTGAAATTTCAAATCTTCTTCTCAAGACCCAGATATGATAGGATCAAATACTCTTCATAGATGGAAGGGTCTTAAGGTTTATGACCCTAGGGTCTCCCGTTTCCCCCCTGGGGAAGGGGGGGGGGGGGGGGGGGGCAAAATTTAATATGGTTTATAATGGCAAATGATACTTTGAATAGTACATGTTAATAACTTGATTGGAATTATAACCTTGAGTTGACAGTTTGATACTTTGAAAATTTTGAGCCAGCCTTACCCCCAAGGGCTGTAGTGTAGGGCTCAAAGGAGTCAGTGTGCTAAAATTTCTTCAATTTCCTTGTTTAGAATCAGAGGTGCTAGTTTCCAATACTATTTGGTCTTAAATCTGTATGCTAGATATTGAATAAGGTGGTTTTATTGTTTTTTGTCACTTTGAAAAATATTTCTGTTCATGTTAAAAACAAAATCAACTCTCTGTATAAATATATCAGGTGACCGTTAAGGCCCATGGGCCTCTTGTTGTGATATCTGTTGCGTATTTCAGAAGATTTCATAAAGAAATCAATATTGCATGAACATATAGATAAAAGTTAGTTCTATCTCATGAAATATTGGAATAAATACTTGTAATTCATTTTTTTAAGGATGAGTATACCACTGTATGGCTTTGTTTCTCCAAAATCACAGAGATCATTGTGATATTGGTCAATTTAAGTTTAGTCTGTCATTTTCCACTTATAAATGAGATACATTGTAATGGTGTACAACTTTGTTGCCATGGGTTACAAAGAACCAACAGAAAAAGATACATTTCATGGTATATTGTAATACTAAATGGATATATCTACCACACTTTATGACAGTTCAAACACAAATAATTAACATGGTATAATATTGCACTAAATGGATTGCACTTTCAAATGAAAATATATCAATCAACTGTATTGCATTTTTACATCCAATTTACAAGGATCGAGCTGCAAACATCAAACAAACATTGATACTATATAATGGACAGCAAAATCTACATACTTATGCATTTTGCAAGCCTGCCTTCCTCAGTTCAAATGTCTTTAATAAAGAGGCTTTTTTCCTGCAAAAGCTGTGGGTCATTAGATGACAATAATAATATTAAATTTTGTAGATCAGGCAATGATGGGTTAATTTAATTTTTTTGGAGAAACGTAGTCCTGATATTTAAATTTATTTTGCATTTAGATATAAAATAGGTCCTTTGCATATTGACTTGTTTGAAAAATATTACACCAAAATTAATATTAGTTACCCAGCAATATTATATTGCTCAACATAGGAAAAGGGATATAATTCAAATTCACTAATCTGTCAGGTACCAACTGTGCTACCTACACATCAACTGAGTATACATATAATAAGATATACTGATTAACAAGTATCCTATCCTGTTCACATGAACCTGTCCTTGAAACATAAGGGATTTACAATTAGTTGTTATATACAATGTATTGCTAATCTGGAATAAATGAAGTAAGCAAAGACGAAATTCAAAAATGATTTGACAACTGGTATAGGGGATTTGGCATAACAAAGAGAGTAATCAACCTCCATTTTTCATTAAAAACAAAATGTGTTAAATTGGTCTGTTGTGCGCTATTAACTTCGAAAATTGTCCGTTTTTGAAACAATTTAACTAAACTCTCTTCAATTTTTTTGAAAACTTCAGCATGCATCATCCAAAAGAATATTTGGTATGCTTAAACATTGTCATACCCGAGTGGTCATTCGTAGAAAGGAATTGTTGGTTGATGCATGCAGAGGCTTTCATTTTTGCAGGCTAACTATCCAAAACACCAAAGTTTGGCAAGTGGAACTGTGTTGCTATGGTGGGACATCTACACGTGCACCAGGAAAGATAACACCAATAAATCAATATGATATTTCAAATGAAATTGGTAAAGAAACTCAAGTTGAAATTTTTTAAATTTTTATGAGGCCAAAAATGACCCCTAGCACCACACTAGTCCTTTACCTTGCCTTTAATTTCAATGTAACCAAACAAGAATCTTTTAACATTTTAATGACATTATAATTTGTCAGACTTTTGCTTTTAACAGCATAATATTTTCACAGTCAAGTATTAACCAGTTTATTTTACCAACTTTGGCAAGGGGAATGGGGTGGGGCAGATGGGTAAGGGATGTAGTGGCTTTGTCACCGTTTCTCCATCCATAGAACAAAGCTCGCATACAGATATCTCACAAACTACTTCAACAGAAGTAGTTTTATATTTGCACAATAGTATTGTAACATTGAGTTATACACCTGCTTACATTTTGGTGGTCATGATTGGTCAAGGTTAAAGATCAATGGTCACATGATGTACAGTACTTGACCACTTTTGAAATAAAAAGTGTAGGTACATGATACTTAGAAACATTTTACAGATTTATTTAACATGAACACATCATTTTTGTGATTCTACACTTGATTATATTTTGGTTGACATTTTTCAAGTTAATTAAGAGTCAAAAGATCAAACTTGACAAGTCTCAAAGTAAGCATTTTAGGTATCTCATGAACCTTTGAACAGATTTAGTTTATATTTACACCAAGGTAACAAGACTAAAGGGTCAAAGGTTACACTTGACCATTTGCACTTGCAGGGATGGGGGTATATACACCAAAACTCAGGGATATGTAGACCATAGGTGTTTTAATATATCAACATTTAAAGAGTGAATTGTTATCTATCACAAATTTATGTATCGACATTTTATATGGTATTAAAACATTTGTGTTGATACAGTTATGATAGACATAGTAATCAAGACATTTTACCTATTGGTAATATCTATGATGTAAAGTTCTACCAGACATACTAGCTACAAGCTACATTATATATGAGTCAAATCACAACCAGTAATACTGAAGTATCCAATGAAATTTGCCGTTTATAGAAATAAAATGACACATTTACATTTACTTTACTATATCAGTTTTATAGAATCATTTGTGCTGTGTAAAAATATAGAACTTAAATGTATGTTAACATTTATAGATCTACATATACATGTACTCATCCTTAAGCAGATAGAATTATTACTTTTGAATTTATTTATTGATAAATATTTCTTATTATGTTAAAATGTATTAACTTTTTTTCTGAAAAAAATATCTGTTATTTAGAATATCACAGAGAACACATTCTGATATGATGATATATCCTTTACTACTTGACAGCAATCCATGCCATCGGAAAATGGTGGTGGAGACTTGATCGGCTACACTATGTGGACAGCAGGTAGGTATCTAACAATATCACGATCACTTAAATTATGTTCAAATTTATTCAACCCTTTAATTCACTTCTGACTTACCTAGAGGTCTACGGTCACACTATTTGGCACTTAGCTCTATGGAGTAAAGCAGGCTTGCAATTAAAAGAAGGGTTACTGGCCCAAAGGTCCAGTTGAAGTAAAAATTCACTGGTCTTGTTTGATATTCACGTGTCCAGAAATAAGGTTTGGAGGACCGAGCCAGCACCAAAGGCACTCAATGCTGGAGGGTCCGGGGGATACCCCCAGGGGAAATTTTGAAATCTAGAATCTCTGGTGCATTCTTGGCTTAAAAGAAAGCCGGCAGGATAGCTTGTTAAAAAACCTACTGATCTGCCAGGAAAACCACTGGCCATGGGCCACCAGGCCCAGCAGTTTATTCGACCCCTGATAAAGTTATATAGGAAGTGTGGAATATAAATGGATGACCTAGATCAACCAACTTTGAATGTTCTATGTAAAACATACAAACTTTAAAGTAATAAAGTCATCCAGCGAACCCAAAATGAGTAGAGTAATGCTATTCCGTCTTTTAGTATTGCAGAGTTATCTGCTCTTGTTAGCAGGTATTGATTGTTACGTCATTTATTTATGAGAGTAACGTCATCAATTTTTGAGAAAAGAATGTAATTTTCTCACACAAACCAATGCCATAACAATCAATACCTGCTCACAAGAGAAGATAACTCTGCAATACGCAAAGACCGAATTAGTCTATATATAACATTGTTTAACAACGTTAAATGACATTGACCAAAACTTGAAGGTCACTTATAGAAATTGAATGACAGGTGACGGGTACAGGCCCATTGGGCCTCTTGTTAAATATGTGATTGATGCCTAATGCATCTTGACACTATAATACATGTATATTAAATGATTGAAATAAATTGAAAACAGATTAATACTTTAAGATGAATACATGTTTGATATTAAAGAATTTGTATTTTGTCTTTCTTTCTTGTTGGGAGCACAAGTTTCAAAGAATTTAAGTGAATGCAACATGGAAGGAACTACAAGTGAACAAGCATCACAAACTCTTGTCATTCCTCTTGGTCAGATTTCCTTGTATTGTTAGGCAAGTTTTGAAGTGCATCCATTAGTTCCTATGATTTTTTTGTCTATTAACATCAGTTCACGTATTTGTAGGACTTTGCTTGCTGACTCTTGCCCTGTTCCTGTCTGCTGGCATGGGCCTTTTCCAGGAGACTGTGTATACCAAGTATGGCAAGCATCCTCGGGAGGCACTCTTCTTCAACGTAAGTACAGACTAACAATCTTTTTATTTAATGGAAGTTTGTCTCATTGGTCTAAGAATTGATTTTCATTGCAAGTATTTTACTCAGGTCTTGGTATTAATTCTTTTCAGTGTGAATATGCACCATAAGTTTGGGTAGTAATCTTCTTAAATTTGGTATGTAACACTTGACCAAAATCAGTACCATACTGATTCATTGGTGTGCTAGGACTCTATGGCGGTCCATCAGGTACTTGTGTTCACTGTTAACTTGTGTCCAACTCAGTGTCTACAATTGTTCAGTCAGGTTAATGATGTCACAACAGTTGTACAAAATACAAATGATATATTAAACAATTATGTATTAATGGTGATTGTCTTATGCCTAGACTATACAATTTATTACAATATTGATGTGATATTCAATCATTACATTATGACAATTGATGTACTCATGTTATATAAGCTAGATGCTGAGCGTGATTGTATTATGCATGTTGTATATTTGTATAATGTTTTGTGATGACTTTGAAGTGTGAAGAAAATCCATAAAAAAATGAAATTTAAAACAAATTAGTATCATAAAAAAAAATGTTCACACCATGATGAGTTAGTGCATCAACTCTTTTGAGGAAAGTTTCTGTTGATTTTGAAATCAATAAAAACTCAAGTGTTACAATTAAAACTATGATATTATCGCTATGGATAATATCATAGTTTTAACATTATTACATTAATTTTGAGGTTAATTTTAAATAAACTGCTTAGTTTGTAATATCATATTGTACCAATTACTTACTAGAATGTCTGCAGGAGTCATAAAATACTTTAGTACAATAGAGTGATGCTGGTTTGTATGCCCCATCATGAAGTGTTGCAGGGTTCTGGTCCGTTTGTCCATCAGTCAGGCCATAATTATAGACAAAATATTGCAGCTAGAGTCACACAACTTCAATGCTTTTGCATCTTATTGAGTAGAAGATGTTGCACTCTTCTTTTGTGACCTTGAGCTTTGTGACGTGCTTTTGACAATAGGTATGGGAGTGGGGCACCTGTCTCTGACAGACACATTTCTCATGATTTCATGCTTTTATGAATGCACTGCTTTGTAGAAAACACATAATATTAGAGATTAATTTCTAACCAGGATTTGTTTGTGATGTTTTTTGGCGACAGTGGCTGAGGAATTGTTGTACCATGTTTTGGTAATTGACTTTATTTCTTTACTCAGCATGCTCTTCCCCTGCCAGGTTTCCTGCTACTGATGAATGACATACAAGACCATGCCACACTCTTCAGTCAAACAGGTGAGACCCCAGTATAGAATTGTAGGTAGGGTTTGCTAACAAGATATTTGGCATATTTGCATTAGAAATTACAGTGGCAGTTGTCCAATAAATGTATAACTGGAGAAACTGAGCGAGCTCACAATGATATACCCCCTACTTCATTTTACCTAAGTATTCCAACTTTGTTTGCAGGAGGTATAATACTCTAATCACCAATCCATTCCTTCCTACACTCATTCACCCCTGAGATTTCATAATGAACTATTACAACCTTTGAATCGGAAGAGTTCAAATGAGTCTTCAGGGGTGAATGAGTTGAGGATGAGTTGTGCTTACAAGGTTTTTGGAGTAGAAATTTTCTGTTCACTGCATTCAAAGCTACAGATTTTGTGTTCAGATGCAGATGATGTGACAGTAGTATATAATAGGTTGTTATCTACAGATTTTGTACATGTATACACACAGTTATTAACACACTTACATATTTTATAAAAAGTTTGTAAGCAAATACTTCAAAAAATGGCAGAAAATGGTAGAATTGCTTTGAATAGTCCATTCAAAATGGTGCAAATTTGTTGTCAAATGCGACGTCAGGACCTTGTGTCAAATACTATGCTACTAATTCCTGTCCTTATATTATTTGACAATTTTTTATTGTTTTGCCTTTGACAATTGTAGTAAATAGAAATTGTAATGGCTTCCCCATTGAGTACCATATATATATATATTGCACTTGTATGGCAGAATGTACTGATATTTTCACCTGTCAAAATATATTAGTATTCTACCTTATTGTGAAATATATATGGTATTCAATGGAAGCTACCAAATATCCTCTTTGTACCTAACATATGATGACAAAAACTGATAACACGTTTCCTAAAAAAACGAAACATTTTTACTTTACATTCACATTAGACTACAATGTCACAGGAGGCACGGTAGTCTAGTATGTAAAATTTGTCCAAACCTTTTCTACCAATATTTATGAATCTTAATGCACATGATCAGTACCTAAAGTATATGTTTATTTCTAATTTCAACTATTTTTGAAAGAGTTATGGCCATTTTCTGATTTGTTTTTACAGTGGGAGTTGGGGTATTATATCAGCCTGTGTGTAAACATATCAAGTTTTTTCTGTGATCCTATCATGGTTTACTGAGATATTGAAACAAGTGTTACCTCTATTATCCCATTCTGACTGAGATCAGTTCACTTAGCACTTTCTGTCACCATATATAAAGCACTAAATTGACTCTTTGTCTCCACAGAACCCTTGGAGCTGTTTTCTGGTATTGCTGTTCCCCGCATGTCACCATAAAGCACTAAATTGACTCTTTGTCTCCACAGAGCCCTTGGAGCTGTTGTCTGGTATTGCTGTTCCCCGCATGTCACCATAAAGCACTAAATCGACTCTCTTTGTTTCTACAGAACCCTTGGAGCTGTTGTCGGGTATTGCTGTTCCCCGCATGTGACTCACCATAAAGCACTAAATCGACTCTCTTTGTCTCCACAGAACCCTTGGAGCTGTTGTCGGGTATTGCTGTTCCCCGCATGTGGTTTTTCCTGGCTGCTAATGTTTTAACACAGTATCCTTTCCGCTAGCTCAAATTCCAAAATTTAAAATGTATACAGATATGGCATACATACCACAAATATCTGGTCACTCTAACATAACACTGTTAATGAGTTTGATTATGTAATTAAAGGTCATTGTATCAGACTCAAAGATTAACAACCTGTATCAAGTGGATTTCACAGTACATTCATCATATGTTCTTAATGTATATGAAACATATAACATTGACTGTCTACTTCAAGCACCTGTCTATTAACTAATTTCATAATGAACTATTCCAACCATTGAGTTAGAAGAGTTCAAATGTGTCTTCAGGGGTGAATGAGTTAACATTATATACCTCTGTATATTATTCCTCTAATTCAAGCACCTGTCTATCAAACATGAAACACTATTTTCTAGACTAAGCACTCCTGATAACGTTCTGTTGGTGAAATTTGAACACTTTTATATATGATTTGTGCCTTGACCAGTATACATTGCTTGAAGATACAGATATTCTAAGTAATGTGTAAAATTATTGTTCCTTAACTACACAGATATGTATGCATCCGGTCAGTATTTGTCCTGACAACAGAGTGTAAAGCTTTGACCGTCACACTGGTGGTAACACTACGCAAGTTTGTTAGCCTCATGTTCTCTATATGGTACTTTGAGAACGAGTTCACACCGACTCACTGGATGGGGTCCATGTGTGTATTCGTAGGAACGCTCATGTTCACAGAGATCATCCCACTGCCGGCCGTCCTGGCAGGACAGCCTCTCTCTGAGGAAGACAAGAAGAAATAATGCTCAGCGATCTCAGGATTTTTTATTTTGTCTAGTTGGAATTATTAAACTGCTTTTAGTTTGCATTTGAAAGGAATTTAAATGCCACCTGGATTACAGAAAAACAGCCAGAAGCATGTTATTGCTTACATAGTTTGTCCATGTAATTCCTAATAAATGCCAGCTGAAAGCAGTGAACTATTTATATTTAAGTTCAACCTTTAACCCTTGGGATGTTACAGTCGTATCTCGAGGTTGATTGTCTGATCAGCTGACAGGTCTCGGGTATTTGACATTATGCAGTAGTTCTTTATTTAGCATCAATACAATCAATATTTAAATTACATCTTATTTAAAGTTCATAAATGTTTTCAGGATTTTCTAACATTCATCTAAAATTATCTCAAAATGTTTTGCTAAGTTATATCTGCAAGAATGGTTTATGAATAATTATATCTTTGTTGAGAGTTAGTCTGCCGGTACTTCTATTTCAAAGTCATATTTATATAGATTTGTTTATAATATATATATGATGACTTTCCACCCAAAGATTTTTAAAATACCTCATTGAAATTGAAATTTCAGGCATTTTCATATAATATTTTGATAGAAATATTTGTAACTCAGTATGTACACACTTCAGGATCAATTTATTTTATCAATATAGGGCATTCCTGTTGAAGAAATGTGTCAAATCAGGTAGAGTAAAGAGGAAACATATAAATCCTAAATCTTCTTTATGAAAGAGGAGATTTTGAGCTAATATGTAATGAATCATCACTGGGTCAAAGGAATTCAATGGTATATAAATGGTGTGTTTTCCCCAACCTCCTATCCCTATCCAGCGCATATTAACAACTTTTAATTTCCCTTCATCTTAAAGACTTATAGAATAAGTAAGCTAAGGGGATCCAAAAGGTTTCTTTTAATTGGTGATATACCAATGTGGTATAATTCCATAATGTCTAAAAAGGTTATATTTGATACAAATTTATACAAAATTGATCTATTAATGTCATTGTATTATCATTTTAGCTGTGGAAAAGTCTTGGATATGGTAATTTGTTCATGTTTTTTTTTACAATGTTCATGTCATTCAATGATCCTCAAATTGGATCATTATAAGGGGCTAACATTTCTATAATTATACATAGAAAAAGACATAAATAGCTGTTGATCATCAACTTAAGGGCAATACCAATACATGTCAGTCACTGTTTGTATCCCAGAAATTTGTTCGTCAGCTGTCCATGTCATATTCCTTGTTTTCCAAATACCTTTGGACCTATATTAATAAGGTGAAATGCTCTAAAGGCTATTTCTGTCATAGTTTGGCTGAAGTGACATTTTTAATCTCTTTTCATTATCAATATGCAGGAAACCTCTCCAAGTGAAGGTATGGTTCTTTTAGTTAAAAACACTGAGTCAACAACTACTTAACTCTTATGCCAGTAACTATGAAACTTTCATACATATCAAAATTACAATCTCATATTGTAATCCTTATTAGTGAGTCAGGAGGGTTTGAGCTGATCACAGTTGAAAGCTCAGCTGATGCTGCTGAGGCCTCCACATCCCTCCTGAAATTATCAAATCTAACTCTATAAGTAGACTTGCATCCCGCTCCCTTGGTGTTCGGTACTTGTATTTGTTTCAGGTCTAGTTGTGATGTAATGACAATCAAATGATGATACTGTGTGCGATTTGTTTTAGACTGAACTAATTCTGCATCAAAACAGCCTTTAAAATTGTTTTTGGTTAATAATGTATCAACTCCACATATATACACTTGGTGTTCATGTATTATGCACGCCTTTCGTCTGATTATTCATTCCTATAATGAGGATTTTATTTAATTTAATTCATTTTACTTCAATTCTTTATGCACCTAGGTAACTAAACTATCTTGACATTACTTCATATGAAACCTTCATTATTTTTAAGTTATTTTTTTATGAAGTTTTGAAACTTAAATGATAACATTTTGCTATGACTGCAGCTTGTACACTTTGTAGTTATAAATTGCATGTGTTTTATTCACTTGTTAAGTATACATTACAAATGTATTTCAGCTTTGGTTATCCTCCAGTTAAACTTTATATTGACTAAAGTTCCCCATACTTTTGACTGTTATACATATACTTTCGTAAATGATGTTTGACTTTCTAAAATCAATTGTTATGTTAAAGCTGGTAGGGTACTTATAATAGCAAGACTTATTTTAAACAAATCAGCTCTCTTTTACGAATGAGAGATAATAACTTTTAATTCTCAACTTTGGAAATAAGAGAAAAAGTATAACTGATCCTTTGGTTGAAGGATGGACGAATTTCAACTCCATGGGTAAGGTTCGTACCTGTCAATCTGTGATCGGCCAGTTCACTGCTAAGATATGTATTTTTTACCAGTGTAAGCATACACTTTTCATTTTTGTTTCAGATTTTTCTTTTGATTCTTTTGTTTGCCTAATAAACAGATTTGTTTTCATATGTTTATTGTTAATTAACTACTTTGTTTGTTGGTCTAATCCAAGCAAGATTTCCAAGAAAGTGAATGTTTCACACAAGTTTAGGTAGAATGTTCACTGATTACAATGTAAGGAATAAAGTACAATACACAATGATTTGGTTGATGTTTTAATAATCGCAGCAGCCTAATAAACAATCTAACTAAAATTAGACCTTCGCATAATTGACATACCAGAAAACAGGAGCGATATTAAGATATAATTTTAATTAGATTGCCCAGGGACGTATAGTGAAGGGGATTAGCAACTCCCTCTCTGCCTTACCAATTTTATGACACGTCAATCTAGACTTCCCTCCCCATGATTCCGGAGCAGATAGCGAGCGCCACCTATCTCAATTTTGACAAAGCAAGATAGCGTCGATACCGCTTCGTTAGATGCAGAAGTTGGTGTGAAAAAAAACCAATCTCGATAAGTGTTCTTACGTCTTTTGTTTATCCCATTGTAATAAGCTGATTGTATTACTTTTAATTGATAAAATCTGTGGTATCATAGTAATTGATGTCTCGTTTTTGGGGTATATTTTTCTATTTTTAAACGCGATGTAACGCGTGGTTCAGAGTATTGTGGTGGGCGTCGACAGACAAAAATGCGGGATAAAAAAAAGCACCACATGTATGTGAACCACCTTACTCCAAAAGTATTTGACCGATCTTTTTTAAATTATCAGCAATAGAAAGCTGAATAAATTTTATAACGACCCAACCCATTTTAATTTGAAATAACATAATTTAACTTGTGTTATTTTTGTGTCAAAAAGACTAAATATCAGCATTATTTTTCACTGGAACGTAAATCATTATTGCGAAAGTAGTTGGTGACTGCTCACTGTTTTGATTAAATTTTATAAACTATCGATTATATTTTTTAAAACAATTAATATCAATAAACAGCCGAGTAATTTCTATGTTAAATAGGCCTGATTTGATTTGCATTACTTGGAACGATAGCGATGTCACAGATGAAATTACTCGTCTGGTAACGAAGGACACGTGTTGTTAAAAACCCTAAACAAAAATGCGTGATAAAAAAAAACACCACATTTATGTGAACCACCTCACTCCAAAAGTATTTGACCGATCTTTTTTAAACTGTCAGCAATAGAAAGCTGAATATTTTTTATAACGACCCAACCCATTTTAATTGCAATTAATATAATTTAACTTATGTTATTTTTGTGTCAAAAAGTGTAAATATCAGCAATATTTTTCACTGGAACGTAAATCATGTCGAAAGTAGTTGGTAACTGCTCACTGTTTTGATAAATTTCATAAACTATCGTTTGTATTTTTTAAAACAATTAATATCAATAAACAGCCGAGTAATTTCTATGTTAAGTAGGCCTGATTTGATTTGCATTATTTGGAACGATAGCGATGTCACAGATGAAATTACTCGTTTGATAACGAAGGACACGTGTTGTTAAATACCGTAAACAACCGGAAATGTAAAACGCAACAAATAAGTATCGCCTGCATTCGAGGATCAGCTCATTTAAAAAATACTTCTTTTTGAAATTTACAGCGATAGAAAGTTGAATAATTTTTTGAAATGTAGTACTATTTTTTATGGCAAAACAAATAACTTGTGCTGTTTTTGTGTCAATATTAGCATTATTTTCACTGGAACGTGCTTTACGAAATGTGATTTGTTGTAATAGCCACCAACACAGCCGAAAGGCTAGACATAGTGGCAACGATAGCCCTGTCCCTGGAATAAAAAGAAGAGCTACTAATACACAGTCCCAATTAGGGCTAACCGTTATCGAAACACTTCGATCTCGGCGAGATTGTGACATGACACCGAAAGCAGGTGCGTGCTTAATTTTAACGCTAGTGCGCAAGCGCGGGCTGATCGAGAGGGGCTCTCGATCACTTCGCGGTTCGGTGAACAAACACAAAAGCGACGTGCAATAGAATCTTGACTGGGGCAGAGTTGCCAATCCCCTCTATATACTGTCCCTGGATTGCCTTATTAAATTTTAAACAAATTTTGCCAGTTGTCAAGGTTGATCAAGGGACTAATTAAGTAGTAATTTAACGTAAGGCAAGGGTCATTGCCATCCGATAATTTCCTTCAAATGATATCATCTCGAAACCAATAAGGTCCGAACAGTGCTCGAATTTTGCAAGCATATATCTCGGACGAAGAACTTTTTGTACCGGACAAGTTACATGAAAATTTGAAAGATTTTTTTTTATCTTCAATACTTATCCGAAATTCATCGCAATCGGATGGCAGTAACATAATATGGTATGCACAGAGATGTGGCGCACATCATCGGCTGATCATCTTTTTCATATGTGGGTATGACGGTAGGGGGGGGGGGGGGGNAATAACAAGAAAAACGGCATTTACCTGGGTAGGAAAACAATAGAAATAAGAAGTGACTCATCCCGTGTTTCATAATAAACCTCTTCGTCACTTCAAATGGTATATGTCTATGAATTGGTGATCAAATATTCTTTCCTGAATCTCAAAGATATATATCTATATATGTATCATGTTATTGAAAATGACACATGCATGTCTAATGTTTTGCAAACATCGATAAAACAATAATCAAGTAATAAGTGAATAAGTATAGCAACAACTAGTAAGACTCTTGTTCAAACCTGTCATCCTGGGATTTGCAAACATGCCCTTTATCGCCTTGGCTAGCCTACGGTTATAGATGGTCGGTATATTAAAATTTTAAAATATTTCAAGACAGCATAAAAGTATATGTACCAGTACGCTGTGTGTCAAAAATGTGTTGGAAACCCCACTACTTTTTATTGTTGGAAGAAGTTACCATGACGACTTATAAACGTTAACGTACCACAAATATCAAAGTTTTTTTTACATAATTCAATTAGACATTTAGATTTTCCAAAGAACCTTTTTTTAGAATATTGGCCACTTTTAGGCCGAAACAGCTCAAGTGCGCCAAGCCTCTTTCTCCAAACATGAAACTTGTTCGACTTCAGTAATAACACGAAGCAATTTTGATAAGCATCCGCAAATACTTCTTTCAAAATATATCGTATTGAAAAACATTTGCAAGACATCCAAAATGGCCACATTTATTCTGAATTCAACTCAAAATCGAACTTCAACGGCGAATTGGTACTGTAGGTGTTTTTAGGAAGTTCATAAAAATGAAGTATACTCACAAATACCATGCACCTAACGTGCTGAATTTCAAGAGAGACACAGGCAGCCATATTGAATTACAAATCGTAATTAAAATCGAGTTTGATATATACAATAAGTGTTCATGAGAAGTTTTATATAATTCGAAGCTGTACTTCAAGAGTTATCGTTCGTTAACCATTGTTTATGTACCAAACCTATGGTTATACTTCGTGACCAGGTACCTCTAGAGCCTATTATTGTTCCTTTCCTAGAATTTGGCTGCTAATGTTTTAATACATTATCTTTTTGTCAAGCTCAAATCACGAAATTAAATATGTCTTCAGATTGCAAACACATAATATCTGGCCATTCTTACATGACACTGGTGACGAGTTAAATAACATGATGACATGTTATAATATCGGACTCAAAGACTTACAGCCTGTATCAAAGTGATGTCATTGCACATTTCGTCCGTTACAATAAATGTCTATCAAACGTGTAACAATTTTTCTCTAGTTCAGTGCACATTTCTATTATTTGACATTTAACATTATTTTTCTAGACGAATCACTATTGATTCTTTCCTGTTTGTAAAATTTGAACCATTTCATAGATCATGTGTCCAGTTGAAATTGCTTTAATGTACAGATATTGCATCATGTGTGTATTCTGTCTTTGCGTATTGCAGAGTTATCTTCTCTTGTGAGCAGGTATTGATTGTCATTGGTTTCTGTGAGAAAATTACGTCCTTTTCTCAAAAATTGATGATGTTACTCTCACAAACAAATGACGTAACAATCAATCCTGCTCACAAGAGAAGATAACTCTGCAAAACGAAAAGATAGAATAGTTTAATAATAATTGTTATATATATCTTGTCTGTACAAGATGCTGGCCTCGTACATTGTACATGTATATACAATAGCGGTTATTAAGGTATGGTAATTTTAAAATTACTAAAGGTATTTAATTACAAATATCACAATGACAGGAGAAAATAGTAACTGTATAAACATTTTTGGGACCGTGTAAGTTCACATAGCTCTTACGTAATGTGTAAAGTTATTGTTCCTTAACTACACAGATATGTATGCAGTCGGTCAGTATTTGTCCTGACAACAGAGTGTAAAGCTTTGACCGTCACACTGGTGGTAACACTACGCAAGTTTGTCAGCCTCATGTTCTCGATATGGTACTTTGAGAACGAGTTCACACCGACTCACTGGATGGGGTCCATGTGTGTATTCGTAGGAACGCTCATGTTCACAGAGATCATCCCACTGCCGGCCGTCCTGGGGTCAAATACATAACGTAGTGTATTGAGAGATCTGCTTTTAATTAGGTTGCATCACTACATGCCAAATGCTTTTTGGGTAGGCTAGCAGGGACATTTCTTGGACATTTTATGTAAGTTTAAAATTAAGAATTCTAAATAACTATAAATACCGGAATTAAAAATAAGAAGTAAGGAAGCATGCATTAATTTAGTTTGTTGATACAAAAAACGCAAACAGCACAAATATGCACTGCCCCATATTGCCATTTCTTCCATTCAGGGTAGATCGGTAATATTTAGATCAAGTGTTCATCACATACGACGCAAGCAATTCTGACACTCATGCCTCGATAGTTTAACCTTTGCTTTTTATGTTGTTTAATTATGTTATCCCTTTTATTTCGGTACCTCCTCGGTTCCCTGTATTTTGCTTTTCCTTCTTACATTTGATATCTTATTTTGTCGTTGAGTGTTGACATTTTGGTATTTTTTGTATTTAACTTTTAATTCGTTGTTTGTTGGTTGATAAGGTGTGTGCCTGATGTCTGATGATATTACAATCCTAATTGTAAACTGCAATTTATCGACGAATTTTGTTTTCTGCTGTTATATATTGATATGTTGTGAATAAAATCAAGCTGTTTAAAGTTATAACGATATAGTTTTGTTTATATTCCGGAAACTATTATAGCTCATGTGAGCAATGCCATAGAAAACCACCCGTTAACGTTTTTGCTTGCATTTGAGGCTACATCTAGAGGCGTTCATTTTCCCTTTTACGTATATGTCGACAATGTGCTTTCTTTAAATGACCAGCAATAAATTGATCACGTCGATAGTATATCCTCCTGTACTTGAAATCAAGGACAATACAGACTCTTCTACCACAGCTGATTCCTTGATCTTATATAACTGTAAGATAAGCGAGATTTTTCCGATTTTCTGATCGTGAGCACGACTTACACCAATATTCGAAATAAAGTCAATTTGGTCTCTGTGGAGTATAACATATAGATAGATAGATAGATAGATAGATAGATAGAAAATTCATCAGTTTAGTATGAATGATACAGGTTTGTTATGTAAGCAAGCTTTCAAATAACGTCTGTGCCCTTTGTCAAGCAAAGAGTGCAAATGACCGGTGTCTCGACTCTAAACCGCCGAAAACATCTCACTAAGCAACAGTGTGCCGAATCATTAAAGTCAGCTGTCAAACAATATAGCTCTCTAATACTAAAGGCAGTTGGATGGACAGGTAACATGTTTACCCATTCCGCCCCTTAGTGGATTACGTCAATGTGTTCCCAACCTACGGTGTTCACATGTTGCAGTTGTTTCGGTATTCCAGAGCTGGCTCCGACTATGGTGATTTCCGTAATAGATGTCCACTGCTGGTAGCTATGCTTACAAAACAGACATTGTCGCCATCTTGATCGCATTTGAAAATATATTATATTCACTTGTATGGTACAACGGTCGACTTTTAAATGTTGCCCGGGGTGTCAAGTGAGTAGGGAACGTTTACTCTACAACAGTATCTGGATATCGTTTGTAAGTGTCCTAAGATGTGTTCAGTGTTGTATGTCTGAAAACTATAAAAAAAATGTGGCCCGATCTACTTGGTGGCAAAGACGGTTTGCATGTTATTGCATCACTGAACTGTCTGACTACCAGGAAAAATCGTTCAAAACTCTTCAGAACTTATTAGTTTCACATATCGATACATACAATTTATCTTTCGAACCTATTTTTCTTATTAATCTTTACGTTGAGCAACATTCCGCGCGAATTTGTCGAAATATTACCAATGAGATGACTTCCGCTCGAAAGAAAAACTACAAAGGGTCTGTGTCCTGATTTTTGGAAATCAACACTACTCGCTGACCAAAAACGTTTTTTTATTAATCCCAAAACATTTTTTATTTGCTGGACCATTCCTTTTTTAGATGTCTGATTCAGCTAGTTAACCGTTCTTGTATGCAGCTTTCAACCTATACCATTTGTCGCTGTTTGATTAAACAGACACCAGGACGGACATGACGTAGAGTGACACAGAATCTTGGATATTCTATTGATGAACACGTGACAGTTGTTCAAAAAGAGACGATATTTGCCGTACTTTCTCATGTAGTTTCTGGCGCAGCCCTTGATACAGTCAATCCCCAGGCTGCTGTAACCTTTTGGTGTTTGCTGTAACCGATAATTACACTTATCCCCGACGGCCGGGCGTTCTATTGAGACGGAGTAGTTGTAAGGCTTGCTGTAGTTGTGGTAGATACCGAACTCCACGTAGTGACCGTCATATTGGATCCAGCTATGTATTGGTTTCAACGTAGGCATTCTGGCTGTTCGCTTAGGTCGCCTGAAATAATAGCTGTACGTCATGCAGAACAAATTCGTCGTACCAAAGAAATAAGGCTTTTCGTCTGGACTACGCTTTTCTGGAACATAATAGATAGTGCATATTCAAAGAATATTCGAGGCTTATATACTGACCGGCAAAATTAAGTATACACTCAATAAAAGCCATCAAATTATTTCATTTTTATCATGATAAAATCGATTTTAGATCGAAAATTTAAAATTTAGTTATTGGAGAAACATTTTATACAGAATCGGGACTACCGTCAACTACCAAAACTGGCATACAGTCTTACAGAACAACGTATGGGTCATTTCAATTTTTCACGTGATTTTGACGTCACCACTATACACAGTTAAAGCACACTATTGGCGTCAATATCTTGTGTGTCCGCCATTGTTGTCATAGACAAGACTAAACGACGTTTAGATTCGACGCCAGTCCTCGATTAAGGATGTAACGATCCTGTATACTTAATTTTGTCGTTCAGTATATACCAGAATGGATCAATCCCTTGGTATTCTCGAGAAAAATATAGATATATGTCTCAACTGCGTTGAACAGCTGTATGTTTGTTTATATTCAACTCGTTGTTGCGGATTTGTCCGTATGTAATTGACTTGTCGAATGAGACTTACTCATGAGTAGTCATCCGATAAGTAACAAACCAGTAAAACAATACACATGCATTAAGTATCTGTTGTTTGGTAATCGAAAGAATAATGTGCAAAGATAACATTGATGGTTGCTTTAAAGGGACATTTAAGTGAAGTAAGTTTTTAGGTCACTTGGCCCTTCGGGCCAAGTGAGCTTATGCCATGGTGCGGCGTCCGTCGTCCGTCGTCATTTGTCCGTCCGTCCGTCGTCAACTTTTTACTTTAAACAACTTCTTCTGAATAACAAAGAGGCCCAGGCTGATGATATTTGGCCAGTAGCATGCTGGGATGAAGGGCTACCAAGTTTGTTCAAATGAATGACCTTTGCCCATTTTCAAGGTCACATGGGTCAATTGTCTTAAAAACCTTTAAACGACTTCTTTTGTATAACAAAAAGGTCCAGGGTGATGATATTTGGCAAGAAGGATGTTGACATATAGGACTTTTAAGTTTGTTCAAATGAATGACCTTCGCCTATATTCAATGTCACAGGGGTCAATTGTCTTAAAAACCTTTAAACGACCTCTTCTGTATAACCAAAAGCTCCAGGGTGATGATATTTGGCCAGAAGGATGTTGGCGTGAAGGGTTACCAAGTTTGTTCAAATGAATGACCTTTGCCCATATTCGAGGTCACAGGGGTCAAATATGTTAACATCTGTTAAACGACCTTCTTCTGAGTAACCAAAGCGTCTAGGGTGATTGCTTGTGCATGTGAATGACCTTTACACACTGGCTATAGTGCATTAAACAAAAGGTATAGGGTGGTGAAATTTGGCAAGTTGCATTCTTGGATGAAGTGCTATGAAATTTGTTAAATTTAATGTCCATGTTTGACTTTCAAGGTCACAGGGGACAAATGTGTTTAGATCGTTAAAAAGGTTCTTCTGGATGACGCTGATATTTTGCCTGTAGCTTTAATTTAGTCCACTTTTTAGGTTACAATTGTGAGATTAATACCAGGTGAGAGATGCATTGGGCCTCCTGTTTTTATTATCTTGTCATAAAATGCTTCATGATAATATAGTTTGATTCTCCATATGAACAATTCATATTGAGAAATTGACAAAAGGCAATGTTTTCTTGGCGTTTTGAATCAGTAATGGAGACATCCTTAACTGTACAGCCGTACATTTTTGCGGTAGCTGTTAGTGAATTTCTAGCTTAAAAAAAATATCTTTTCAGCCGAGGAGAGAAGGTAAATTCTCGCTTTATTCACCTAGTCTCTCTGGAATACAAGTACATGCATTTATTCTGAATCAAAATAATCTTTAAACAGCATCGCAAACATCGTTATAAATGAGTTATCTTTTTTACGTTTAAACCTTTTGATATCGTACTTTGTGCGGTTTGTAATTCTCCCTGTGGCGCTATCACCGGCGTTCCCAAAAGATGAAACTGACCACACTGGACGGACGTTGGCTTCAGGTCATGTCATTGTCAACTACATAAACTTTCATAGGAGATATATATTTTCAGAATAGAATGGATTTTCAGGTTGTCATTTGACTAAATTAAATAACCCCTTTAAAATATGAAGGTTTTTCTTTCAATTGAATAACGCACTCAAAGTCACCTTTTATGTTGGACTGCATTGAAGCAGACAAACATAAGCCCCATTGTTAGCGATTTAAATGAATAAATAATACGAACAAAGTATGTGGTAAATATTTTCTAGTCTTTCATGCAGAGAAATGTGTGCAATAACAATTATATCCCGTATACGTAGAAGGACATGCCACACTTACTTGCACAATTGTGGGATTTGTCTTTCTTGCGAAACAGCCATCCGCAACAGCAACCAGACAGTATCAGCAACAGGAACGCTACACGCATCTGCAGAGAAAAGGCTCTGATAGGGAGGTCGAGCTATATAGGTATTATTACATGACGTTGGAGTCGACTCCTGTCGTGGTAACCTAAGAGTCGACTCCTGTCGTGGTAATCAAAGAGTCGACTCCTGTCGTGGTAACCTAAGAATCGACTCCTGTCGTGGTGATCAAAGAGTCGACTCCTGTCGTGGTAATCTAAGAGTCGATTCCTGTCGTGGTAGCCTAAGAGTCGACTCCTGTCGTGGTAATCAAAGAGTCGACTCCTGTCGTGGTAACCTAAGAGTCGACTCCTGTCGTGGTAACCTAATAGTCGACTCCTGTCGTGGTAACCTAAGAGTCGACTCCTGTCGTGGTAATCTAAGAGTCGACTCCTGTCGTGGTAATCTAAGAGTCGACTCCTGTCGTGGTAACTTAAGAGTCGACTGCAGTAATATTTAATGTACACTGTAGTAGTCAAGGACAAACATTAAAAACCACGCAATTATACTGAATACTTTTTCATAACGTTTGAATTGTATATCTTGCTATTGTCAAAGGTAGGGTCAACGCCTATGGAGATTTAACATAAGCGTAGCAACCCGCTTGGAATTTCAAAACAAGATAAATACAAAAAGGTAGTGGTGAAGGAAGCTTAAACCAGGACGGTAAGTTTCAGAATTCATTTTATGACAAATGGGACCACATTGACTTACACCTGTGTGGGTGTTAAAGGTGCGGTAATACAATTGCTCCTAGAGCATGTTAATGACACAATTACTATAAAATCATATTATCATCATGTGCAACATATTCCATCTTTTATTTTGATATCAAATATTATACTTTTCAAGAAATAATTGTTCTTTTTATTGAAGATTTAAGAAGAAAATTATGTGCAATTTCATTACTAATGGGAAAATTACCAATTTGGACACGTTAATTTACATAGTTCTAAAACGAGTTTATTTTTCATACTTGCTGAAGAGTCGGCTACCAATAATATCTTTCAACATCAGGGATTTTGAAACAATTGACAACCTGTAAATTTGTCATATAATACTTTAGATTTAAAAAATAAAATAAAAAATGTATCGATATTTACCATAATAAACATTTAAAATCAAATCTTCATGATTATGTGAATTGGGGCATTGATCATGTTTGGCATAATGGAAAGTGTTTTACTGGTTTAGGTATTACATAAAAGTGATTCTATAGACAGAATATATTCATGGAAAGATTTTAAAGAAGTTTAAATATAGACTACCATTGTTAGTTACTATATAAGTTGACTATGTTGGTTATATTTTAAACTTTTGTGAAAATTTTACATGTTTTTAAATTAATTAAAAATATAACAACGCTTACTTTATGCATACCAATATGACATATTAAGTATCAAAATAACAGTAATTGTATACACTATCATACTTCATCTTCAAAGTTACATTCGCCTGTGACATTTATCTGTCATTTCGTACGAAATACCCCGTCACTCAACTGGTGTCATGCAAGGAGGTCCACTACGGTCATCAGTAGTAATAATAAATATGATTTAAGCAGTTATTGTTCATTTTTGTGTATCTACATATCGGGTAAAAATGAAATAAACTTAGTGGGGCCAAATGTTGATCCCACCTTTGTGGATAGATGATGCATCACGTCGTCGGCTTCAAGCGTCATTGTGGTTAACTGATTAAGTAAAAAAAGTATACTTTATTAATTTAACCATTTTCTACTAGTAAACAAGAAAGGAATGATAGGAATGAAATAACAGCATTTGCATTCGAAAAATTCTGATTTTCTTTAACATTGAACAAATGTACAACCTTTTTTTTTTTTTTTTTTTTTTTTTTTTAATTGGAATAAGTTTAATATTGTTTGATTCTAACACTCGTTGAAGAAATGGTATATGCTGTTTCCATTATTTTTTCTAACATGTATGTAAACTTAGAAGTTATCAGTGTTGTTGGTAGATATGGGAATATGACGAAAGTCGAATCGACTTTGATGTAACTTGTATCTTACATTTGTTGTTGGTGTTCACTGGGTTTTTTTTGTTTTTTTTTGGAATTGTTTATTATTATTATATGTATTATATCATTGTCAATCATGATGAATGGCTTTTTATGATGATGCTGATAATGATCTTTTGATTATAAGATTGTATGTATGTTTAAAAAAAAGATGAAAAAATAAACAATTACAAAAAAAAAAAGAACTTGAATTAGAAGCCATGAAATATTGGCTTCAGAAAAGCCAAAATGATGTTAACTCACGCTTTGACAAAGACTGTTGATAACATGCGTTTTACCAGTGACCTTTTATGTTTACAATGAGGGAACAGGTTCAGCAACCTTTGTATTGGGGAAATTACGAGGAAACTTGGTACAAAGTTATGGGGAGGAAACGTGGCTCATTCTTCCGTGATTTGATTGAAAAACATTTTCTTGAGGATTGTTTCATCGTATGCAATAATGGCCGGCTGAACTTTGCGTAGATATGTTTTTGTTATGACCTAAGTGTTTAGTATTTTCTGTTCGTAATATTATCATTAATTCTTCTAATGTTTTTGGATGTACTTCTCACAAAAAAAATGCCGCTCTCTATTCGCTGACTTGTATGCAAATTCCTGCAGATACTCATAATTACGTTTATTTTTCACCTCAAACGTTGACAGACTGAATATTCTCTCTCTAACTCAGCATTACATGTTAATGACTTAATAGTAATAATTTATCATTTGAAATGGCTTCATGCACTGTTCGGAATCCCAAGGATATTTGGACAAAATTGAAGAAAATGGTTAAAGAATATCTAAAGAATAGATCCATTTTAATGCCAATGCAGTATTGTGGACAATAACAATATTACGTTTATATATATTATTTGCATCAACATCTAATACACAACATTGTAAATGTTTGTTACTAAGTGTGCATATTTAAAACGAGGTAAGGCATTGTTGCGTTTTAATAAACATCAAAAGAAAACCTAAAGCTCTTCGTACAATGTCAAGGTTTAAAAAGTAAATGTTTGTGAGTCTCAAAATGTTATATTTTTTTAGTGATGCCTGGTAGCTTATTATAGAGCAAGTTCGCTGCTCAGTATTATGACTCAATAATGGCGTTGTATGAGGTCTTTATATCTTCTAGTGAAACAGTACCACGAACGTCCTATATACATATTTATTACATACTTACTAAAACATACGTTTTTTTGTAATTGCGATAAGACCTAATTGCTCTTACCCATATCAACCTTCGCCATATCACACACCAAAACCCATATCAGCCCTCGCCGTGTCAGCCCGCACAACCTGTATCACACCCCTTTGGGAAAACTGTTTCGTTTTTCAATATTGCAAAAGAAAAAAAAAATCAAAAGATAGATCTATCCGAATTGTATTAGTAAGTATATAATAAACAGAATAAAACATGCCCTTTTCATATCTCCCAGTATCAACCCGAGACTCCAATATCAGCCTTGAGTGTGATATGGAAAAAGGCATGTAGTATTCTCTCTCTATATATATATCTACAGCAATAAATAGTTATAAATGTCCTTGTGACGGTAAAACTATACATTAAGTTGATACGCACGCTGAAAACTAGAACAGAGAGTTTAGGTGAGTGTCGTGTGAAATACTCACCCGCGCTATTCCTGCCCTTTTGCACCCCGGCATCTTGTTCACTTCCTGTTGCGTGATCTGTTTAGCTCTTCCTCGATGTGTATGTTTAACAATTACCAGTCTCGAGGCTCCAGATCCTTCATTCCGTTAGAGGACAAGCGGTATGACAAACTTTAATTCGTCCTTCCATGTCCCTGCCTATTAAGTCTTTATATTCCATATCAGTGTATTTGAATTCCTGCGGGCCTTTCCCACTCTAGCGCTATCCATCATTATGTCAGTAGTGTCGGTACATAACCCGTCTTGTACATACTTAATACACAACTTACCCTAGACACGTCTCTGACAGATGCCTTGTACATTTTCCTATCCTTACTTCGTACGTACATTGCGTCAAACATGCCTCTTTACATACCCTGAAATCCGTCTCATACCTACCATGTACCTTGTACTCCCAAACACACCTTGTTCATAATCATATAACAACACCATTACACAATTCCGCACGCACTTCGTACATAGTCAGATACTGCATACGACCTTTATCCCTTATACACCCATACGTATTAAATTACTTGTTCTTAGCTTTCACCACTATTTTCCCAGGTTACAAAAGAATAATATCGAAGCAGTGCCATGAGTCCTCGGTTATGATCTTTGTTTCATGTATCACATTATTGTCCTTAACAATCACACCGTATCGTTTCTTTGTGTTTTATTTAGTACTCAACTGTTCCACGTGGCAATAAGATTTGTCTATGTGGTTAAAAATTCCAAAATGATAACCATATGTATTGAACTGCTTTCCCAATTTAAACGTGTTCATGCAGGTTATTGGTAACTAATGCGGCCATACATTTACAAAGGAATTTAATTGAAAAAAGACTACTGAATTTGTTTTGGCCGATCTCAAGAAGTGATCCCATGGATTCATTTTCACTAGAGAATACCATTGGCAGTGCAGAACAGTTTTCAATTGTGTTACAGAAAATTACAAAAAAATCCCGAGGTTCTTTACATATATACATATTCCTAAAATATCTTCATGTTTATTGAGTTAGATTGAAGAATGCTAATACTTGCTTGTCAAAAATGATTGTGTTAAAATTATCAAAAACAGTAATTCACATACATTGGTATTAGACGCCCTTGTGCAATTTGTGTAAGCATCCGAGTGCAATATGAAGACTGTTGTCACGTTTACTCCAAAAGAAGATGGCGAAGTGGTTAAGGCGTCTGGTATTCTGCTACCACTAGCCCTCCACCACTGGGTAGCGGAGTACGAGACCTACGTGGGGCTGTCGCCAGGTACTGGTCGTAGGTCAATGGTTTCTCCGGCTTTCCTCCACCACCACAACTTCGCGCGTTCTTAAATGAACAGAGCTGTTAATAGGACGTAAAACACTAACAAAACCAACCAACCAATGAAGAAAAAAACAAACAGTTCATAAGTACGATTGCTTTACTAATACGTTTAGACATGATGGAGAAGCTTCGGACAGACAAAGTGACGACAGACGCAGCACGTGTTGACCTTCAGGGGCATGGTGTACCAGGTAGGCTTGCCTTTGTTGATGCAGTAGACGGGTACTCCATATACCCGTGAGCCCCCGGGCACACACCTGTAGGCCTCCCCGGGGCGGATCCACACGTTCTTACACTCTTTGTTACTGCAGATATAAACAAATAATGGTCTTAACTTAAATACTGTGTGATTTTTCACGACAAAGACAAATACAATGCACACATGCGTTGGGTTTCAATTCTTCAATGTACAAACTAGCGTAACGAGTTATTGTTTTTCAAATCTACAATGGTCTTTCGAGTAGAACAATGCTAAAATGTAACAACGATCGTAATTGCTGTCGATCAACCCTACAATAAACCAATAGATTAATTCTGTTGTTTCTACTCTACAGTGAACGAGCAAGAGAAAGTGAGGTAGATCAGCTCGCATTGTATAACGAGAGCAGCCATAATGTCAACAATAGGATACATATGGATAAACCCCCAACTACTTATCGATTCAAAAGGAAAACAACTGGAACAGAGGAGACCCGAACATGAATGATAGCATTGTGAACCGGATATAGTATCAGGTGCTCCGGAAGTGTAAGGGTTTCCCATGTGACACTCGTAATGATGTTTCACTTCTTACACATTAAGTATTTCCATAAAAATGATCTTATTCATAGTGAATAAGTCTTTATTCACGGTAGACCCTGAATACCATTTCTAGTATTATGACAATCGTATATTCTGATTAGATTGTTGATTAGACGGAGAGGCTCTGGAAATGTAAACTTCGTAAGGTATGCTGAAATGTTGCAACTGGAGAAATGAAAATAGAATAGTAAGGTTTGTTAATAAATGATCGTTACTGTCATAATGTGGGTACTGTTTGTCATAGTATGCAAGAAGGCGAAGAAGATGATTCGAATCTGCGGTATCTTCACTATAGGCTGTAAGTGGGGAATGAGAATCAAGTAGTACTTGGAGTTCGTGTCTTTTAAAAAGTAATATAATATCGTAATGCAAAATAAATCTTCCTTATTATTTAGCAATCATGTAGTACTTACATGCATTCCACTGACGGATACTTGAAGCTGTTAAATGGACGGGACACTAAGCAGAATCGGGATTGGTAGATGACGTAGTTTCCGGTCTGTGTGAATGTTCGTCTCTCGTTACAGAGGTGGAGGAACGGTGACACGATATGAGGACTCAGCCATCCACCACAACTACAACACAGCATTGTCATCTATCATCACCAGAGGGACAAAAACCACAGAAGGTGTCGTGACCACCCAACACACAATTACAACACAGCATTGGCATATATTATCACCAGTGAAACAAAACCAGAAGAGGTGCCGTGACCATTCACCACAATAACAAAAATATATACAAATAAACGTTTCTTGCCAAATGTCATGACCATCCACAGCAACTGCAATAAAGCATGGAAGTTCATTGTCACACGACAATTATTAATAGCTCATTAATAATAAGCTATTAGTGTAGTACAACACACTAATAGCTGTAATAATAGTCCCAGGATCCAAAACACAGGATAAGCTGTCTTGACCACGCACTATTACTTACGAACATAATAGTCTGTCTTAATAATCCACTACAACCACAACACAGACATGACTACCGGTATGAAATGATTTAACCATTTACCTCAACTACAAACCATGTAACGGTGTGGAGGCGATATCATGAAAGACAATCGGACTTTCAGCAACCAGTTTAGTGCCAAACCAGATCGAATGGCTGTAGAGACCAAGCGAGTGTTTACTTGATGAAGGTCTCAAACCGTGCCTTGGTCAAGCAGAGCCCCAGCGAGGTCAAAGAGCGAGAAAGACTGAGAAAAAAACTAAGCGACGATGGGAAAACCAGACTCGCGGTATAGGGACATGTGCACTCTATATCCAAAATTAAAGGTAATACTGCTTTATTAGGTTGCTTTTCCAGTGATGCACTTTAACACTTGGACATGAACGATAGCTCAGCAACGTCTAGTATTGTTATTAGCTGGATGGGTTCTCGCTAGTACGTATAATATTTGATGGAAGCTTAGTGGTCCTCAGGTAACTTTACTGGGCCAATTTCCGGTGGTTACAGAAGGTACATAGGAAGGAAGGACCCACACAATTCCAAACGAGACTTATCGCAATCTTTCTTCCATACAATATTCACATATTCCAAATTGTGGAGCATCAATCTCTAGAGAATTTGAATGCTATCAATACAATATAAGTTAAATAATAAACCTTGGTGTTCATTGTTAGGTCTATTCTGATCGCTCCGTACAAATTCATGTAAAGCGTTACTCAAAGATTGTGTCTGATAACATTATAAACCTACAAATTACTAACCTTTGTGATGCTCGTGTGCCTTCCCATATCTCTCCGCGGTATTTTTTGGGGTTAGCTCTGAATCAGAAAAAAAAATATCGCATGAAATATTTTTAGCAATATCATTAATAATGATGCGTGGCGATTGTTCCGATTGTTCCGACAAAAAGTAACGTACTAACATACAGCAAAGGACATCCTCTGTATGTCTTCCTAACTTTGCGATGCAATAATGAATCACGTTTTAACTTATTTTTGGATGATTGAAAACATTTCCCTGTATTCCTGTTGTATCTCTGATACATATCTCTTTTTATACCCATTGATCATGGATTTAGAATAGGCCTCAGACAAATGGAATTGATAGACCACTGAATGCTGCCTTTTCTACATGGGACTCACGACATAATTGATTCTGGCGTATGCCATAATACTTGATCTAGAATTTCGATAGACCTCTGGCATCTACACTCATACTTACGTTAGAATCTCGATAGACCTCTAGCTAGCTGATTACTGCAATGAAAATCAGTATGCCCCTGACAAATGTAATCTCGGTAGATTTCTGATCACTGAGTTTGTACTTACGTTGAACCTACAGTAGACCATTACCCACTAGTCCTGTACATATGCTGAAATTTCTAAAAAAAAATTTTAACAAATGGGATCACTGTAGATCTCTGACCATTGCACTTGTCCAGACTCCTTACACTTGAATCTCGATTTTTGTTTGTTTGTTTGTGTTTTGTGTCCTATTCACAGACATGGTCACTTAAGGACGTGCATGGTTTCGGTGGTGGAGGAAAGCCGGAGTTCCCGGAGAAAAACCACCGACCTACGGTCAGTACCTGGCGACTATCCCACGTGGGTATCGAACCCGCGACCCAGTGGTGGAGGGCTAGTTGTAGCAAAATGTCAGACGCCTTAACCACTTAGCCATCGCGGTCCCTTGCATCTCGAGAGTACACTAGATCCGACTACTGTTTTTGTACTTACGCCGGAAACTCGATAGACCTGTACAACGAATGGAACCTCGGTATGTATTCTGCACCAGTACTTACGCTGGAATCTCAATTTTCTTCTGACGCTTTGAGAGTTTGATCCCTTCCTTGTTTGTTACTTTTTCATAGCCGGGGTCGATCTCCTTTACTTCGGGGAATTTACACGTGACAGGCAATGGATCGTGGCAGCTTACTGCGATCAGGGTCGCCAGAACACCTAGCAACTGATACGTAAAATGTAAACTAGTTGTCAATACAATTACAGAATTACAAATATAGGTGATATGTTTGTTTTTGTATTAAAAAAAAAACAACATCTGTATATTTAAGTAACACAAATACATGAACATCATATCGTCAACATAAATTCATAAATTCATCAATTCAAAGTGGAACTTGCACGAACAATTCAGGAACAAAAAAGGCAATAAAATAAAAAGAAAGACATCATGAACACGTGCTCCAGAAGAGGAGGTAATACCTATACCACATGTAGCATGTACATTTTACAAGTGATTTGTTTGTGGATGTCTATTGCAAATATAAGTGATATGTGTGTTGATGTATGTTACAAAGTCAAGATATATGTTTGTTAGTTAACCAGGGTTTTTATTCATTATTCCAGCACATGGCATACACTCAATTTCAAGCCTACATCTTTAATGATTTCCTCTCGTATATTCTATCAAAAACAGTGTTATGTTTATCCCGTTGACTATCCAATGTCAATAAAATATGTTTGAATCAATCAAGAAAACCCCCATCTATAGCGTAAAAGCTGAAAGCTTTTATATATTCCTCTCAGAGGTTAATTTGTAAATGTTCACTACAAAGAGAAATTATATGTTTGTTGATGTATATTTTAAAGAAGAAAGTGATATTATCATTAACAATATGGATTTCAGTTCCTCAATGCATTTCCTATTCCAGATATAGAAAAAACGTATCAAATACATAACAACAAATTCCCTGACTTACCGACAGTGATACGGACATTGCCATATCCGCTTTGGTATCCTCCGACGTGTGTGTTCACTATATCAGTATATCAAAGTCACAAATGAGTATGGAAATATTTCAATATAATGCATGAGTAGCGAGCCATCTGCGACCAATTTGCCTTCAAAGTCAGGTTTGTATACTTTGCTGATGGTAACAATAATTTTTGTCAATAAAACCATCCTACTAGAAAACTTACAATCTTTGCCCCAGACCACCAGCTTAAATTCAGCAAGAGACGTATCACAAACGTCACCGCTGAGGCTGGGTCAGTGGATTATTTTGTGTATTTTATACACCAGCATGTGGACAGGGCTAAAAACTTCAATTGTTATTTCATATATTGCTACTGTGATCGAGTCAATGAATGTTTGTGATCGCTCATTCACCGCCACTGTGGCCGAGTCCGTAGTGTTTTTGGTGGTATTCCATTCACCACTGTGGCTGGGTTAACAATTTTATTAGTGGTATTCCATTCACCACTGAGGCCGAGTCCGTAGTTTTTTTGGTGGTATTCCATTCACCACTGTGGCTAGGTTAATAGTTTTATTAGTGGTATTCCATACACCACTGTGGCTAGGTTAATAGTTTTTTTTGTGGTATTCCATACACCACTGTGGCTAGGTTAATAGTTTTAGTTGTGGTATTCCATACACCACTGTGGCTAGGTTAATAGTTTTTTTTGTGGTATTCCATACACCACTGTGGCTAGGTTAATAGTTTTTTTTGTGGTATTCCATACACCACTGTGGCTAGGGTAATAGTTTTATTTGTGGGATTCCATACACCACTGTGGCTAGGTTAATAGTTTTATTCGTGGTATTCCATACACCACTGTGGCTAGGTTAATAGTTTTTTTTGTGGTATTCCATACACCACTGTGGCTAGGTTAATAGTTTTATTTGTGGTATTCCATACACCACTGTGGCTAGGTTAATAGTTTTTTTGGTGGTATTCCATACAAAACTGTGGCTGGGTTAGTAGATATCATAATCACAATTGAAACAGGGTCGTTGGATTAAAAAAGTCACAAATAAGAAGGTTGTCTTGACCCGTCTGCCGAAGAACGGTTTTCGATTATTCTGTAAAGTTTGGCAGTGTTTCAACCCCATCCACGCTTTCTAGAGAAAAAGAAAAAATATATATCGAAGTTTCAACAAAACCACAAGGCAATCTAGTGAGCATAATAAAAAAAAAAACATCGACCTAATATCACACAAATTGATAGCATATTTCCCCCATCTTTGGAAACCCTTTGTTGTAAGTTTGTCCGTCAGCAGTCGACATCTTTCACAAAAGTCGTGATGTTCGGAGCAATCTCTTGAGTACCGAATCAACTGCGACCTATAAACACCGTAGATAGGGGAAGCAGGGATGTTGCTATCAAGAAATGGGAAGTTCACGATCGGAAAGTCGAAATCGTCCCGCTTAATATACAGCTTAGCAGTTAGTCGTCACTTTCGGCCATGTTGTAAGCAAAGATCGAGGGAAGCGGCTAAAGTTGAAAAGTCTATGGTGTCCAAGCTTGATTTCAAGCCCACGAGGGTCGATAGATGTGGTAAATGAATTTCGTGTTATTCAAAGACAGCACATCACCGATATAACTGAATATGAAATTGAAGGACTTGGCTAGGTTTTTATTTCCAGTCCTAAAGAGTTCATCAATGAATTCAGCTTCGTATGAAAACAGAAACAAATCGGCCTGAAGAGCATCCCCGATATCCAGGCGTTTCGCTCACTTTCGCTCTCTACACCCCTGGAATATGTCATAGTAAAATTGAAGGCACGAAGATAGCTGTTTGAATGGTCTCAGGTAACAAAAACTGACCAATCGCTAGGCCGATACCTGTCCTTTAAAGATTACAAAGGAAAGACGCCCGACTTCAAAGCCTGTCAATTTTTACCGTTACGTGAACGCGAAATTCTTTTGATGTACATTTAAGGATCGAACTAGTCTTCTTGTCTCATCAACAAGGTGGTCACACTGAGCCTTCGATTTTGCTATGACATAACCCCGTGAAATCGAGGATGCCTGAAGAGGGGCACAGTTTTTTTCAACAAGAATGCCTACAGTCTGCTGAAAAATCATGCCACCGAACTCAACAACGATATCGTCAACCAGGAACTCAACCATTCTCACAATATCGTCCTCTGTATACTTCAGTTTGGCCTTTGTTGTACTTTGAACAAAATAAGCTCCAAAATACTTTACAACTATATATTTATATCGCCGTTTTCTTTCTTAGAAAGGAAAGCTTGCATAACAAGAGCACGTGATCGTTCCCTCTGTTTGGTATGATGAATGGTAATGTAACAAGATTGTATGGAGACTTTCGGCACACTGGTAATCTTCATCCTTTACATATGATGTATACCAACATTCATTATGCTGAACAGCAAGAAGAATTGGAAAATTTGTCATGTTTGTCTAAAAGTAGGCTGAAATTAGGATCAAAGTCATGTTTTGTCTAACACTGGACTGAAAAGATCTTTGTATTTTGATTACTGATAGTTAGTAACTGGACTTATCGTTAGTAACTGGACTTATAGTTAGTAACTGGACTTATAGTTAGTAACTGGACTTATCGTTAGTAACTGGACTTATAGTTAGTAACTGGACTTATAGTTAGTAACTGGACTTACAGTTAGTAACTGGACTTATAGTTAGTTACTGGACTTATAGTTAGTAAATGACGGTAACTTGAATTATGTTTATCATTGATAACTGATGGTAGCTTGACTTGTGATTTTAACTGATAAACCACGGTAACATGACTTGTATTTATAACTGATAACTAGTTTTAAGTAGGCTGGTGTTTATATATAAGTGATAACGGACGGCTACTGCGCTAGGTACAGCTTTATATCTATAAAAGCGTTTCACTGAATGATATGTGACATACAGATGACATATTAATGCTATACCTTAAACCTTTAATGCGAGCTTGTCTAAATCGGATAAAGACTTAAAGTGGAAGCAGATGATGAAATACACCTTTGTACATATAAAAGCATAACAGTCATAAATCGTGTACAGTGACACATGAATGAATAATATACCGACTACCCTGTGATCAATTTTAACGCATTGTGTATTATTTTACCGATGACCTGTTGCATTAAATTCGCCGAGTATCAAGTAGAATGTATATATCAGTAACACACATGCAATTTGTATAACAGGAATACAGGTCTATAATACAGGTCTATAATACAGGTCTATAAAATAGTTTCCAAAAACAGCAAACAAAGATATTATCCAGGAGGGGAATTCAACAAATGTTAAGAAGAACCAATGCAACTACATCGTAATGAAAAAACAAGTAAGGAGCATTCAGTACACAAATAAGTAACTTTTAATTGTGAATTTAATTTGGATAGGCTAAATTCTACAGACATGAATCTAGAAATTGGAGTAGGGGTAGATAAACTTTTTGTTGGCTTGTCATATGACTATGACAACTTAATAACTGTTTCTCTCGAACAAAGATACAAGTGCGGGCGAACTTTGTCACTTTTTAAATGGAACTTAAAGGGAGTCAAATTGTAGACGTTGGAATAATGTGAAAAGTATTTTTTATTTACGGTTTAAAAGGTTGACACCGCCCCCCCCCCCCCCCCCCCCCAAAAAAAACAAACAAAAAAACTTGTCAGAAGATTGGATGGCCAAAAAAGTGCCTTGTCTTGGGGCAAGTTCGGGCAGGGGATAGTCTGGGGGTAAGTACGGCCCACGTTGGAATCAGCATATTTAATTTATGACGTTGTAAAGCATGCAACGTCATATTCTCCCGCCAATTTCACGACCTGACCCGATATCACGGGCGGAACCTACCCCAAATTGATACTTATTACAGTAACTACGAAAGATCATGTGTAAATATGTCAGTGTGTTATACGTATGATATAAATAAGTAGCAATTCGGTTTACAGAAAGTTTGCAAAACTAGAAAGAATTTAGGTTTTAGAAATTAAGTAGTTGAGTCTTAATCGCCATTGTTTTCGTTTGAATGTCCCGCCCGGTCAACTGAATATTTGCTAATACCAAAAATATCAGGACTACCCGAACTTAACCCGTTCTCCCCTGGCCTGGATTGCTCATACATGTAAGCATGAATGCATGCACAGGTGCTGGACACACTAATATGACGTGTATGGTTTGATTGACAATTTTAATTTAAACGACTCCAAATCGTATTGGCGAATAATGCGCCGACTTGTTGGTAAAACTGGTATATCCGAATATATACTTCAATTTATGATAACAAACACGCTGAACTTGTGTTTGATGATAAAAAGAAGGCAGATTTACTGAATAATTTTTTTTGGTTCTGTACCCAACAAATTACTAATGAACCACATGATACTCCAGACTTTCCATCTAGATGTCAGAATAATATTAAAACAATACTTTTTCACAAAGAGAAGTAAAAGATATTCTTTAAACCCTGAAGTCTAATAAAGCACCCGGAAATGATAAGATTACTCAGGAAATGCTGAAACTGTTTGTGTACCCCTTCAAATACTATTTAATATGTCATTTTCCTAATGTAAATTTCCAAAACAATGGAATTTAGCAGTAGTAATGCATTTATTTTAAGAGGGCGAATGTTTTATTTCCTCAAATCATAGACCGATTTCACTTCTTAGTACGGTGAGTAAAGTTTTTGAAAGGGTCGTTCATAAACATCTGCATAATTATGTTATAAGTAATCAACTGATAGATATTTATCACAATATTTGTTTAGCTTTGGAAGATAACCTTCAGACTGGTATGGTATTTGTTTATATATTCAAAGCTTTCGATAGAGCACAATGGATTGTTGAAAGAACTTAGAGCGTATGGTTTTGTGGGAAATGTTCTTAACTGGATTAAAGATAACTTAAATTATAGAAATCAAATTGTTTTATAGGAGATTCTTATTCCTCAGTCGGTTACCTTAAGGCTGGTGTGCTCAGGGTTCTGTCCTGGGTTCGTTTTTACTTCTTTTATTTCTGATAAGTTACTTTCTCTATCAAGAATGTTGGCAGATGATACGTCACTTGCCTACTCTTCGAATGATAATATTGAAATAGGAAATTGTATTAACCATGATTTAGCTATAATTGATAATTGGTCAAAAGATTGGAAGGTAAATTTTACCCTAATAAAACAGAAGTATTAATTGTTAATGGATCGTTACCACAAGTCCAGGTTAATTTGTTATTTGATCGTACATTATTGGAAAATAGTTCTACTCACAAACAGCTGGGGTAACTTTTAATGCTAACAGGAAATGGGAAAATCATATCGAAAATATAGCAATATCAGTCTAAACAATTGTGTCTTGCGTAAATTGAAATATACATTAAGAAAGAAATTCTGGCTAAATCATATATTGTTTTCATTAGACCATTATTAGAATATGGAAGCGAACTCTGAGATGGTTATCACAAAATTGATTCAGAAAAATTAGAAAAATTAAAACTTGAAGCAGCAAGAGTAGTTACCGGTATTCCACAAACTTTATATACCGAAACTGGGTGGGAAAATTTTGAAGATAGAAGAAACCTAAAAGATTTATTTTATTTTATAAAATGCATCATAAATATGCTCCGTTCTATCTAAATGACATTGTTCCCAATAAAGTTAATGAAATTAGTCGATATTACGGCCTTAGAAACAATCAAGATTGTGTTATACCACGAAGTAGATTAACCTTATATGAAAAATTATTTCTCCCTAATACAGTTAAAATGTAGAATTCGTTAGATAACTCAGTTAGAAATAGTGAAACGCTATCAATAAACACTCAGTGAGCGTAGGAAAGCTTGAAATACTACAAACTAGGCTTCGACGTAGATGTAGCACCTTAAAATTCAGATTTTTTATAGTCAACTTGATTTAGCACATGTCTCCGTTCTTATCCAATCGAAAATAGCTAACATTTTTTATGGATTGTAATTTTTTAATGAATACCGTACTGTACTTTTAAGAAATTTATCTAAATATGGTTAATTAATATGGATATGCTATTGAAGGGTTCTGGTCTACTCAGTCAGGAAAGTAACGAAGACATCTGTCTCAATGTTCAAAATTATATAAAAAATACTCGACGTTTTGTTTAACGTTTGATATATGTGTACTAAATAATGAATGAAAGTGACGAGTTCAACCTTTTCCAACCTTGACAGCTGTGTAGTTGGTTGATGGAGGTTGATTTCATCACATTTTACTCATTTGAACACTATATTGTTATAATATTCATAACAATACATATTTTAGCACACTTTGTTTGATCAACATTGTACTTACACGTATATTAGCTCAAAAATGTCTGTATTTATTTTGTACCTTATGGTGTAGTGGCAAAAAACACTTATAAATTCAGCTGTTGGATACTGTTACAAAAATATATCTTATTGCTTTACATCATCAAAAACATTTTTTTTATGTAAATATAATAATCTGATGCTGCTTTCAGACGAGCCTTGACAAAGCCTTGTAAGGCCTACATGAACATTTGCAGATTCGCTAGGATTTTTACCCGAAATTGTTACTTTTAAAAACGGACGTACCGGTTGATCCAAATAAACGAACAGACACTGGTTTGTTCGTTTATTTCGTTTCAACTTCTAAATTGAATGCACGCTCCACTAAATTAGCGCTAGACTCAAGCGCCCTACTGATTCAGATTTATAACGCATTCGGGATAACGAAACTAGACTGGATTCGAGCAGAATGGGACACCGGGTAAGTTCTATGTGAATTTTTATAACTATCAGGTACCTGGGGTTAGAAGTGGTATGCACTTGATTCTGAAGACTTAAGAGGTGTCATGCTTACTCTATTGTCCCACTAATAAGGCCTAATACTCGTTGCTGGTCAGTGGGGGTATTTTGTATTTTGCAGTGGTTACAGACGGTGTGCAGATGTGTGTACTAGTTATATAATTGCAGCTGACAGATGGTTTGTCATTAGGATGCAGCCAATGGCCTAATAAAAGGGCATACAGAGCCTTTTGGTTCCAATTCTGATGAACAAAATCAAAGCAAACATTTAACATCCTTATCATTATTTGATCCAAAAATTAAGGCAAATGCGTATGACTACGATAGTGGATAGGAGTTGATATTCATACACATGCGTTGACAAGCTACCTTGCATATATCATCACCCATTTAGGACATAATAAGGATCAGCTGTGGGTGATAACAACATTAACTATAGGATTAAGGCACAAGGAGTTTGGGAGAGGAATCAATATATTAAGCTCTAAGCTTGTTTTCCTATCCCTCTCGAATTACATGTACATGTATGTGATTATGTTTAACATGTTCGATTATTGAATAAAATACAGTTTTAATTAAACAAAGGGATTTTTCTTTATGGGGAAGGTTTCAATTGTACATGATCTCTATCAACCGATTGCTTATACTGTATTTAGTGCTTGAGGGAATTTCCTTTAGCTAAATTGGTGGGGGAGCAGAGTGTGATCGAAGGTGGGTCTATGCTGGTTCGATCTCTGGAGGAAACACACTATTCACTTTCCTGTTAAATGGTGTCATTAGCCATCCCGGTACATGGTGACGGGGAGTTAGACCTGTAGTTTTATTGGTGATTGAAGGTTAACATATTCAGAAGGGGATATATTGTGTAACAAGAAAGAGAATAGTGTGCTTCCACAGGGATCGAACCCTCACTCTTCAGGTTCCTAGTCGGACGCTCTACCAATGAGCTAAAGGGAAGTTCCCTCTAGCTCGAAGCTAGAAGGCGACCTTAATCCTATATACAATTGAACCCTGCCACACTACTCTCCCCTTTTTAAATGTGTTCGCCCTCGAACACCACAACCGCAGGTTCTAACTCCCTGTCACTACAGGGAGGACCACGGACACCATTTGTAACAGGAATGAGAATAGTGTGCTTCCACCGGGGATCAAAATCCTCGATCTCCAGGTTCCTAGTCGGACACTCTACCACTGAGCTAAAGGGAACTTCCCTCTAGCTTGTAGCTAGAAGGTGACCTTAATCCTATGTACAATTGAACCCTGCCACAATTGTGTAGTGTGACAGGATTCAATTGTTCAATTGAGTTACCTCCTATCTTTGTGTTAGCCGGAGGTTTCCTTGAGCCCATCTGGTAGAGAAGTGAACTGGGAAGCTTAAGCCACTGGTTCAATCCCCAGTGGAAACAAAGTATTCTTTTTTCTGTTACATAGTATTCCTGAACTATAGGATCTTTTTGATTTGTTATAGGTAAACAAGATTGTGGATGTGTATCGACAGCTGAGCAGGTTTCCTGAGCCGGTGTCTGCATGGATATCTAACCTTTCTGGCAAAAAACAGACCATCCTTAACACTCAGTGGTCTCAACATGACTTTGAAAGGAAAGAGAAGGTCAAATTTTCTCGAGACTATCTTTTGAGTGGACAAGGGAATGTCAGTGTGGACTTCAGATCCCCAAATAGAGAAATATCTAATGAGTAAGTGTCACATAAGTAAGTCTTACTTTACAATGTTACACACAAGTAACACTTACAATGTCACATCTAGGATTGACTCCACTGTCAATATGTAATACATAACCTAGGACTAACTCCACCGTCAATATGTAATACATGATCTAGGACTGACTTCACTCTCAATATGTAATACATAATCTAGGATTGACTCAACTATCAATATGTAGTACATAATCTAGGACTGCATGACTTCACTCAATATGTAATACATAACCTAGGATTGACTGTCAGTATACAATACATAACCTAGGATTGACTCCACTGTCAATATATAATACATTATCTAGGATTGACTGTACTGTCAATATGTAATACATAACCTAGAATTGACTTGCCTGTCAATATGTAATACATAACCTTGGATTGTTCTACTGTCAAGTTGTAATACATTGACTCATCTGTCAATATGTAATACATAACCTAGGATTGACTCCATTGTCAAGTTGTAATACATAATCTAGGATTGACTTGACTGTCAATATGCACAACATTAAACCTATGCTTGTCTCCACTTTCAATATAATCGTACAAGTTATTTTACCTTATTATAGTCTGACTTTGTAGTTTGGTTTGACTGAACCTACAATCTTTCAGATTATGGAATGAAGAATCTCCATCAGGTTCGTTCAGAGCTATAGTTAAAAAGGTCACCAAGAAAGACGAGGATAAGTACTTTATAGAGGTAGGTCATGTGATAAGTCTTAAAAAATACTAAAGTCATATGATAATTTATATGTGGATTATATCAGGCATGTGATAAAGTATATGTGGAATACCTTAATCATGTGATAAAATTTACATGGAATACATCAGACATGTGAAAAGCCATATATCTCCCTTCTCGGTCCAAGTTTTAATTTCTCAATCAGCTGTGTATTAATTTTATTTGGCTGTCTCTTTTGTTCACTATCATGGGCCCGGCGAATAACTGTTATTTTGTTTTAATTGTGGCAGGTTTGGGAAGGAACACACAAAAGCCAGTGTATTGATACACTAGCACAGTCTAAACATGGCAAGATCTATGAGAATGATGGTATGTGATTGCTTTGTCTTGTCATATCATTTAGACAAGACATTGATTAATTCTATAAAATTTCTTAAAAAATGAATCAGTGTTGCTGTTCAAAATGGAAATGAGTGTATTCATGTCTTGAATGCTTGAAGGAATGAAAGTCGACCAGTGTCTCTGTTTAGAACTATCCGGAGCAGATCGATGTTTGGATAGAAAGAATTCTATTGTATGATTTGTAATATGATTTTTTGAAGGCCAATTTGGAAGTTTTGTCTGGTCTTACTCCGAGAAAAGCCTGCTTTATATCGCTGAGAAGAAACTGCCTAAATCTGTGTCCTACTTTGAGCGTGAGAAAGCAGATGACGACAAAGGCAAAAAAGAAGAAATATCACGGGTAAGACTCATAATTACAGCTTATCATCACTTGGTCTGAAGAATTAAAGATTAAATAAGATAACAAGAGAACAATTGACAATTTGACATTATATTTCTATACTGTCTAATATAATTGTTATTTCATTGCCAATGATGGAACAACTTTTAAAGAGTTGCAGTAATGTATATTAATGTCAGTTATGAGATTGTTGTAGTCATTTGCTGTGGATGCAGGTTTGTGAAACAGTTGTAAGTTGTCTCCAGGAATAGCTTCATCGATTTTCAGGGCACAGAACATTTTTACAAGGACGATTGGGGAGAACAGCTGACAGGCAAACACCTGAGTGTAATTTGTATTCTGGACCTTGAGTCAGGAGATATCCGAGTTCTGTCTGACATTCCTGATGACCTCTTCCTTGGTCAGGTAACATATATAGATAACAATGAGTAGATTATGTAATCTGGAGTTTGGAGATATTTGAGTTCAATATGACACCCAAAATGACATTTTCCTTGGTAAATTGTCCTGAAAATAGCACTGCCACAATAATAAACTTGAATGCAGTTTTACATGCACAGACCTTTCGTGCTTGTGTTCACCATATACGTCTTTGAGTTTTGAAAATTATATACAAGTTGTAGTACTTAATGAATTTGTAAAGCTAACATGAACATTACTACAATCCAAATGTTTTCTGTTTCCTCAGGCTTGCTGGGCTCCCTCAGACTCGGGTGTTCTTTTTATAGGCTGGGACATCAACCCATACAGGCCTGGTATAATTTACTGTCCAATCAGAAAGTAAGGCACTAACCTTGGGCTGGTTTGATTGATGATTGGTCCGTGCAACTATATCTGTCCCACCTTTCAGCTGTACATGTGTTCACCATACCTCCCCTCACTGTTCCTATCATGACCAATAATTTGTCCTTACAGCTGTCTGTATGTCCACTCATCCTTACAGCTGTCTGCATGCATGTCCACTCATCCTGACAGCTGTCTGTATGTCCACTCATCCCTACAGCTGTCTGTATGTACACTCATCCCTACAGCTGTATGTATGTCCACTCATACTTACAGCTTTCTGCATGCATGTCCAATCATCCTGACAGCTGTCTTTATGTCCACTCATCCCTACAGCTGACTGTATGTCCACTCATCCCTACAACTGTCTGTATGTCCATTCATCCATATAGCTGTCTGTATGTCCACTCATCACTACAGCTATCTGTATGTCCACTAATCCCTACAGCTGTCTGTCTGTCCACTCATCCCTACAGCTATCGGTATGTCTACTCATCCCTACAGCTGTCTGTAGGTCCACTCATCCCGACAGCTGTCAGTATGTTCACTCATCCCTACCGCTATCTGTATGTCCACTCATCCCTACTGCTGTCTGTATGTCCACTCACCCCCACAGCTGTCTGTATGTCCACTCATCACTACAGCTATCTGTATGTCCACTAATCCCTACAGCTGTCTGTATGTACACTCATCCCTCCAGCGGTCTGGATGTCCACTCATCCCTACAGCTGTATGTATGTCCACTCATACTTACAGCTTTCTGCATGCATGTCCAATCATCCTGACAGCTGTCTTTATGTCCACTCATCCCTACAGCTATTTGTATGTCCACTCATCCCTACAGCCGTCTGTATGTCCACTCATCCCTACCGCTATCTGAATGTCCACTCATCCCTACAGCTGGCTGTATGTCCACTCATCCCTACAACTGTCTGTATGTCCATTCATCCATACAGCTGTCTGTATGTCCACTCCCCCCTACAGCTGTCTGTATGTCCACGCATCCCGACAGCTGTCAGTATGTCCACTCATCCCTACAGCTGTCTGTATGTCCACTCATCCCGACAGCTGTCAGTATGTCCACTCATCCCTACCGCTATCTGTAAGTCCACTCATCCCTACAGCTGTCTGTATGTCCACTCATCCCTACCGCTATCTGTAAGTCCACTCATCCCTACAGCTGTCTGTATGTCCATTCATCCATATAGCTGTCTGCATGTCCACTCATCCCTACAGCTGTCTGTATGTCCACTCATCCCTACAGCTATCTGTATGTCCACTCATCCCTACAACTGTCTGTATGTCCATTCATCCATATAGCTGTCTGTATGTCCACTCATCCCTACAGCTGTCTGTATGTCCACTCATCCCTACAGCTGTCTAACAACCAAATACTGGGATGAAGGGCTAACAATTTTATTCAAATGAATGACCTTTGCCATTATTCAAGGTCACAGAGGTCAAATATGTTAAAAACAAAAGGTCTAGGGTAATGATATTTGGCCAGAAGCATGCTGGGATGAAGGACTACCAAGTTTTTCAAATGAATGACCCTAACCAATATTCAAGGTCACAGGGGTCAAATATGTTAAAAGCCTTAAACAGCTTCTTAGCCTCTTCTGAATAACTAAAATGCAAAGGATGGTGATATTTGACCCGAGCATGCTCAGATTAAGAGATTTCAAGTTTGATTCGTTCATGTGAATGACCTTGAAACACTTTCAAGATCACATCTTGTCAATTGTGTATAAATCTTTAAACGTTTGTTCAACTTAATGCTTTTGTTTGACTTCCACAGTCGCAGTAGTCAAATCTTTTAACAGGGTCTTTTGAATGACTTTAAGTCACGGCACTGATATTTAGTTTAGTCTTTTCAAGATTACAATTGTGATATTAACACCAGGTGAGTGATACAGGCCCATTTGGCCTCTTGTTTCTTATTATGACCTCAAAACTTAATTATTCCACAAAGCTAAATGTTGGTTGTCCTAGAAGAAATGAAGTATGCCGTTTAGTTAGGATGGGGTTTGTCAAAGGTCAAGGTCGGTGTTACTGAAAATGGAATTGCTAAGAACCTAATTTCAAGGCAACAATCAATTCACAAGAGCAGTCCCTTCCTAATTAAAATCCTTATTGTATCTGATACTATCAAGAACAATTATTTGTTGCTCACTGTTTTTAAGGGGGGGATGGGGTGGGGGTGGGNGGGAGGTATGTTGCCCCTAGAAACTCTTTCATTATACAAAAATAAATAGAAAACGTAAGGTAAGTATATATTATAATCAGATTAGAAACAATGCCAGAAAAGTCATGTTAAATTACAGCAGCTGTAGACAGGCTTCACCTGATATGTTAATGATGTTGGCTTTCTCTATGCAGGTCATTCGTATATCATCTGGATTTCAAGTCATCAGTATTAAGTAAGTAAAATGAGCAATAAGCTTCTACGATAAATGTTACACTTAAATGTACTTTTCTTTGTTACTCTGATCTCTGTATTAAATAAGGTACACAGATACTGACTCATACTATAGGTGGGGAGGATGGAGTTGAAAATTTTGATAAAGGAAAGTTTAGAAATGTTTCACTATGAAGTAGTAATGTTCTCTTCCATTCTAATACAATAGAAACGGTCAGTGAGGAAGGTCGTAGCTGTAGAAGTGTAAGGGTCAGTCCTGACCAGTCCAAGCTGGTGTACCTTGATAACGACATCGGTGGACCCCATATGCAGGGAAGCCGGTTATTGATGGTAAGTTGTAGGACAATTTCGCATACAGGCAGTTATTTACATCTGTAATTATAAATATAAGTACTGGTAGTTGATAATTGTTGCCGAGTTATATATTATATAGGTGTTTTTATCAGTAAGAGGTTTAGCATAGACATTTATATATATATATACACGTTTTATGATATAGACTGGGTAGACTTATAGATACCATATCAACTCTGCAATAAGCCCAGGAGTCAACATGCAATCTGACTCCAAGGAGGAGTAGCGGCTTAACCCTTTCATCCCTATGTAACTTTAGCAGACTCTACTAGCATTGATCCGGTAAAGTCCATTATGGTCAACAGTGATGAAAGGGTTAATAGCAATTCATTTGCATTTCTACTAAACTGCAATAGATATTGGTTGGTATAACTAGGCATGGGCTTAATGCTGAATATATATGATACATGTACTTTATATGACATATAGACTTGTATTTATATATGTACACATATCTGTTACACCTGGTATAGCCTATAACATATACAAGCTTTGCTATGGAGCTACATACAGACTGTAGATGTACATACAATGACTTGAGCAAGCATTATTAAACGTTCTTTTGTATATAGTACCGACAGGAATACAAACACCAGTTGTATTGACGTGCAACAAAGTGTTTTTGCTACTGTTGATATTTGTTACCTAAGATTCAGTCCAATCGTTGTATCACTATATTACTTGATAAGAATTGAAAGGTGCTAAACCTTAGTAAGTCTGGCTCGTTTTGTTTTTATTTCTACAGTATGACTGGGCTACTGGAGACCTGAATGTACTGTCTGATACAGTGGCTGCCCCAGCAGGTACGCTGATGTTATCAACATTGTGATTGGGAGTGTATACCCCTGTCACAAGCTTACACTGTCAGTGTTGTGATCGGGAGTGTATACCCTGTCACAAGCTTACACTGTCTGTGTTGTGATAGAGTTTATACCTCTGTCACAAGCTTACACTGTCAGTGTTGTGATTGGGAGTGTATACCTCTGTCACAAGCTTACACTGACAGTGTTGTGATAGAGTTTATACCTCTGTCACAACCTTACACTGTCAGTGTTGTGATAGAGTTTATACCTCTGTCACAAGCTTACACTGTCAGTGTTGTGATTGGGAGTGTATACCTCTGTCACAAGCTTACACTGACAGTGTTGTGATAGAGTTTATACCTCTGTCACAAGCCTACACTGACAGTGTTGTGATAGAGTTTATACCTCTGTCACAAGCTTACTATGACAGTGTTGTGATAGAGTTTATACCTCTGTCACAACCTTACACTGATAGTGTTGTGATAGAGTTTATACCTCTGTCACAAGCTTACACTGACAGTGTTGTGATAGAGAGTTTAAAATTTCATTTCATTTTGTTTGTAATACATTGTAATTGTGTTTGAAATGTGAAATGTATTAAACATTATCAATAAATACCATTTGAAGTGTTTTTGCCATTATTGTTTCAGCTAATGAGTTCCCTGGTTTAAGTCTGCTAGGATTACCACAGCGCTGCTGGAGTGCCGACAGCCGTAGAGTAGTAACCAGCTCTTTGTGGAGGAGTAATGTGGTAGGTAACCATCACAGATAGATCACAGGTCTAGCATTACTTGGTATTTGTCATAGGTAGAACATGGTATTTAGAGTGGTCGGGTGCTGTAGTGGATAGCACACTCTCCTTTCACAATTGTGCATGTGGCTGGGGTTCGATTCCCGGATCAGACATGAAAAGTTTGGGGTCACCTTCCCGACCACGTGGGTTTTCTTCGGGTACTCTGGTTTTCTCGTACACTAATACCCACCCCACTAACATCCAGGTCAACAAGAGTGATTAATATAAATTGAAATAACTTGTTTCATAATTGTTGTAAAATAAATAAAGTTTATATTTATATAGGTAGAATATAGATCTACTACTGTCATGGTGTGTAAGTTTTTTTAAATTGAGCAAAATTATGTTCATTAATTGATGTTATTTTGAAATGTGGCATTATACCTTGATGAAGTTAATTTGGAATGTATCATTTGTGGAATATAGCATTTTATTTAAACCTAGGACTGTTCAAGCTCTCTATCCAATAACTGGTAATCAATCCTGTACAGTTTTATACTTCAGTTTAACATTTTTTACCAGAAAATGTGGGTGATAATTTTTTTTTTTTTTACAAAGAAATATTTTTTTATAAGATGGTGTTATATTGGACTTAATTTGTTTAAGGTAGGACTGGTAATTGATGTGCAGGGAAAATCAATAACAAGAATTACTCAAGGTAAGTTGTACAGCAATAACGTTATGTTGATAATGTCTGAATTATAGTGATATATAATGCAGAAATAGGTTTTAGGTTTGGTAGGGAGGTAAAGCTTTCTCATCCTAATTCTTGATGTTAACGTTGTCATGCTGCATCATGGCACAATGGAGAATGAGGAGCTTAACTCCCATTACAAAGATATCTCTTCCTTTGACTGCCGAAGAGCATCAGCTGCTGTGTAGATTTAATTAAAAAAGGTCCCACTTGACCTGAACTACAAAAAAAATATAGAATATCAGTATTATAAACCTGTTGTTTCCATAAATAACCTGATAATCTGTATGTACATTGCTGTATTTTTTTTGTTCTTATTGATAACACAAAATAAACCTCCCTTTATTGTGACTTATTTAGGATAGAAAAAAATTAAGCAATTGTAGCATATTGTTTTTTTTAAGGATCAATGATTTTTTAAATCATGTATCGACAGGATTGAATTAAATTGTGCTGTTATGTTTTAGTACTTGTATTGAACGATTGTTTTCTTTATCCATATGCTGAGGAACCCCACTCATATTTTGTTTTAATTTCTTTTTTATTCAGGAAACAAGTCCTTTGGAGTGATGGATGTCAATCAAGATAGGATTGTGTTCTGTTGCTCCTCCCCAAATCAACCTCATTACATGGTAAACTATCTTTTTATTGATGCCAATCATTTCTGTAGCTCCACCCACAATCAGTTTTATCACACAGCAAAATAGACTCTGTATCCTATTAATGTCAATTATATCTGTTGTTTGACCTTGTTATGTACACATCTGTCCAAGTTAAACTTTTAATTTTCATTGCTTTAACATCAGTATGGGTGCTATATAACCAGATTTGCTGCATTTACTCATCAAGACATACAGAGTTTGTGTTGAGCTGAAAAGGCTGAAGGTCAAAGATGAAGGGCACAGGGAAACTTTGGTGAGGGGAGATTAAGATTTATGAATAGTGATGTCTTCCAGAGTAATGAATGAACTATCACCACACAGCAAAATATTAGGGATAAGACTAAAGAGTGAAGGCTTTAAAGGTTGTTGGTTAAAGTTGAAAGGTCACAGCTGGGTCACTTGGTTTAAAGTTTTTAAGTATCATGTATTCTCAAGGTAAATGAATGGTGTATTAACAAACTTGCTACAGTTCCTTATAGGGACTAAGGTAAAAGTTTTATAAAAGATCATCAATTTTTCACTAGTTAGTGATTTATCATTAATACAAAACCATACAGGTCGTTGCATGAGAAGGGTGAACGTAACACTGGTCAATTCTTGATTTTACCAGTTAAACGGTAAATGTTAGACCCGGGAAACTTTTTGAAGTTTCCCAGTAAACAGAATATGTATTACAGCGGGTATCACAGATTATTATGGGATGTTGGAGAAGGAACATATTCATCCTGTTTTGCTTGTGTGTTCTAAGGCTGTGGCTGAACTTCCTATCGGAGGATCAGAGGCAGAACTTACAATGACACCTATAGATGGACAGCCGTCACCACTGACTGATTCTAAATACGAGCTGTTAACACTAATACCAACAGATGACCGGATACACCCGAAGTACGGTAAGTATTCTACTGTAGTGGTCCTTATAAATATGATGGCGTCTGTATAAATAAAGGATTTGACAGTACCAAACTATTCCCTATATGCAGTGCATAATGGTCAGTTTTCCCTGTAGACAGTGTTTAATGTTAAATATTCCACTTAAACGCTGCGATTGATTTTTTGTTTCTTTTCATCCTGGTTCATTCTATTAAAGATTAACTTCAGTATTATGTGACTTTTTGATGTTCAAGTTTCTTATTCAACACTTTTTGTCAATTGTTCTCATTGCAGTAAGCTAATTACTGGTAGTTGATGTCAGTTTCCTGATGTACCTTTCTACCAGATCTAGAGAAGCACAGTGCCATTTTGTTTACTACTACTGTTTATAGAGCATCATGATCATGGGAATTCAGTATTGTGTTAACAGAGAAAATCCTTGAATTTTAAAGAAATGGGCCATTTCAGCAAGTTATAGTCCATACCCCTCCAGGATTATCCTTGTGTTAAGTGTGTACTCATATTGATCGTACTCTTTTGTATCATGTTTGACTTATTTCAAATAAAAACACCAGGTGAGCTATTAAGGCTCTTAGGACTCTATTATTTGTAAGTATCAGCAATATTTAGCTCTTAAATATATATTTTAGGTAAAATGGACTATGAAGCTATCCTGATCATGCCAGCAGAAGAAAAGGAAAAACCACCTATGATTGTTTTCCCTCACGGTAAAGTATGACATTCATCCCAATTGTCTCCCCCTCATGGGTTATTGTGGCAGCCACACTAAGGCTGCATTCATGTTTCCTGCCTGATACAGTTCAGATGGACCAGCAATACTCCATGATAACAGAATGCACTTGAACCAGAAGTTTACAGACCTAATACGCAGAGCTAAAAAAAAGTAAACAGTTCCAGAATCTTTTACACAAATACGTAGCAATAAATGAAGATATATATGTGATTCTTTTACCCGTTTTGGAAATTTGATAACAATGTCTTGAAATATATGATTTGAACTTACTTTATGTACTGAAAACTGGCAAAAGTCTGCCTTTCAGTTTTCAGTTTCAAGCAGGTATATCTGGACCCCTCAATATGCATGCCAAATTTTCCAGAGGTCAGCCTTAGTTCTGATCAGTGTTTGTCGTTTTCTTTCCGGTTCAGCTGGTTGAAACGCTTAAATCAGCAATGCATGCAAAAGTATCCTAAATGTCTCCCATCATGTTACAATGGGGCTATCAATAGCCATAAGATATATAAATTTAATCATTTTTACAGCGATTTATTTTGTCTGTACTGTACAGGTGGACCGCACACTGCCTTTCCTACATCTTATCTGCGTTATGCTGCTGGTTTTTCTGCCTGTGGTTTTGCCGTTCTTATGGGTAAGTAATGGCACTCTAGTGTATAGTAATATATAGCTGTGCTATATATTTATATTGTTACTATACACTGGCATTAATGTATAAGCATGTACAGTCATCCGAGATATGTATTGCTACTAGAGACTATAATTACATATATATGTACATTCGTATAAGAAGATAACAGTACATTATTTTGTTTACAGTGTGTTTATAGTGACGTCTGGTATCTCCTATACAGTACATTGTACCAGGAAATTGTCACACCGGTTTAGTTTTCTATTTTTTTTATAGTACCTAATAACATACGTAGGGTGAAATTAATTGGGCGAATATGGCATTTTAATGGTAAAAAGCGAATATTTGTTGGAGGGAAAATTTCCAAGAATATCATATGTTATGCAGTTCATTTGTAGTGAATTGAAGACAGTTATTTGGTTTATTGTATGTTTATAGTGAATTACAGAGGGTCTTTTGGATTTGGGGAGAACAATTTGCGATCCCTTCTCGGATTCATAGGAGACCAAGATGTGAAAGATGTCCATGTAAGTTTGAATGTCTACATCTCCGTTGATAATGACACAGAAAAATGTACTGGCAAATATGTGTACATGACTACAGATAGATATGTGTATATAAGTTATCAACATCACACCCGGAGTCTCCCAAACACATACACACATAGAGGGATCCATACCTCTTTTTATTGCGAATCATAAGTAATATTGTATTTACATCTGGATTCTAGCCAAAACGTATGCATGTACATGGAGCCATTAGCCAAACACTCAGACATATACAGCTAGTCACGAGTCACACACTCAGACAACATATGTAGCGAGTCACTAGTCACATAGACATATACAGTAAGTCTCCAGTGACATAGACATATGCAGCCAGTCACCAGTCACAAACTTAGACATATACAGTAAGTCTCCAGGCACATAGACATAAACAGCGATTCATTAGTCACACCCTCAGACATATACAGAAAGCCACTAGTCACACACTCAGAGATATACAGAGAGTCACCAGACACACACTCAGATATATACATAGAGTCACCAGTCACACACTGGGGGGTATACAGAGAGGCACCAGTCACACACTCAGACATACACAGCGAGTCACTAGTCACGCACTCAGATATATACAGAGAATCACCAATCACACACTCAGATATAAACAGAGCGTCACCAGTCACACACTCAGGCATATAGAGCGAGTCACCAGTCACAAACTCAGGCATATACAGTGAGTCACTAGTCACACTCTTAGACATATACAGCGAGTCAATAGTCACACTCTCAGACATAGACAGCGAGTCACAAGTCACGCACTCAGATATATACAGAGAATCACCAATCACACACTCAGATATAAACAGAGCGTCACCAGTCACACACTCAGAAGTATACAGAGAGTCACCAGTCACACATTCAGAAATATACAGAGAGTCTCCAGTCACACACTCAGAAAAATACAGAGAGTCACCAGTCGCACTCTCAGAAATATACAGCGAGTCACTAGTCAGACACTCAGACATATACAGCGGGTCACTAGTCACATACTCAGGTATATACAGAGAGTCACTAGTCACCCTCTCAGACATATACTGCGAGTCACTAGTCACACACTCAGAAATATACAGAGAATCACCAGTCACACTCAGAAATATACAGCGAGTCCCCAGTCACATATACAGGCATATACAGCTAGTCACTAGTCACACTCTCAGCCATATACAGCGAGTCACTAGTCAAACACTCATTTATATACAGAGAGGCACCAGTCACACACTCAGACATATACCGCGAGACGCTAGTAACACACTCAGATATATACAGAGAATCACCAATCACACACTCAGATATAAACAGAGCGTCACCAGTCACACACTCAGGCATATACAGAGAGTCACCAGACACACACTCAGATATATACATAGAGTCACCAGTCACACACCCAGAAATATACAGAGAGTCACCAGACACACACTCAGATATATACGGAGAGTCACCAGTCACACACCCAGAAATATACAGAGAGTCTCCAGTCACACACTCAGAAAAATACAGAGAGTCACCAGTCACGCACTCAGAAATATACAGAGAGTCCCCAGTCACACACTCAGAAAAATACAGAGAGTCACCAGTCGCACTCTCAGAAATATACAGAGAGTCCCCAGTCACACACTCAGAAATCTACAGCGAGTCACCAGTCACACACTCAAATATATACAGAGAGTCACCAGTCACACACTCAGAAATATACAGCGAGTCACCAGTCACATATACAGGCATATACAGCGAGTCACTAGTCACACTCTCAGACATATACAGAGAGTCACCAGTCACACCCTCAGATATATACAGAGAGTCACTAGTCACACACTCAGACATATACAGCGAGTCACTAGTCACATACTCAGGTATATACAGAGAGTCACCAGTCACACACTCAGATATATACAGAGAGTCACCAGTCACATACTCAGGCATATACAGCGAGTCACCAGTCACATACTCAGGCATATACAGCGAGTCACTAGTCACACTCTCAGACATATACAGAGAGTCACTTGTCACACTCTCAGACATATACAGCGAGTCACTAGTCACACACTCAGACATATACAGCGAGTCACTAGTCACACACTCAGATATATACAGAGAGTCACCAGTCACACACTCAGGCATATACAGCGAGTCACTAGTCACACACTCAGCCGTATACAATAAGTCCTGGTAACACACTCAGACCTGTTTACAATGAGTCACTAGTCAATCACTCAAATATGTTTAGTGAGTATTTTTAATACAGAGCCGTGAATTCTTGATTACAGGCAGCGGCAGAGGCTGTGGTCAAGAGTGGTCGAGTTGATGGCAGTAAGGTGGCAGCCTTTGGTGGATCACATGGTGGTTTCCTCACAACACACCTCCTGGGTCAATACCCGGTAAGTCTGTGGTATGCTACACCTCCTCAGTCAATACCTGATAAGTCTGTGGTATACTACACCTCCTCAGTCAATACCCGGTAAGTCTGTGGTATACTACACCTCCTCAGTCAATACCCGGTAAGTCTGTGGTATACTACACCTCCTCAGTCAATACCCGGTAAGTCTGTGGTATACTACACCTCCTCAGTCAATACCCGGTAAGTCTGTGGTATACTACACCTCCTCAGTCAATACCCGGTAAGTCTGTGGTATACTACACCTCCTCAGTCAATACCCGGTAAGTCTGTGGTATACTACACCTCCTCAGTCAATACCCGGTAAGTCTGTGGTATACTACACCTCCTCAGTCAATACCCGGTAAGTCTGTGGTATACTAAACCTCCTCAGTCAATACCTTGTGAGTCTGTGGTATACTACACCTCCTCAGTCAATACCTGATAAGTCTTTGGTATACTACACCTCCTCAGTCAATACCTTGTGAGTCTGTGGTATACTACACCTCCTCAGTCAATACCTGGTAAGTCTGTGGTATACTACACCTCCTCAGTCAATACCTGGTAAGTCTGTGGTATACTACACCTCCTCAGTCAATACCTGGTAAGTCTGTGGTATACTACACCTCCTCAGTCAATACCTGGTAAGTCTGTGGTATACTACACCTCCTCAGTCAATACCTGGTAAGTCTGTGGTATACTACACCTCCTCAGTCAATACCTGGTAAGTCTGTGGTATACTACACCTCCTCAGTCAATACCTGGTAAGTCTGTGGTATACTACACCTCCTCAGTCAATACCCGGTAAGTCTGTGGTATACTACACCTCCTCAGTCAATACCAGGTAAGTCTGTGGTATACTACACCTCCTCAGTCAATACCCGGTAGGTCTGTGTTATACTACACCTCCTCAGTCAATACCCGGTAAGTCTGTGGTATACTACACATCCTCAGTCAATACCTGGTAAGTCTGTGGTATACTACACCTCCTCAGTCAATACCTTGTGAGTCTGTGGTATACTTCACCTCCTCAGTCAATACCAGGTAAGTCTGGGTTATACTACACCTCCTCAGTCAATACCCGGTAAGTATGTGGTATACTACACCTCCTCAGTCAATACCAGGTATGTCTGTGGTATACTACACCTCCTCAGTCAATACCCGGTATATGTCTGGGATAACTACACCTCCTCAGTCAATACCTGGTAAGTCTGTGGTATGCTACACCTCCTCAGTCAATACTTGGTAAGTCTGTGGTATACTACTCCTCCTCAGTCAAAACCTGGTAAGTCTGTGGTATACTACGCCTCCTCAGTCAATACCCGGTAAGTCTGTAGTATGCTACACCTCCTCAGTCAATACTTGGTAAGTCTGTGGTATACTACACCTCCTCAGTCAATACCTGGTAAGTTTGTGGTATACTACACCTCCTGGGTCAATACCCGGTAAGTCTGTGGTATGCTACACCTCCTAAGTCAATACCCGGTAAGTCTGTGGTATGCTACACCTCCTCAGTCAATACCTGGTAAGTCTGTGGTATGCTTCACCTCCTAAGTCAATACCCGGTAAGTCTGTGGTATACCGCACCTCCTCAGTCAATACCCGGTTAGTCTGTGGTATACTTCACCTCCTCAGTCAATACCTTGTGAGTCTGTGGTATGCTACACCTCCTCAGTCAATACCTTGTGAGTCTGTGGTATGCTACACCTTCTCAGTCAATACCCGGTAAGTCTGTGGTATACTAAACCTTTTCGGTATGTTTATCAGACTGTAATACTTATAGACAAAGTTCTTGTAATTAAATTGTGTTATTAAAAAATCTGTATTTTTTCCTTTGAGAAAAATCATTTTTGATTTGTATGGTGTTTCAGGACTTTTACAGAGTCGGATCCTGCAGAAATCCAGTGACAAATCTAACAAGTGAGTTGTTGTATCTGTTTACTGTCTGTCTCACCAAATTATGTCTGTCCGGATGTCTGTTTTATATATACTGGTATGTCTAACTAATATATAATGTCAGTCTCTTTCTAATTTGTATATCTGTATGTCCAGCTCTTTGCCACATTTGGTCTGTCCAATACCTGTTTGTCCATTTGTCTCCGGCTGTCGGTTTCTTTACGCTAATATAATCTCTCAAAGTGCATTTTGCTCTCTGAATTACCATTGCGAAAACTTCATAGGTGTACATTGTGTGTACCAATCGTTTATGGGATGCATGATTAACCTTTAATCAAAGGACAAGTTTAGATCTAGTGACTGTATTAGCACTAGAAGTTTTGTATATTATACAACATAGTTTTAGGGAAAAAATCATATCAAAGTAAATAATCCATAGTTAAAAGCTGTTTAGAGATAAGAATTAAACTTTAACATAATCACGCTGATCTTTGGTTATGGAACTCTATAGGAAATGGCTGGTGTCTAGATCTGTCTGTAGGTTTTTGTTAACTCACCAAGCACACATTCACACTTACCTCGACTTTCTGACATTATTATAGATAGATGACCTCTTAGGTTTTCCCGTACAATCAGGCAATTATTGTTCAGGGTTAGAATTATTGATGTTGTACATAAAACATGATTTTTCTCGTTGCAGACATGATGGGTGTAACTGACATCCCTGACTGGTAAGTTTGTACTACTTTAAACTGATATCACGGTCAGCTGTCCCTCACTAAATAACTTCTAATTGTTATGGACTTTCATGGTATTACAGGTGAGATTTCATGTTTTTTCCAGATTTGGTTACGTCATGCCTTCAGTCCTTAGATTTTGTAATTTTGTGTGTAAGTTGAAATTCCAAAATGGCTGTAACGACGAAAGCTTCCCTGTAACAGTATGTCCATTAAGGTCTTTCCTGTATTTCAGGGTGATGGTAGAATCTGGTCTTCCCTTTGATTACACGGTCGTACCAGATGGAGAACATTTGGCCCAGATGTTGGCCAAGTCACCAATAGCTTACATTGATCAGGTGAGTTCAAGCTTTACTTCATAAAAAACAATTCAAAATTTAAATTTGAAAGGTTAACACATACAGATCAAATGTAACACTGACAAAAATGCAGGCCAAAGGTCACAAATCCATTGTTCCTTTTTACATTTCTTTTTAGGTATTATTTGATTTTGAAGATTGTGAAAGTTCAAATATATTTACCTCAACTTATCAAAGTTGTTGATGATCAGACAGTTTTATACCTAGTACACTTTTAGACTGTGCATTGGTCAAATACCACCTTCTGGATACTCATACCAAGGTCAAGGTCAACGTCTTAATTTCAACTTACAATGATCCTCTATCAAACTATGGTCATGATATATTACATGTACAGTATTATATTTTACCAGTGAAACATAGCGTTTTACAATGAAAATGAGTTTTCTACATGTAACAAATAAAATCGTTTTTCCATTTTCACACTAAACTGACCAGTCAGAGATAAACATTTAGTCTGAAAAAAACCCAAATAGTTATTGGCAACGTACTCGTGTTACAATATCACTGGTGTTTTTATCGGGACGCCATACTATATAAATAGCTATGATACATTGTAATACAGTACATAATTCAAATTCCTGTCTCCATGTTTTTGTCGGGAGATGGTCTGTCTATTCACTGAAGCCCATATCATGTCTTAATAAACTACAAGTGACAGAATGATCTTGTTGGCTTGATGAAAAACTGTTCTATTTTAGTTATGAGTTTAATATTTTTTACCATATATTTCACTCATGTTTTTAAAACACCCTTGGAAAATATAAAAATATTCATCTCATTGTGAAATATAACTGTTATTCATCAAGAAACCAAGAACATCTTTTATGTATTTTTGGCTAAAAGGTAACATTGATAATTAGCCATAATTTGTTGTTAGTTGATATTTTTTTATTTGGAATTTGATTTCAGTTTAAGGCCCCATTACAAATAATGCTAGGTCTAGATGACCGAAGAGTTCCACCGAAACAAGGGGAGCAATTCTACAAGGCTCTGAGATCCAGGAATATTCCCACCAGGTAAAATTATGGTCACACCACGTACCTATATGACATGTTTGTCAGATAGTATGTGTACTGCAAAACCCTGTCATGGGGAGTTATTGCCCTTTGATAGCGCATGGTTTTATAACAGTTAACTTTCTAGGATAGCAATGAATAATGTCATCTGGTGAATGTTAGTTGTTTATCACTTGGTGATGGGTTATACTTTACAACTTTGTGATAGCTTTGTAGTAATCTATTTCAAAATGATACATGATGGGAATTTATTACAAAATGGTGATTCATATTAATATACTGTTTAAGGATCTTTTGGGGGTATTACTTTTATCGGTATATATGAAATGATCAATCCAACTGTGCATGTGTAAATTGAATAGATTGTGAAGCATTACTCATACTAAAGTTGAGTTATAACCTCATAAACTGACCAAAATAGAAATGCATTTCTTATATTTACAGCGAATTGTTCATAGCTAAATTAGCTCCTTTGTACAGCATCACCATTTCCTGTGTACAACATCACCATTTCCTGTAAACTACATCACTACCTCCTGTGCACTACATCACCATATCCTGTATGCTACATCACTACCTCCTGTGCACTACATCACCATCTTATGTGAACAACATCACCATTTCCTGTATACTACATCACTCTCTCCTGTATACTACATCACCATTTCCTGTATACTACATCACTACCTCCTGTGCACTACATCACCATTTCCTGTATATACTACATCACTACCTCCTGTGCACTACATCACAATTTCCTGTATACTACATCACTACCTCCTGTGCACTACATCACCATATCCTGTATACTACATCACTACCTCCTGTATACTACATCACTACCTCCTGTATACTACATCACTACCTCCTGTATACTACATCACTACCTCCTGTATACTACATCACTACCTCCTGTATACTACATCACTACCTCCTGTATACTACATCACTACCTCCTGTATACTACATCACTACCTCCTGTATACTACATCACTACCTCCTGTATACTACATCACTACCTCCTGTATACTACATCACTACCTCCTGTATACTACATCACTACCTCCTGTATACTACATCACTACCTCCTGTATACTACATCACTACCTCCTGTATACTACATCACTACCTCCTGTATACTACATCACTACCTCCTGTATACTACATCACTACCTCCTGTATACTACATCACTACCTCCTGTATACTACATCACTACCTCCTGTATACTACATCACTACCTCCTGTATACTACATCACTACCTCCTGTATACTACATCACTACCTCCTGTATACTACATCACTACCTCCTGTATACTACATCACTACCTCCTGTATACTACATCACTACCTCCTGTATACTACATCACTACCTCCTGTATACTACATCACTACCTCCTGTATACTACATCACTACCTCCTGTATACTACATCACTACCTCCTGTATACTACATCACTACCTCCTGTATACTACATCACTACCTCCTGTATACTACATCACTACCTCCTGTATACTACATCACTACCTCCTGTATACTACATCACTACCTCCTGTATACTACATCACTACCTCCTGTATACTACATCACTACCTCCTGTATACTACATCACTACCTCCTGTATACTACATCACTACCTCCTGTATACTACATCACTACCTCCTGTATACTACATCACTACCTCCTGTATACTACATCACTACCTCCTGTATACTACATCACTACCTCCTGTATACTACATCACTACCTCCTGTATACTACATCACTACCTCCTGTATACTACATCACTACCTCCTGTATACTACATCACTACCTCCTGTATACTACATCACTACCTCCTGTATACTACATCACTACCTCCTGTATACTACATCACTACCTCCTGTATACTACATCACTACCTCCTGTATACTACATCACTACCTCCTGTATACTACATCACTACCTCCTGTATACTACATCACTACCTCCTGTATACTACATCACTACCTCCTGTATACTACATCACTACCTCCTGTATACTACATCACTACCTCCTGTATACTACATCACTACCTCCTGTATACTACATCACTACCTCCTGTATACTACATCACTACCTCCTGTATACTACATCACTACCTCCTGTATACTACATCACTACCTCCTGTATACTACATCACTACCTCCTGTATACTACATCACTACCTCCTGTATACTACATCACTACCTCCTGTATACTACATCACTACCTCCTGTATACTACATCACTACCTCCTGTATACTACATCACTACCTCCTGTATACTACATCACTACCTCCTGTATACTACATCACTACCTCCTGTATACTACATCACTACCTCCTGTATACTACATCACTACCTCCTGTATACTACATCACTACCTCCTGTATACTACATCACTACCTCCTGTATACTACATCACTACCTCCTGTATACTACATCACTACCTCCTGTATACTACATCACTACCTCCTGTATACTACATCACTACCTCCTGTATACTACATCACTACCTCCTGTATACTACATCACTACCTCCTGTATACTACATCACTACCTCCTGTATACTACATCACTACCTCCTGTATACTACATCACTACCTCCTGTATACTACATCACTACCTCCTGTATACTACATCACTACCTCCTGTATACTACATCACTACCTCCTGTATACTACATCACTACCTCCTGTATACTACATCACTACCTCCTGTATACTACATCACTACCTCCTGTATACTACATCACTACCTCCTGTATACTACATCACTACCTCCTGTATACTACATCACTACCTCCTGTATACTACATCACTACCTCCTGTATACTACATCACTACCTCCTGTATACTACATCACTACCTCCTGTATACTACATCACTACCTCCTGTATACTACATCACTACCTCCTGTATACTACATCACTACCTCCTGTATACTACATCACTACCTCCTGTATACTACATCACTACCTCCTGTATACTACATCACTACCTCCTGTATACTACATCACTACCTCCTGTATACTACATCACTACCTCCTGTATACTACATCACTACCTCCTGTATACTACATCACTACCTCCTGTATACTACATCACTACCTCCTGTATACTACATCACTACCTCCTGTATACTACATCACTACCTCCTGTATACTACATCACTACCTCCTGTATACTACATCACTACCTCCTGTATACTACATCACTACCTCCTGTATACTACATCACTACCTCCTGTATACTACATCACTACCTCCTGTATACTACATCACTACCTCCTGTATACTACATCACTACCTCCTGTATACTACATCACTACCTCCTGTATACTACATCACTACCTCCTGTATACTACATCACTACCTCCTGTATACTACATCACTACCTCCTGTATACTACATCACTACCTCCTGTATACTACATCACTACCTCCTGTATACTACATCACTACCTCCTGTATACTACATCACTACCTCCTGTATACTACATCACTACCTCCTGTATACTACATCACTACCTCCTGTATACTACATCACTACCTCCTGTATACTACATCACTACCTCCTGTATACTACATCACTACCTCCTGTATACTACATCACTACCTCCTGTATACTACATCACTACCTCCTGTATACTACATCACTACCTCCTGTATACTACATCACTACCTCCTGTATACTACATCACTACCTCCTGTATACTACATCACTACCTCCTGTATACTACATCACTACCTCCTGTATACTACATCACTACCTCCTGTATACTACATCACTACCTCCTGTATACTACATCACCATCTCCTGTATACTACATCACTACCTCCTGTATACTACATCACTATCTCCTGTATACTACATCACTACCTCCTGTATACTACATCACTACCTCCTGTATACTACATCACCATCTCCTGTATACTACATCACTACCTCCTGTATACTACATCACCATCTCCTGTGCACTACATCACCATCTCCTGTATACTACATCACTACCTTCTGTGCACTACATTAATATCTCCGGTGTACTTCCTCATTGTGTACTTCGTTTTATTTTCTGTCAGGTTGGTGACATACGAGGGAAACAGTCATCCAATCATCACAACAGATGCTGAGTCTGATGCATTTGTCAATACTATAACCTGGTTTGACACTCATCTAGGTCAATGAACGTAGTGCTGAGGATTGGTTTAACACACACACATGGACTTGCACTGAGGATCGGAACAAGTGTCCAGGACATGATAGACTTGGTTCTATAAATACTTGATGTTAGTGACAGCAACACACTTTCTTTTTTTGTATCTTGATGATACTGTATATATTTCAAACAGAGTATTTTTTATATAACCTTGTTTTATACCTCATGATTATAAATGGTGCCACGATTCATTGTCTTTGTTTCATTTACAGTGTGATTGATATATTGCCATATTATGTATCCCAGAGAATTTTACTCCAACTCAACACCAGGAATTACCAGAGTACCATCCCCAAACCATAGCTATCATCTGACTGTAAACATAATAATCAAAATTTAGTCCACAGTAGTCAGTAGACAGTGTATTTTTGCAGTCACAAATTAATTTAAATCCAAGACATGATGCTGACTGGGAGTATCTCAGCCAAGAGTGTTATTATTTTAAAGCTGTCTGATTAACTATTACCTAACTATTACCTAACCATTTGAAGTAATTTAATCTGTACACCCCTGGTATTTTACTGGGGAGAAATTATTTGAATTTCAGTCTGTGTAATGTTGTTCAAAATTGCATGTTTGAGACTGGTAAGAGTTATGTTAAAATTGTTAGCTTGCCATGTCTGAACGACCAAAGTAAGCTATATTGTACCACTACCTCCATCTGTAAAAAATACCTTTGAAGTTAAAGGGTGTGTCTAGAATGGCATCATAACATGAAAATGGTTGAGAGTCAAACCATATACAATAGCTGAGTATGAAGAGATGGATCGAGATATCCAAACTACCTGGATTTGCCTCTTGGTCTGCCCCACCCTTGGGAGCTTATATTTAGTACCTAGGTCATAGCATGGAAATGGTTGGGATCCCCACCCTATAACCATATGCCCTAGCCGGTAACCCATGGCAACTCAATTAGTCCCTGGGTCACAATTGCAACTTTGATCAAGTTGAAATCCCCACACCGATTACCCTATCTTATCATATATACAATTGCCAGGCACAAAGAAACAAATAACACAATCATGCTTTCAAAATTGGCTCAAGGCGAAGAGTCAGGCTCAGCTAGCTGTTGAAACTTAGCCCTAGAGTCATAGTACAGAAATTGTTGAGAACCTCACCCTGAAACTGCATGTAGATTTTTTGGCATAAAAATGTGGAATGAAGAGACATTTTGTAATTACAATTAATAGATGCCTACCTGGTTTCACCTTGGAGTGTTCCCCAGCTGTTAAAAATTTAGTCACATGGTCATTATATAGGAATAGTCGAGATCCCTACCCTATAACCATTATACAAATGCTTGGCATGAAGAGACAAACATGATCATGCTATCAGAATTGACCTCATGGTTAGGCCCCGCCCTTTGGGATTTAAACCCTGGGTCATAACATGATACGCTATAACCACATTCATGTATACAATTTGCTGGAGATGAATACATGCTTGATTTGTCCCTGTTAATCTAGTCCTTTGATAATAAGTTGATACCTCTAAATGATTGATATTACCACCCAATTAATATATACATAATGTGTGTGTGTACTGAGCATAAAGAGATGAGATTCTCATGCTACCAGAGTTAGCCCGGAGTTTTGACTGTATCCCTAGAGATTTACTTGAAATATTATTTCAATTGAGAATATTTTGACAAAGAAATAGAAGATATATCATTTATCTAGGACGCTGTGTCTCCAGCCCCTTTCTGTGAGAATAATTTGCTTAAATATCCAGTTGATACAGGCTCTCAAAGCCTCTTGCAATTATTTATTGAATATATGTGGATGTATTATAATGGATGTGTTATAATGGATGTGATTATAGTTTAATTACCATACATGCACTTTTCATAGTTCATGCATGTTTCCATGTCTAGTGCTGCATTTACTTAAATGACTTAACATCTAGAGTTGATGGAAAAAGTGCTGAAATCAAATTATTGCAAAAAGAATTATTTCAACATAGAAACAAAAGTTCGGAAAACTACCTACATCTGCAAGTCTGTAACGTGAGCCACTGTTAACTAAACAATAGGACTTTATGGAAAGATGCAAATGTACAAGCACGTGTTAAGTTGTGTAAGTTAGTGATTTGTGAAAAACAAAATTGTTGTGTATTCTAGTGAATGTTTTTGTAACGAGTCCTGGTGACCTGAATCACTGAATGGCGATACATTGTACCATTGTAAAGATTATCTTTATGTATCGGTTATTTGTATTGGCAATACACATGTACATGTATGCTATAGGGTTTCTTTACCTGCATTATGTTTGAGATGCTAGTACAGGATATATTTAAACAGAAGCTCATTTATTACATTTATTCAGAATAATTACACGCATCTACCGTATTTGTAATGGATGAGTGATTTGATAAATTGCATACTAGAGTAATAAATTTAATGCAGCTTTTTTTAACTGTTTCCTTTTCATTTGAAGTGTCACAAGCTATATGTTTAAAAATTAAAAACACCAGACAAGGATGTGTCGGCTAAGGCTCACTGAAGTGTGTCTCTGTTTAAAATGCTCCTCAGGCTAGCTTCGACTATGTCTGTAGGTGATAGTCCTCAGGCTAATGTGGCCGACGTTTCAGCTGTAGTGTCCTCTGATAATGTGAAACATTTTTCCCTTATACTTAATAGAGTCGTTGGCTAGAAGGGACCATATCCCATGTAATAGTGTGGTCAGGCTAGTGTGGCCGACATTATCAGCAGTAACATGGCCTCATGATAATGCAAAACATTGTTCCCTTATGCATAATAGTGTTCTTGGCTAACACTGTCAATATAGTATTTTTAGCTCACCTGCCCGAGGTGCGGCATCCGTCGTCTTCCATCAACTTTTCCTTTAAACAACTTCTTCTGAAGAACAAACTGGCCAAGAGTCATGATATTTGGCTGAAAGCTTTGTTGGAAGGAGCCTGACAAAGTTTGAGAATGAAAATGACCTTGACCTACTTTCAAAGTCACAGGGGTCAAATACTTCAAACATCTTCTGAAGATCTGAAAGGTATAGCAACTTCATATTTGGCTGGTGGATTCCTGGGATAGAGCCCAACAAAGTGTAAGAATGATAATGAATATGACCTATTTTAAAAGTCAAAGGGGTCAAATATGTCAAACACTTGACAAATGTTTGGCTGGTTGATTCCTTCGGTAGAGCTAGACAAAGGTTGAAAATTAAAATAACCTTGACCTACTTTCAAGGTCACAGGGGTCAAATATGTCAAACACTTCAAACGACTTTTTTGAAGTACGGAAAGGTATAGAATCTTCATATTTTGCTGGTGGCTTCCTGGGATAGAGCCCAACAATGTTTGAGAATGATAATGACTTTGACCTACTTTCAAGGCCACATCAGTCAAATATGTCAAACTCTTCAAAACGGCTTATTTTGTAGAAATTACAGGTATGGAATCTTCATATTTTGCTAGTTGGCTTCGGAAAGAGCCAGACAAAGTTTGGGAATTAAAATGGCGTTGACCTACTTTCAAGGTCACATGGGTCAAATATGTCAAACTTTTCAAACGACTTCTTCTAAACTTAAAGGTATGGAATTTTTATATTTGGCGGTTGCTTCCTTTGATTGAGGCCGACAAAGTTTGAGAATGATAATGACTTTGACCTACTTTCAAGGTCGCAGCAGTCAAATATGTCAAACTCTTCGAAACAGCTTCTTCTATAGAACTTAAAGGTATGGAAGTTGGTTCCTTGTATAGAGCCAGACAAAGTTTGAGAATCAAAATGACCTTGACTTTCTTCCAAGGTCACAGGGGTCAAATATGTCAAACACTTCCAACAACTTCTTCTTAAGAACTGGAAGGTATATAATCTTCATATTTGGCTGTTTGCTTCCTGGGATAGAGTCCAACAAAGTTTGAAAATGTAAATAACCTTGATCTCCTTATAAGGTCACAGGGGTCAAATATGTCAAACAATTAAAAGACTTCTTCTGACTAATCTTAGAGCAAAGAATTATAATATTAGGGCTGGTAGCTTCCTGGGATGGCACCTGACAAAGTTTGAAAATGAAAGTAACCTAGATCTCCTTATAAGGTCACAGGGAAAAATACTTCATACAACTTCTGAAGAAGAACCAAAAAGCATAGAATCATATAATAATATTTGGCTGGTAGTTTCAACACATGGAGCCTACAAAGTTTGCAAGTGAAATATTTGTAGTATAGGATAATATTTAATGAGAACATTTTGCTACGACTGCTTAAATATTCAGGTGAGCGATACAGGCCTTCTGGGTCTCTTGTTACTTATATTCTCAAAAATAATTTAGCACTGATTAAAGAACACTGACAGGTCAGAAAGTGTTTTCGACAGCACATTTCCCCCATTCCATTTTTAAAAAAGAGTGACCTTGACCTTAACATGTAGAACTTGACCCCTACTGTGGATTTGGGTTTTTTGGCTGGTGTGTAAGAGGTCAAGGTCAGCAATGCTAAAAATAGTATTCTGCTTGCATGTATATGTCCAGATGACAACTTTAAAATGTTGTCCTAATGATTGATAATATGCCTATAGATTGTTGGGAAGGGCAGTCAGAGGTCAAGGTCACCATTGCTAAAAATGAAATTTTGCTTCTCTTAATGATAATTGAAAACTTTTATACTCAACTGGCCTCAGGATCATGAAATAATCTTAGACTTCAGTGTTTACTTTGCCAATCACATATGATGTCACTGTTCATGACATTATCTGTGAATGGTCAAGACCAAACTTCAGACAATTTTAGACTTGAGATCGTTTCATGATCTCGGAGCCTGTGTAACTTGTAAATGGATGATCATTGTACAAGATCTGCATTTCTTATGCATAGAACAGTTCAGACTGTACAGATTTGTTCACATAAGTTCCCTACCCTTCTCAAACACAAATCAATGATGGGTCAATAGCAAACCCGGCATGGGATTATCTCGGGAGATATGCTGACCCTTGATGCTCTTGTTTGACAAAGTGATAACTGTAGGGCTCTTTTAAGTCATATTGCCCTTAAATCTGTACAGAATGAGGATCTTTATATCCAATAGGATACATCTATATAATGAGTCAAACAAAACAGGTTTAGTAAGAATAGCATTTATTTATATTGCTCTCCAAGTCTGAACCAGCAGAATCACATAACACTAATGCTATTTGCCAGCAAACAGCATAATGTACAAAATGTGTACATAAGGTATATATTATGAATTACACAATTACATATTTTTGGAAAATGTACAACTAATTGAAATCAATAAAGTAAATATATATATATTAAATATAAAGCTAAGTCCATCGGTGAATATCATCCCCTTTTAAATGCTCATTGTTGATCAATAATAACTGCTCCAATCGTATAATTAGTCTTGATCACTAATGACTGTTCCAATTGTTTAATCAGTCTTGATCAATAATAACTGCTCCAATTGTTTAATTAGTCTTGATCAATAATAACTGTACTAATCGTATAATTAGTTTTGATCCATAATTACTGCTCCAATTGTTTAATTAGTCTTGATCAATAATAACTGTACCAATCGTATAATTAGTTTTGATCCATAATAACTGCTCCAATTGTTTAATCAGTCTTGATCACTAATTACTGCTCCAATTGTTTTATTAGTCTTGATCACTAATAACTGTACCAATCGTATAATTAGTCTTGATCAATTATAACTGCTCCAGTTGTTTAATTAGTCTTGATCAATAATAACTGTACCAATCGTATAATTAGTCTTGATCAATAATAACTGCTCCTATTGTTGAATTAGTCTTGATCAATAATAAGTGCTTCAATTGTTGAATTAGTCTTGATCAATAACAACTGCTCCAATTGTTGAATTAGTTTTGATCCATAATAACTGCTCCAATTGTTTAATTAGTCTTGATCACTAATAACTGTACCAATCGTATAATTAGTCTTGATCAATAATAACTGCTCCTATTGTTGAATTAGTCTTGATCAATAATAAGTGCTTCAATTGTTGAATTAGTCTTGATCAATAATAACTGCTCCTATTGTTGAATTAGTTTTGATCCATAATAACTGCTCCAATTGTTTAATCAGTCTTGATCACTTATAACTGCTCCAATTGTTTAATTAGTCTTGATCAATAATAACTGTACCAATCGTATAATTAGTTTTGATCCATAATAACTGCTCCAATTGTTTAATTAGTCTTGATCAATAATAACTGCTCCTATTGTTGAATTAGTCTTGATCAATAACTGCTCCAATTGTTGAATTAGTCTTGATCAATAATAACTGCTTCAATTGTTTAATCAGTCTTGATCAATAATAACTTTTACAATTGTTTAATCAGTCTTGATCAATAATAAGTGCTTCAATTGTTGAATCAAGACTTGATATTGTTAAATACAATAAACATAACGTTTAACACTTTCACCACAGTAGCCCATAATGGACTCATCCATATCAATGCATGGCAGGGTCTACTAAAGTAACATAGGGGTGAAAAGGTTAAAAAAGTGTCCACAACAAAGATCTCTACTGGAGTATTGTTACTGTAAACCAATCTCATAGATAATATTAAAACAGTTAACCGATCTCATTGCTAATATCAAAACAGTAAACCAATCTCATAGCTAATATCAAAACAGTAAACCAATCTCATTGCTAATATCAAAACAGTAAACCAATCTCATAGCTAATATCAAAACAAAGTTATAATAAGTTAACTTATGACCTGTGAATCACATATAAATCTTGAGGACAAGTTTCCACATATGTGGTGGAATGTAAAAGTAATAAAACAAAACGAATATATATCAAATTCTTAAAAATTGATATGACACAATATATATGGCAATTATATATATTACAATGGCAAAAACGTGTACCAAATCTTATAAAGGTACATATTCTTTGAGGAGGACCAAAAAGGTTTGTTAGTGGTATAACAAAGTATGAATTTTAAAAAAATAACCTTTAAATTGAGGACGCTTGTCGAACAGTTTTAAATCCGGTAATTTCATCAATAGCTGTATTTTTTTTTTATATTGAAACTATTCTTGATACTATTATTGATTATTATTGTACATACGTTTCCAGCGTAGCCGAAATCGACATCGATTTTATGGACAACTCGTACGCATTTCACAGCTTTGTGTGCATACGCTTCACTGGTCATGATCATTTGTCTGATGAAGGTGATAGTGTACATATCATACTAGTCATCGAAAAGTCACATAGAAAATTTCATTGGATCTGTAAAAAGAACTTCCCATAATCTTCTTGATACTGTTTGGTATGAAGGGAATTTTAAATACTGTTTGATCGTGAAATATTTTTGATGTGTAATATCTGTGTAGTACATAATAAATAAGATGTGTCGTTCCTATCCAACAATGATCGTGCCCTTTTGGCTACGGTTTGTGAAGTTGTTGTTTCGGCTACACATGTAGTGGTAGGTGCCAGCCTTGAATTTTAGCACAGCTCCCTCGTATGATGCCGGGGCATTGTTCAGCAGTTTATTCATAAGTGTCTTGGTGTCGGCAGCTTCTCCCGACATTCCTCCGCAACTACTCGCCTTGGTGCACCTGTACAAAAATACAGACATTTCATATATACACAAACACTATACACACAAACGTTATACACCAACACAAACAATGTAGGCAAATTTGTGCAAAATTTCACCTTTCGAAGTACGTCTGTAAAGATTCACCTGTATGCATACACCTACAAATTCTAACATAGCCGTACCTACCAGAATTATAAACTGTACACTGCATAGATGTACCCTTATATGAAGAAATCACTTGGACAATGATATACTTATAGTCTTATACACATTTATTCTGAAGACAGAGTATGACAGAATCTACGAGTTATGGATTACATACACATAGTATCCCGATGAGGCCATGCTGACTGCCAGGTCCTTCGGTGACACCGATCCTTTCCCATGATAAATCCATTTTACTTCAGCATTCTGCCACATAGTAGACTGTTCAAATGGCACAGGGTAGTTGTTGTTCAAGTCTTCAATCTGAACCATATTATTTCTATCGGTACCTAAAATCAAAAACATACTGACGTTTTCATTAAAAGAAACAGCAACTACATATCTAAAACACTACAAGATCTGTTGTCCCTCCCAATATGACCTCCCATCAATCCACCTGTACAATTGACCCGGTTGGCTAACTATTGTCCTTCCTGTACAACCCTTCCCAAGGTAAAGTCCACAAAACCCCCCCTGTACATTATGACCCACTTTGTCCCAATATATATGACCCACACCTGCCATGCATAATAAATCACCCCAATATCATGCATGACCAACCAGTCCTCCGCTGTTTAATAATATATTCTTGCTCTGTATGACCCACCTGAACCATCATCCCATCTTAGTCCAGTGTTATCCATCCATTCCCCTCGTATGACCCACAATCATCCCAGCATCACCCACTCCTTCCCTTGTCTGAATCACCACCCTCCCTAATATGACTTACCATCTTTCCCTTGTCCCTCGTCTCCTGCTTGCCCATCTCCTCCATTTCCTCCATTGTTATGGCTGTTAGAACCTGGAAAAAACAATTATGGTAAATAAATATTACAATATCCCATTCACAATCAATACAAACAGTTTGCCAAGGCCATTTTGTTTATTACATTCCAAACCATTGGACCAGAGTAGTTTATTTACAAAATAGGGATGAACCTATAGCCTAGTAAGCTGATGTTGTATTTCGGGGAACCTTGGAAAAGATTTTCCAGTACTGTATTAACATTGGCAGGTCCATCAGGTTTTACTCCTGAAATATTACTAATTGGTCTGCATAAACGCACAGGCCCCAAGATATCGTACGTAACTGTCAAACTCGCGTATCCACTTGATATCATGTATGTACCAGGTTGTTAGGTTGGAGAGTGTGTTTCGGTAAATCATACTTAACTAACCTGTCCACTGTCTATAGTCCTCATGTACCAGGTTGTTGAAGGTCATAGTGCTGGTACTAACTTTTCTACTGTACATAATGTATGTTCTAGGTCATTGAGTGGGTGGAGATTATGTTGTTAGGGGAAATCAATACTTACCTGTCCACTGTGTACTATGTACTAAGTCATTAGGTCAGAACCTGAGGGTGTAAGGGTGTTGGTTGTACTCACCTGTCTACTGTATATGAACAAGGTTGTTAGGTCGTAGACTCAGGTTGTTGGGCAGTAAGTCGTACTCACCTGTCCACTGTATATGTACAAGGTCGTTAGGTCGTAGACTGAGGGTGTTGGGGAGGAAGTCGTACTCACCTGTCCACTGTATATGTACAAGGTCGTTAGGTCGTAGACTGAGGGTGTTGGGGAGGTAGTCGTACTCACCTGTCCACTGTATATGTACAAGGTCGTTAGGTCGTAGACTGAGGGTGTTAGGATGGAAGTCGTACTCTACAGCCGGATACACCTGGACTATATTGCCTCGCTTGCCCCTGATGTTGAGGTTATAGATTCTGTCATTATCCATTCCCGAGGGGCGGGGCTTCAGTAGGAACACGTGGCTACGATCCTGGAATGTCCGACCGGTCTGATCTGTGTTGATGTTCAGTCGTAGAGCTGACCTCTCACCAACGTCCACATAGGGGTCCTGCTCCACAGGAGACATGGTCTTAGTCGCTCTGGTAAAGGATATACACAAAACTCCTTATTTAATGAAATAAACTTACAAGCATACATCTTGTAGATTTTGTTGATGTCATTGACTACTATATGTCCTAACTCCTAGGTTTTGCTAATTGCTAAAGTATGATAAAATCCTTGGCACTTACAACAGTGTTATGAGTGTTTTTAATTAATCCACCTGTGTACTGTATATCAGATTCATACACTTGTATGATACAGGAGAGGTAGAAATTTCCTTTCACAAATATTATCCAACTAGTTATCCCCTAGATTGTTGAGGAATTGTCAGTTTGAAATGTGTTACAACGATTTTAATGATTATTTACACTTAGACCACCTCTAGATCTATAGAACACTTGTGTAAAGAGGTAACTTTTAACAGGTATCTTATTAAGTGTCTGACTTCACATGAAATCATTAGACATTGTCGGTATGTTCCGTTAGCTTGCATCTTTCTGTAGAAGTTACGTCACACTTACTCATTTCTGTTGTGACTACTGTTGGTGGTATAGGGATCATAGTCATCTGTGGAAATGTTGTATCTGAAATGTTAAAGTACAGAAACACATGTAGAGACAGCTGTTTTATAAGTAAGTATCAGGGGCATAAATAAGTGGTTTTATTCAAACCTTGAAATTCACAAAAAAATAGCAGCACCACCCACGAAACATCTCACACTTCACTCAAAATAGTTCCTACCTGATCCTGAATACACATCTCTTAGCGTTACCAGACGGGAAGTAGGGCAGTGTCCAGTCATACTTCAGGGCAGTACCATCAACACCATTACCGAGGTGATTAGATCTGAAATGAAGACAAATTGATTTATAATCCATGCATTCTGTACAAATTAGTGTAATTACTTATATTGAACATTAGTATCATGTACAGATTATGAAATTCACCTTAAATGAGTTTAAGGTTTACATTGTTCAAATTGGGACATGATATGCCTGTAATCATATACATTTCATGTATATGGTAGTATTTTCAACTTTCATTTGCAAAGACATTCCTTATAAATCTTACTGACTGGTTTATGATCTTGACTTACCTAGAAAAATCAGCAGCCCTACAATCAGGAGCGTCAAGCTTGATAAGGCATTCCTTCTTTGTAACATCCTGAGCATCGAATGGTACGGCCCAGATGTAAGAGTAGCCCCACGCAGTCTGTCGGGTACACTCTCCTTCACTAGTGAACGCTGCAAGTAAAGATATATATAAATATCTCATTCATTGTACCTGGAACACTCAATGTCACAATCAAAAGAATGTCACTTTCTATTGTGATGTCTTTTCATAGTGTATCAAATCAAATCAAATCAAATCAAATCTAATCTTAAAAAAGTTTTACACGGAAAATATCAAATACATGGTTCTGATCCCAGACAACTGATCTTAGTGCTGGGTTATCATGCTGTAAAATTCCAATCTATGTTGGGTAATGCTTGGATTGGGATTTGTTACAGAATCACACATTTACTTAGATAAATTGACTTGATCATCGGCAGGTAACAGGTTATGACTAATCTAACAAAGCTGAAACTTCAGGTATGCTAGTTTGGTTTGGTTAGGTTTATTTGTGTTTTAAGTCCTATTAACAGCTATGGTCATTTAAGGACGTGCCAGGTTTTGGTGGTGGAGGAAAGCCGGAGTTCCCAGAGATAAATCACCGACCGACAGCCAATACCTGGTGACTGCCCCACGTAGGTTTCCAACCCGCGACCCAATGGAGGAGGGCTAGTGGTAGCAAAATGTCAGATGCCTTAACCACTTGGCCACCGCGGCCCCTAGGTATATGGTAGTGATGTCATGATTGACACATCTACCTTACCTTAAGGTTTCTTCTGATGGATTTGACATTATTGATCAGGGTTCTGTTTAAAAGCCATTTGTCAGCAAAAGAAGCATGCTATTCATCATATTTGAACCGGCTACTCGATAAAATATGTACATGTGTAGGTCAACCTTATAGCATGTGAACATTCAAACGGCTATTCTAAGTCAATCCTTCTTTTTCAAAAACTTAGTGAGGACACTGTTGACTATTAAAATAGAATTTTCCCCTGCCTTGAGGGTGTGACAGAGAAATCTCCAACCCTAGGGGTGATGGTTTTGTGTTGACTAACCCAACACTCTGCTGAGGGTTAGACAACCAAAAAAATCACCCTGAGGTTTTGAAATTTCTCTGTTACAACCTCAAGGTAGGAGATGATTATTTTTCTCCCATCCTACTATTTTAGTCACAACTCCATGACAGTAGTCTGCCATGTTTGTAAACAAAAATATGTGGAGTATGAATATTGCATTTGCTTTTGATGATGTCATAATTACTGGTGACACATTAAATGGTGTCACAGTTGAACATGTGCTAATCGGCACGAGTGTATCTCCCCCTAGGGGGTGACAAACTGATCTATTCACGGCAAAAAGGGGAGACACACCTGTGAAGGGTGGGAGAAATATCTTACCTGGAGCCTTCTCCAGGTAGTTATGGAATGCTATCCACTGGCCACCGTTCTCTACGCACTGTTGTTGGTTGTTCCACTTGGACCAATGTTTACGGCTGCCGTCGCTGTAACTTTCTACACATGTGTGGTAGGACCGGCTGTTGAAGCTCTCCTGTTCATAGAACCTTTAAACAAACGTATATATGCCTACAATATCTTTGATTGGGATTTATGATCCTCGCAACACCTAAGGTGGCATGAAGATGGGTCCCTAAGGAGACGCCATTGAAGAGAAAGATAAGGGAGTGAGAAAAGGAAACAATTGAGATCCCAAATGCTGCAATGGGGACAGCATATTAATTTTGATTGTTTTAGTGTCCCCTAAACGAGTAACAGAAGCTAGCCCCCAATTTGCAGGGAGCCCATATAGAAAGCCTCTTGCAACATGCAGTGGTAGGAAACAGTCGGTACATTGTATGTATGATCATGTGTACTTTCCCTGAATCTGCACAGTACAGGGAGCATAAAATACCTACCCATACGTTTAGTAAACACCCTTAGTATCTAGGTGTTTACCTACATATGCTGATTAGTAAGTAACATCCATCTGTACTTACCGACACATGGAAGCATTTTCTGCCAGTACAGCAATATCTGTCCAGGGCGTCGGATGCCAGTATGGGTAATAGTCCCTCTCTTCAGGGCATTCGTAACCATAGCGATTGCCCTGATTATCTTGTCTGGTATAAGTAGCACTGCTGTATCCAAATTTATTGTTCTTAAGCTTCTGGTCTGCCGTAAATAATCCTGTTCAAAAACATCAAAGGTGAATAATGTTTGATTTAACTACTTCAATTTGTCAAAAGATAATGTTGAAGAAAATCATATAAAGAATGGTAATATTTCAAGAAAACTTATCAAAAATCTTTAGGAGTTCACTAGCTTGACAACACGACACACAAATGCTGTTTTACATATATGTATATAGGGTAGATACCTATATAATTTTAGTACGAAATTTAGATGCTCTCAAATGAATTTAAGCCCTTTTATAGAAGAAACAGTGATTTTGAACTTAAGTCAAACATGATACATCCATGACCCATACATGGATCATACTGTCGTTATTACTTATGAGACCCATATCCATGACCCATAAGATATGTGTAAATGGTGGTTGAGAACTCTTAAGCCCATTACGAGACTCAATTCAGAACTACTGAACATTAGAAAAATAAACATTATGTTAGAAACTAAGTAAACCCTGACCTTTGTTGCGTTGTCGTAGGTAACAGCTATCGTACCACTCCCAGGGTTCCTGTATAACACGTTCCGATTTTACATTGTTGTTTTTCCTGTTGTTTTTCTGGCTCTTTGTCTCGTCCAGGTTGTTGGGAGGTTGATAGTTTTGGGTGTTGGTCTCTACGCCATTCCTCAGGGTATCGTCCGTTCCTGTTCCGAAGATAAACATTGACTTATGATTTAGCAATCTCATTGAGAAACGTGTCCGGATATACTGGTGTATGTAACGTAGTATAGTAGCTAGCATGTCTGACCACCTGTAACAAGTCTTATAATACACCGACACCTGTAATAATGTAACTAGACAGGTAGCTATAGGTATTTGATCATCTGTACAGTCCAATAACTTATATATACCAACACCTATAATGGCCACTGGTAAATGGTGTATGTATGATCACCTGTACCTATGTTCACATGTAATGAGCCATAAAACACACCCATACCTATAATACAGGTACTAGACAGGTAACAACTCACCTGTTGGTGAATCAACATCGTCCTGACACATATACTGCAGCACCAGGTGACAGTTCTGTTTCTGGGGATTCGTGTCCTCGTTGCCCCCACAGCCATGCTGATTTGTCCACTCCACAGACAGGAAACTTTTACCTGCATCGTTTGTCTTAGTCTTCCAAGATCCACTTTGGAAATATTTCTAATAATGAAATGAAAGAGCCGATCATATTTTCGAATAATTTTACAGTGCTAGATGGTATATTTAAACTATATAATATATCAAAAGATGATTGATATGTCCGACAGTTTGGACTAAAGACTTCATATATTATGTTATATGACTTTGAAAGACAGTTTGCATTAATGTACTACTGTTTGGTTTAACGATGGTTAACCTGCCATGTACCACTTGGTTTAACGATGGTTAACCTGCCATGTACCGCTTGGTTTAACCACGGTTAACCTGCCATGCACTGTTTGGTTTAACCATGGTTAACCTGCCTTGTACCGCTTGGTTTAACGATAATTAACCTGCCATGTACTGCTTTGTTTAACCATGGTTAACCTGCCATGTACTGCTTGGTTTAACGATGGTTAACCTGCCATGTACGTCTTGGTTTAACCATGGATAACCTGCCATGTACTGCTTGGTTTAACGATAATTAACCTGCCATGTACTGCTTTGTTTAACCATGGTTAACCTGCCATGTACTGCTTGGTTTAACCATGGTTATCCTGCCTTGTACCGCTTGGTTTAACGATAATTAACCCGCCATGTACTGCTTGGTTTAACCATGGTTATCCTGCCTTGTACCGCTTGGTTTAACGATAATTAACCCGCCATGTACTGCTTGGTTTAACCATGGTTAACCTGCCTTGTGCCGCTTGGTTTAACGATAATTAACCTGCCATGTACTGCTCGGTTTAACCATGGTTAACCTGCCTTGTACCGCTTGGTTTAACGATAATTAACCTGCCATGTACTGCTTGGGTTAACGATAATTAACCTGCCATGTACTGCTTGGTTTAACCATGGTTAACCTGCCATGCACTGTTTGGTTTAACCATGGTTAACCTGCCATGAATCACTTGGTTTAACGATGATTAACCTGTCTTGTACCGCTTGGTTTAACGATAATTAACCTGCCATGTACTGCTTGGTTTAACCATGGTTAACCTGCCATGTACTGCTTATTTTAACCATGGTTAACCTACCATGTACCGCTCGGTTTAACCGTGGTTAACCTGCCATGTACTTCTCAGTTTAACCATGGTTAACCTGCCATGTACCGCTTGGTTTAACCACAGCTAACCATAGTTAACTTACCATTCTGTACTGCTCGCCTTCATCATTGCCAGCTTTTTCTTGGGTAGCATCACCTACATTATATCCACCTCGATTGTTATTCTGTAACGAAACATCTTCCATTAAAGGTCTGATGAAGAGAATCAGTTAATCAAAACAAATGAAGAGTAATATTTTTCAGAACAGTTCCACGTGAATTGCATTTAGATGACAAAGAAACAAGCACGCTTATTCATCATCATGTACTGCAAAACTTCCTGGAGAATCTGCCACTATTAAGAAACTATGATTGTCAAGAGCAAGACCACTTTTTAAACTCCCCAATGCAGTTATTTTTACATCAACTAAAGCTTTAAGTTTAAACAGAGACATTTTTCTATCAACTAGAGCTTTAAACAAAGACGGCATGTAATACAAGACCATTTATGACATTCCAAAGAAGATCTGAGCATAGTTTGACTACATGTATAACTGTGACTCTGACAGTATGATAAGTAATAAAACACGTTGATTTGATACAGGAAACCTCCAAATTCCCGAGGTATGACAGATTGTTTCAGTCTTATAAATTCACAGAGATAACACCGTAATGTATCATATTATGATGTAAACCTTTAAGAATAATTTGTACAGTTAACATTATATCATGTCAAGTCTCCAGGGATGCTTCTATTTTATGTTGAATACAACGAATATATTCTATCAACTTATATTCATCACCCTTGTTTGCCCAAAGGGTATAGCACTCTTGGTGTGGTAGACAATCGGAGGACCTGGAGGACCCTGGTGAAAGGAGAGTATGCTATCCATTGCGCCACCCAATCACCAATTATATATGTCACATAAATTAACTGGTTTTGTGTATTTGTTGAAAGAACATGTACCTGGGAATCAAACACACGGTTGGCATTGGTACGGGTTGCTGTGGTTTCTGCGAGTCTGTTGTTGGAACCTCGTGGAATGTGCAAATATATGTCTCCTTGTACACCGACCAGCAGCAGCAGCAGTAGCAATGAGCTGGTGTATGTCACCGTCCTCGTCATACCTGTAAAACAACAGAAGACTTATATATCTATAGAAAATTATGTAACACTGCCTTCATCATACCTGTAAAACAACAGAAGGCATAGATCTATAGAGAATGCATTGAAGTAACACTACCATAACTGCCACTAATACAACAGAAAAAACTTGTGAGATCTATATTCATACATGTAACACATTACAATTGGGAGCATTCTATTTTCAGTAAGATTTCAAGTTGCATGTATCCAACACAAAAAAGGTGGTTTATTTCCCATGCAACATTTCATAGTTATCCATGACCATTCTTCTATTTTTTCCTGAAAGTACATATAGCTGGTGAGATATCTGAAGTCAAGGACGGTCTTTTTACTGGCTACTCATTCAGTTCTTTAACATACACTATATATATATAGATTTAGGTAAATTTAGTTCATTTTTATTCTTTATTTTACCAATTTTTTCGAGAAGATTTGGAAGTGTACTCCTCCCTTTCAAATTCTAAAAGAACACTGCAAACTAGGTTCTGACCTTGAATACCCTCATTTAGGGGATCCTTGATCTGCCAGCCACTAAATGTAGAATCTTGATTACATAAATGTAGGTATTTTAAAATAGTATGTACATTGTACATTGTATACATATTGGTACACTGTTGGTAATATGCAACAAATATATATCTTGTGCCTGCTAAATTCTCTTGTATGTTAATTGACTGCAAATGAATTCAAGTAAAGTTATATGTAGTCAGAAGATATTTAAATAACAAAAACCTTGGCTATATTGGTCAAAATAACCACAATTTTGAGTTCCGGTAGTGTGAAAACTTACCTGTACCACTGCAGCAGGTACCTGAGAATTTGTTACAACAGCTCTATTTGGACCTAAAATGATGTCTTCAGAGATTATTAGAGGTTCGGAGCCTTAGATCACCTATCGCTAATAATACCATAAACCCTTAAAATTGCTATACTATTTCTGAACACATCAGTTGATGTCCATACACATTAAACAGGAAGCTGCTATAACAATCCACCAAATTATCAGGTCCCTGCGAGCTGTATGCAACTTGCATTGCCATATACACACAATTATTGATATCGTGTCAAACAAAGAAATACTTTATATTTGTTCTTATACTTACCAAACCGTTTCTGTGTCTTCCTACGTTGCTTTTCAGTTATCTTTCACAACTATCTAATATACCGGACATGGGAAGCCACCGGTTTCCTCCTAAATGTGTGTCTACCTAAGCTAATGTGAAGTGAAACTAGTGTTGTGTATCGTATCACTACGCGTAAACACAATCAATCATCTTCACTTAAACATAAAACAAACACATATCACTTTGATATGATTAAACATGCTTTATTCTATGATATATTAAACAAAGGGAATTTCAGAAAATAACGTATTGGTTAATTATACATAACCTAGTTACACTTAGTTTAAGAATTATATTTCAGCTCGGACTTACATCTCAGGTATCCGATCTGCAGTAATCAGGCAATAGGGTTATGTGCTGCATGAGTCAACACACTATTAAATTCAGCTGAAGTGATAACGTGACGTCAGACAACTTATTGTCTGCTTATATAGTCAATAAATCCATGGTCACGTGCACCTTTATTGGAGGGGCTAATCCGGTAATTGTATTGAAGAGTATATGATCAGAAGGAAAGGAAATGCGCGTAAAACAGTAATGATATTAACCACTATTGATCTGCACAGTAATGATAGTAACCCATTATTAATTAATTATAGTATCCCATTATTTATACACATTAATTAATGATAGTTACCCATTATTCATACACATTAATTAATGATAGTTACCCATTATTTATACACATTAATTAATGATAGTTACCCATTATATCTACACATTTAGGATTAATTAATTATAGTAACCCATTATTTATGCACATTAATTAATGATAGTTACTAATTATATCTACACATTAATTAATGATAGTAACCCATTATTTCTACACAGTAGTTATAGTAACCCGTTATTTCTACACAGTAGTTATAGTAACCCGTTATTTCTACACAGTAGTTATAGTAACCCGTTATTTCTACACAGTAGTTATAGTAACCCGTTATTTCTACACAGTAGTTATAGTAACCCGTTATTTCTACACAGTAGTTATAGTAACCCGTTATTTCTACACAGTAGTTATAGTAACCCGTTATTTCTACACAGTAGTTATAGTAACCCGTTATTTCTACACAGTAGTTATAGTAACCCGTTATTTCTACACAGTAGTTATAGTAACCCGTTATTTCTACACAGTAGTTATAGTAACCCGTTATTTCTACACAGTAGTTATAGTAACCCGTTATTTCTACACAGTAGTTATAGTGACCCGTTATTTCTACACAGTAGTTATAGTAACCCGTTATTTCTACACAGTAGTTATAGTAACCCGTTATTTCTACACAGTAGTTATAGTAACCCGTTATTTCTACACAGTAGTTATAGTAACCCGTTATTTCTACACAGTAGTTATAGTAACCCGTTATTTCTACACAGTAGTTATAGTAACCCGTTATTTCTACACAGTAGTTATAGTAACCCGTTATTTCTACACAGTAGTTATAGTAACCCGTTATTTCTACACAGTAGTTATAGTAACCCGTTATTTCTACACAGTAGTTATAGTAACCCGTTATTTCTACACAGTAGTTATAGTAACCCGTTATTTCTACACAGTAGTTATAGTAACCCGTTATTTCTACACAGTAGTTATAGTAACCCGTTATTTCTACACAGTAGTTATAGTAACCCGTTATTTCTACACAGTAGTTATAGTAACCCGTTATTTCTACACAGTAGTTATAGTAACCCGTTATTTCTACACAGTAGTTATAGTAACCCGTTATTTCTACACAGTAGTTATAGTTACCCGTTATTTCTACACAGTTATTATAGTAACCCGTTATTTCTATACAGTAATTATAGTAACCCGTTATTTCTACACAGTAGTTATAGTAACCCGTTATTTCTACAAAGTAGTTATAGTAACCCGTTATTTCTACACAGTAGTTATAGTAACCCGTTATTTCTACAAAGTAGTTATAGTAACCCGTTATTTCTACACAGTAATTATAGTAACCCGTTATATCTACACAGTAGTTATAGAAACCCGTTATTTCTACACAGTAATTATAGTAACCCGTTATATCTACACAGTAGTTATAGTAACCCGTTATTTCTACTTAGTAATTAATGATAGTAACCCGTTATTTCTACACCGTGAGGAGAGTAAATGACCATGTTTACAATCAATGATACTAATTCATTATTTTAAAAAGACAAATACCACAAAATAACAAAACATTATTTTCTGACTGGACATTCAAATAAAATCAAACACCTATATTTTTTGTTAAATTTTTACCTGTTAGATAAATGATATATTCTTTGCCCGTTATTATTTATTAAACAACAATACATGTTTATCTTTTGCTCAATAAACAATACGGCTATCTTTAATCTATTTATAGAAGGAATTAGTTGACAATGATACAGTAACATCCTGGTTTCAAACGTTGATATGATTTATAACTAGCCTTGCTATCGTAAAGGACCATATACTGTTATATTCTGCGCGCAGAACAAGCACAAAAACAGGTAAATATGGTTTCAATTTCATTCTCCTATACTCCATGAATAGCTTTTCAAAAGGATTAAACTGTTTAAAGAATGCAGTCATGGTACATGCTTGTGTGTTTGTTTCAGTCATGTCAATATTTTAGACCAAAGAAAAATAATGCTTAAATAATCAATCATATAAGTATCATCTATTTATTGTCAATTAATTACTGACGTTATTCTTAAAACACGAACTTAATTGTACACCTCACGTGTACCAGGCATGATTACTATTGAATTTTGACTTATGTGTACATTACTTGTTATATGTACCATACAACAATGTTATGATATACAGCATTTAATATAGCGCCCTATCTAGCTAACCTAAATGTTTCTCCTCTCCAACTGTACATGTACTCGATCTCGTCTGTTCTTGCCCATTAAGCAGGGTCAGCAGGATATCTCCTCTCAGTCAGTGTCTAGATGGATCTGTCTGGTCATCAATTACGGTTACGTCCACTCAATAATCAGTAATCAATACAATTTGAGGAATTCGCAGGAGCTGCCTTATCAGGCGCTAACTTATAGTCCTATGCCACCTGGCTAATATCTCCCTATGTGTGTATGCCTGCGTGTGTGCTGGAGATGTATTACTAAATATAACATTATTTCTAAAATATGAGATACATCATGTATAATACATGTTCCATACAACATTAGCTGCATTGTATAAAAAGATAATACACCGTACAACATTATTTCTAAAATATGAGATACATTATTTATCATGTTCATGTATAATACTCTACATGAATTGTATATTAATACTGAAACATAAGCTACTTCGTATCTAATACATGTACTGTACAATGATACTGTTAAAACGTTAGTTAGATTTTCTTTGTATATAATCACAGGGACCTGAGAATTTGTTACAACTATATTTAGACCTAAACTAAGGTGTTTAGATTTTATTATCATGTCTAAGGGGTTTAGATCGAATTTCGGTATAATCTAATCATTGGGGTGTCATTTTTACCGAAAGTCGACCTAAACTCCTTAAACATGTAAAATTATTCTGTAAACACCTTTTTAGGTCGAAATATAGTTGTAAGAAATTTGCAGGTCCCTGTGGTAAAAAATAGCTACACGATATGTTATACATTATTCAGTACTACTAAACGCTACATTATGTGCTTCATTATACGTATCATACATTACTAAAGACAGCTACATGTACTTTATATGTAGTAATCATACCAAACATTACACCACTAGACATCAGCTACATCATTGTGGGGTATTACTTTCTTCTATAACCTTAAATATTTTTATTGTCGAAGCATTGGATAAACATGCAGAAAGTTGGTAAACATTTCATGTTTCACACACGTCAGCGTGTAGAGTTATGTTGTCATTTGAATATTGTACATCCCTGAGATAGTGGTAGATTTCATCGCTGTTAACTGTCAACTCTCACCCTAACTAGGACCTCAGATAGCAATACATGTAATTAACAATAGGTCACTGATAATAAGGGTCTCCTGGCCCAATGTCTGTTAGATAACGATCGAAAATCTATAACTATTATCTAACTTATAAATAAACTGCTTCTGATTGGTTGAACTAGCTTTATCAGTGTATGATTTAATATGCTATAATCACTGGATTTTGCCATAATACGGTAATTATCAAATTCTAAAAATAGCAAATGGATATGACCTAACGTTTATTTGTAATTTAAATCCACGTTGTATAATAAAGCAATTGCCCTGATATTGAAAAAGAATATTGCTTTGGTCTACTCAATATATACATGTATCACATTGTATTCACCTAGTAAAAAGTCCATAATTGTATAGTACTAATAGTTCGTTCTCTTAATGTTTCATAAATATAAACGATATCTTGGCAAAAAACGTTGTACCTTATGCTGCATAATGACCTGTATGATAAACCCTATTTCACATGTAAATATCATTGATTATATATCAGCCAATATAATTGAAATGAGGAAGACAGTTGTAAGGATTAATGTATAATCTTCTTTCCCTGTCACGTGACTGTAGCTGAAGAAAATACTCAGTTAAAGGATGGCAAAAACGATGATTTCATGAACTAGGATGAATGTCATTGTCGTTGTATGTATCGGGACTAAGAAAACGTTCCTTTAGGCGAAGGAGCGGCCAACTAAGCAAAGGATGGATCAGGATATTTATCTACCTCAATATTTATCATTAGTGGAGGACAACCCCCTGTTAGACCACGAGTCGGGCAGCAGAGTGGGAAATCAAGAACACACTGATGGCGATTATGTAAACGACAAATATGTTTACAGGTCATTCGTCAGTTCAACCCTATTAGATCAGAACAAAACAATATCATCGACCACGCTAAAAACCTTGTGTGATATATTCATTCATATTTTCTGCATGTAACTGTGATAAATTGTCCTCCCAGTCAATAGATGATAGATATTCATTTGCTTTCACAAAATCTGCATTCTTATAATACAATACAGTTTTTTTCATAATATTTTTGTTTCAGAGTTTTATATGTTATTTCTGCTCCAGTTGGACAGTGATCACTACACATGGGTGCATTTACTTCAACATTTTTGACTATGTTACAGTTATCTGACATAATGACATCAATACTAGTGGATGAGCCTGCAGTAACCCTAGTTGGCTCATGAACTAGGATGAATGTCATTGTCATGGTATGCATCGGGACTAAGAAAACTTTCCTTTAGACGAAGGAGCGGCCAACTAAGCAAAGGATGGATCAGGATATTTGTCTACCTCAATATTTATCATTAGTGGAGGACAACACCCTGTTAGACCACGAGTCGGGCAGCAGAGTGGGAAATCAAGAACACACTGATGGCGATTATGTAAACGACAAATATGTTTACAGGTCGTTCGTCAGTTCAACCCTACTAGATCAGAACAAAACAATATCATCGACCACGCTAAAAACGAAAGAGGAAGATTCCGAAGATAAAAATATTGAGGAACAAAGCAACCAGCCAGAATCACCGGAGAAGTCGGACGAGCTTGTCTCAACAGTACCATTGCACCGATCAGAATCAATGGTGGAGCGGGAAAGTATGTCAGACGAGCTAGTGTCACCACAGCAAACATACGAGGGAGCACAAACAATGGAACGAGGGATAACCGACTTCGATACGGAGGAAGAACACAATTTTCCAAACGCTGGAAACGATGACGTTAAAAGTGGAAACAACAATACAGAGTCAATTTTAACTGATTCTGTTGGTTACTGTACCCCAATTACCGCTAGAGTAAATTATCCTGATCTAACAGACGTTGATAAGGGATCTACGAAAGGAAACCGCGATTTAGTGCAAGGATCTGCTGATGATTTAGCAGAGAAAACAATCAATCTAAATAACCGCACTCTGGGATTGCTGAAGACATTCAAAAAACAATTTGCGTTGTTTCTCCGAGAGGAATATGTACAATTAGATGTTTGTCTCAATGACGTTACAGACTCGACTCTCGTGTTAAAAGGGCACCGTGAACACTTGGAACACGACGACTTCATTCAGACATTTCTTACTAAATGCATTCAAAAGGTTTCACAACCAATGAAAAAGCTAGAAATACAACTGCTCTCCAACCCATCTGTGATACGATACATCAATAAAAGGATGAACGGATTGAAGCTGGTGTGCTTTTGGGCATGTGGCAAAGACGGTACGTCCATCGATGTGTTTTCCAGGAAGGAGACGATTTCCTTGGATGCGGCCTCACTGATCTCCCAGTGTCTATGTAAATGGAGTATTACAGTGAGCACTCAGGTACAATCAGACGTCACGAAAGAAGTCATTGAGGGTGGTATTGAACAAGAATACAAAAACATGTTCATCTATCAGCACTTAAAAACCAGTGAGAACGGAACAGACGAGATACAATATCAATTTAACTTTGTCTTTTTGGATTCGGTTATGCCTGAGATCAAAACGAAAATAAGAGACGCTTTGCGTGCATGTTCAGAACCACACAGAGCCGAATTTTTATGTCGTCCTCCTGAAACGATCGACAGAGAGTTCTTCGTTGGTCTCGGACAACGCTTCTGCAGGTAGAGTAACTATCTATTTATATCGAATACATTGTTTATAATATTATTACAGTCAAATCTGCTCAAGAGCCCATCTCTATTAAGCGATCCTCTCTCTCAAAAGACCACTATTTATTTTAGTTCATTATATATTCATAAACTTCCATTCGGTAGCCTCTTGAAACATAATTCCATGTATTATAATTCAGATTATTTCGTATTTGTTATCATATTTCCAAAATGATATAATTCTGAGATAGAAATTCATGAGAGCACAAATATATATGCATAGTCAATAAAATAAGTGCGGATACTAGCTATGGCCTGGCAATAAAATCTCTCCTTTTCTTTTCATTGACATTGTACCGTATTAATTCATAAATATATTAATTTATAAACAGCAATGTTACAGTCAAAGACGGATTTTTAGCAAAATGTCGGCCAACTTTGACAGACAGACATTGCTTTCTTATGATGAATAATCGGCGGATCCTGATCCAGCAGGGAGTCCTATTAGACAGCGACGCCGACGTCATCTTGTGTCCGGTTGACGACATGCACAATGCTGTTGGTGTAGGCGAGACTGTTTTTGAGAAAAGTGAGTATGACAGGTTTTCTTCGTTAAGGAATCATATCTGTTTGTCGCAGAGCTGATAATGTAACATGTGCCAACCATATTTATTCGCATTGTCATGATGTTTAGAAAGTCGTCAACAATTTGATTATCTAGATTGCTGAACAAATATTGTCAGGTATATGCTATATATTTTAATGCTGCAGTACATATTCAGATCCGTTTCAATTTATCGTTTATTGATGTGGTTTTTCCGAATCATTCCATCAAATGACGAACGTATATATAAATATCATTTGATATAGTTTCATTTATTTTGGTTAAGTTGGCGATGACCTCATACAAGAAATGTTCAAAGAACTTTGGAAAGTCCTGCAAAAGAGGGCGACATTGATTGATGGAGATCATCCTCACTTCACAGACAGCGTTTGTCGTAACCTTAAAAACAGGCGTATCATGTTCGCTGTCCTTCCAAATGAACAAACTACCGACAGTGATATCGATACCATGATACAAAGGGCAGTGTCTCATCTCTTGGTTAAATCGGACCAGCATGTATGTAGATCTGTAGCTTTAGCCATCGACTACACAACCACGTTTTCTATGCACACTTTAGTTGAAGCAGTCGCCAAATCTTTAAAACAATTTCCAGACAAGAAACTCAAATTTGTAAAAGAAGTAAGGTTGGTTGTAACTTCTGAAGAGGGTGTGACCAGTCTTTTTGAAGCATTGTCGGGATATGAAGATGTGCTGTTACCTAAACCAAGATCTCAACACGTGCTGGATCTCTGCAACTGTCAGCTAGATGGTACGTGCTTATTGATTAATATGTAAAATCACTGTTCTCCCTATTTACAACAGTAGTGTTTATTACGGGAAAAGTATGATGCAGTTATCTGACATGAAACTTATTTGGGTTGGATACAATATTGATGACATAATAATTGGAGCCTTTTGAGGTACCGGAAACACTTTCCGTACCGGACAACCTGGTTTTTCCTCTTCTTGTTTATAAAGGTTCATGTTGTCTTCCCTTTTGTTTTGGGTCTCGCTAGTTTGTGTTATAGCATTTCATGTTAATTTTTTACTTTCGATTTAGCTTTATGTGTGGATGTTATGCTATTTCTAATATTGTTTTTATTTCGACTTTTTCTAATTTGATGTTACTAATCGAAAAAGTCATTCCCGATGTACTGAAGGTGACTTGTGTTTACTTGCTGTGTAGAATATTGTATGCTTCTCTATAGCCTTTCTACTACGTACTCCTTCTCTAGCCTATTGACTTTCTGTATACTACGGTAGTTAAATATAAAACAATGCACTGTAAGATATATCCACATTCTATAAATAACGTTAGTAATATATATACAGTGCAATACAATAAGCCAGAGGTTGTGCTGTTTTTGTCTTCGTATGATGTGTTAATCTTCACATTAAGTCAGTGCCGAATCGCTGGTAGAAAGACACACAATGGCCTGTTTGTGTTATAGTGTAATTACAAAACAGTTTAATATGATAATGATATTAAAACAACATATGCATTTTCCAGATGCAGTTGAAGCAAAGAAAGCAATATCTCCGATACAAATCGAGATTTTTCAAGGGAATCTGACACATCCCGATCTCGTTAAGGTATTTACATTTTTATAAAAATATGTTTGAATACATTTGCTCCGATAAATCGCAATATAAGGCAGTCTTTCATTATGGCATGTTTAGACAAACAACTTTCTATAGGTTGAACTAATCAGCCGGTTTTTGGACCGATGGAGTCAAAATACGGGCCTTACATAGCCCGGCGTTAAATAGTTTGTAACTTGGCGTTTACAATGATGCTTTATTAGTAGGACTTAGAATTTGTTTTCGTTAAGACTATGATGAAGTAATGTATTCTTATTGTTGTGACAAAGGGTGGTCGGTTAGCGCAGTGAATAACGCACTGGGCTTTCACCAAGACGGCCAGGGTTCGATTACCCGATCGCATGTGAAAAGGCATGGGGTCACCTGGCAGATTCCGTGGGTTTTCTGCTGGTGCTCTGGTTTCCTCCCATTGTAAGACCCCCTGCGTGATAACATCCTGGCTAAAAGAGTGATTAAGACAAGTGTTAATAACGTATTTGATTTACATGATTTTTGTAATATTAAGTTTTTATTTTATAGCGCTTTAAATTCGCGGGGTCAATATTTCGCGGTTTCATATTCAGTTCATATTCGCGGGGGTTAAATTTCGCTGTGCACCCGAATATTATGTGTCGTGCAAAGTGTTTCGAGTGTCATCATTTAAGAGTTAAACCTCGAAATACAGGTAAACCGTTTGAAAAGACATATCCCGAGCGTCGTCATCCGCCAGTGACTTCGCTCAAAAGAAAATCAAATGTGTATGTACCTTTGTAGGAGTAAACTGTAATCAATTAATCACCTAATCACACTAAGTTATGTGGTGTATTCCGGCGTATAGTTATTGAGTGTTTTGTATGCATCCTTCCCATTTTGCTTTAATTACTCATATGTATCGGTCCCTCCCGGTTTGGATTTTCATTCTTCTGAATATTTGTACCAATGACAAGAAGACGTTACGATATGTTGCAGTAGATATTTGATGTGTTTGGCTTGCTGCATAACGCATCTTTACTTTGTAGTTTATGTTAATATTATACCTCACTATTTGGTTGACCCTAAAGGTGAATTCTCAGTCTCCGTGGTTGGTCGTAACCTTGTAGCTAGAATGTACTTAAGGACGATTTACACAATGAAATAATATATTAAAAAATATCCAAATAAATAAAAACATTTCTCTTGTGGTTAAAAAATGTATATATCTGTAACGATCTTAGACGTGTTCCCACTTGCTGTATTTGACATGGATTTGTTTTCATTTTGACACGTGTACCCTCAAATAGACCTAGCTAGACGAAATGGCACCAGAGTACAGATGGTATATATACTTTGGCTTTCTGCACCGACGGAATTTTTAATACAAGTAATTGTTTATCGTTCCGACAGTGGCATATAGAGCATTCAATAAGACAGAGAGACGATATCCTTACGACAGTGTAGTCCTATCATTGTGGAACTGACGTAGTATCATAATGATAGCTTTTCCATGTCTTAATAGAACGTCGACATGCTTGTGAACAGTGTGGGTTGCAAAGGAGATTCATTGCGTGGTTCTATCAGCCAAACCATCGTAGAACAAGGTGGATATCAAATCAAAGAAGAATTTGATGAACAGGCTTCCAAAGGTCTGCGGTTTGGTGAAACGATCTCAACAGGTGCTAGGAATCTTCCTTGTAAAAAGATCTGTCACGGACTGCTGTACAGTAGATGGGACACAACGGGAGACTTCAGCGTAAAGGTAAGACACATAATATAATATAGAGTCAAAGGTAGACTTCAGCGTAAAGGTAAGACATATGATATGATATAGAGTCAAAGGAAGACTTCAGCGTAAAGATGAGACACATAATATGAGATAGAGTCAAAGGGAGACTTCAGCGTAAAGATGAGAAACATAATATGATATAGAGTTAAAGGAAGACTTCAGCGTAAAGGTAAGACACATAATATAATATAGAGTCAAAGGTAGACTTCAGCGTAAAGGTAAGACATATGATATGATATAGAGTCAAAGGGAGACTTCAGCGTAAAGATGAGACACATAATATGATATAGAGGTAAAGGGAGACTTCAGCGTAAAGATGAGACACATAATATGAGATAGAGTCAAAGGGAGACTTCAGCGTAAAGGTAGGACACATAATATGATATAAAGTCAAAGGGAGACTTCAACGTAAAGGTAAGACACATAATATGATATATAGTCAAAGGGAGACTTCAGCGTAAAGGTAAGACAAATAATATAATATAGAGTCAAAGGTAGACTTCAGCGTAAAGGTAAGACATATGATATGATATAGAGTCAAAGGAAGACTTCATCGTAAAGATGAGACACATAATATGATATAGAGGTAAAAGGAGACTTCAGCGTAAAGGTAGGACACATAATATGATATAAAGTCAAAGGGAGACTTCAGCGTAAAGGTAGGACACATAATATGATATAAAGTCAAAGGGAGACTTCAGCGTAAAGGTAAGACAAATAATATGATATAGAGTCAAAGGGAGACTTCAGCGAAAAGATGAGACACATAATATGATATAGAGGTAAAGGGAGACTTCAGCGTAAAGATGAGACACATAATATGAGATAGAGTCAAAGGGAGACTTCAGCGTAAAGGCAGGACACATAATATGATATAGAGTCAAAGGGAGCCTTCAGCGTAAAGGTAGGACACATAATATGATATAAAGTCAAAGGGAGACTTCAGCGTAAAGGTAGGACACATAATATGATATAAAGTCAAAGGGAGACTTCAACGTAAAGGTAAGACACATAATATGATATATAGTCAAAGGGAGACTTCAGCGTAAAGGTAGGACACATAATATGATATAAAGTCAAAGGGAGACTTCAACGTAAAGGTAAGACACATAATATGATATAGCGCTAAAGGTCGACCTCAGCGTAAAGGTAAGACACTTAATATGATAGAGAGTCAATATGCTACACGGGACAGCAAAAGGAGACTTAGTGGGCTAATAAGACAAACATCATCATAAAGGGTCAATCTCTTACAAACTGGACACCAAAAGGATACTTAAGCATGCTAGTAAGACAAACAGGATGATATAGAGTCAATCTGCTACAAACATGATACCAAAAGGTAGACTTTAGTGTCCAATGTAAGACAAACAGGATATAATATGATATAGAGTTAAAGGGAGACTTCGGCGTAAAGGTAAGACACATAATATGATATATAGTCAAAGGGAGACTTCAGCGTAAAGGTAGGACACATAATATGATATAAAGTCAAAGGGAGACTTCAACGTAAAGGTAAGACACATAATATGATATATAGTCAAAGGGAGACTTCAGCGTAAAGGTAGGACACATAATATGATATAAAGTCAAAGGGAGACTTCAGCGTAAAGGTAGGACACATAATATGATATAAAGTCAAAGGGAGACTTCAACGTAAAGGTAAGACACATAATATGATATAGCGTTAAAGGTCGACCTCAGCGTAAAGGTAAGACACTTAATATGATAGAGAGTCAATATGCTACACGGGACAGCAAAAGGAGACTTAGTGGGCTAATAAGACAAACATCATCATAAAGGGTCAATCTCTTACAAACTGGACACCAAAAGGATACTTAAGCATGCTAGTAAGACAAACAGCATAATAAAGAGGCAATCTGCTACAAACAGGATACTAAAAAGTAGACTTTAGTGTCCAATGTAAGACAAACAGGATAATATAGAGTCAATCTGCTACACACGGGATACCTAACGGTAGACTTTAGTGTCCAATGTAAGACAAACAGGATAATTTAGAGTCGATCTGCTTCAAACATGATACCAAAAGGTAGCCTTTAGTGTCCAATGTAAGACAAACAGGATAATATAGAGTCAATCTGCTACACACGGGACACCTAACGGTAGACTTTAGTGTCCAATGTAAGACAAACAGGATAATATAGAGTCGATCAGCTACAAACATGATACCAAAAGGTAGCCTTTAGTGTCCAATGTAAGACAAACAGGATAATATAGAGTCAATCTGCTACAAACTGGACACCAAAAGGATACTTAAGCATGCTAGTAAGACAAACAGGATGATATAGAGTCAATCTGCTACAAACATGATACCAAAAGGTAGACTTTAGTGTCCAATGTAAGACAAACAGGATAATATAGAGTCAATCTGCTACACACGGGACACCTAACGGTAGACTTACAAACAGGATGATATAGAGTCAATCTGCTACAATCTGGACACCAAAAGGAGACTTTAGCGTGCTAGTAAGACAAATAGGATAATATAAAGTCAATCTGCTACAAACGGGACACCAACATGAGACTTTAGTCTGCTAGTAAAACAAACAGGGTAATATAGAGTCAATCTGCTACAAACAGGACACCAAAAGTAGACTTTAGCGTGCTAGTAAGACGAACAGGATAATATAAAGTCAATCTGCTACACACGGGACACCTAACGGTAGACTTTAGCGTGCTAGTAAGACAAACAGGATAATATAGAGTCAATCTGCTACAAACTGGACACCGAAAGGAGACTTTAGCGTGCTAGTAAGACAAACAGGATAATATAGAGTCAATCTGCTACAAACTGGACACCAAAAGGAGACTTTAGCGTGCTAGTAAGACAAACAGGATAATATAGAGTCAATCTGCTACAAACTGGACACCGAAAGGAGACTTTAGCGTGCTAGTAAGACAAACAGGATAATATAGAGTCAATCTGCTACAAACTGGACACCAAAAGGAGACTTTAGCGTGCTAGTAAGACAAACAGGATAATATAGAGTCAATCTGCTACAAACTGGACACCGAAAGGAGACTTTAGCGTGCTAGTAAGACAAACAGGATAATATAGAGTCAATCTGCTACAAACTGGACACCAAAAGGAGACTTTAGCGTGCTAGTAAGACAAACAGGATAATATAGAGTCAATCTGCTACAAACTGGACACCGAAAGGAGACTTTAGCGTGCTAGTAAGACAAACAGGATAATATAGAGTCAATCTGCTACAAACTGGACACCAAAAGGAGACTTTAGCGTGCTAGTAAGACAAACAGGATAATATAGAGTCAATCTGCTACAAACTGGACACCGAAAGGAGACTTTAGCGTGCTAGTAAGACAAACAGGATAATATAGAGTCAATCTGCTACAAACTGGACACCAAAAGGAGACTTTAGCGTGCTAGTAAGACAAACAGGATAATATAGAGTCAATCTGCTACAAACTGGACACCGAAAGGAGACTTTAGCGTGCTAGTAAGACAAACAGGATAATATAGAGTCAATCTGCTACAAACTGGACACCAAAAGGAGACTTTAGCGTGCTAGTAAGACAAACAGGATAATATAGAGTCAATCTGCTACAAACTGGACACCGAAAGGAGACTTTAGCGTGCTAGTAAGACAAACAGGATAATATAGAGTCAATCTGCTACAAACTGGACACCAAAAGGAGACTTTAGCGTGCTAGTAAGACAAACAGGATAATATAGAGTCAATCTGCTACAAACTGGACACCGAAAGGAGACTTTAGCGTGCTAGTAAGACAAACAGGATAATATAGAGTCAATCTGCTACAAACTGGACACCAAAAGGAGACTTTAGCGTGCTAGTAAGACAAACAGGATAATATAGAGTCAATCTGCTACAAACTGGACACCGAAAGGAGACTTTAGCGTGCTAGTAAGACAAACAGGATAATATAGAGTCAATCTGCTACAAACTGGACACCAAAAGGAGACTTTAGCGTGCTAGTAAGACAAACAGGATAATATAGAGTCAATCTGCTACAAACTGGACACCGAAAGGAGACTTTAGCGTGCTAGTAAGACAAACAGGATAATATAGAGTCAATCTGCTACAAACTGGACACCAAAAGGAGACTTTAGCGTGCTAGTAAGACAAACAGGATAATATAGAGTCAATCTGCTACAAACTGGACACCGAAAGGAGACTTTAGCGTGCTAGTAAGACAAACAGGATAATATAGAGTCAATCTGCTACAAACTGGACACCAAAAGGAGACTTTAGCGTGCTAGTAAGACAAACAGGATAATATAGAGTCAATCTGCTACAAACTGGACACCGAAAGGAGACTTTAGCGTGCTAGTAAGACAAACAGGATAATATAGAGTCAATCTGCTACAAACTGGACACCAAAAGGAGACTTTAGCGTGCTAGTAAGACAAACAGGATAATATAGAGTCAATCTGCTACAAACTGGACACCGAAAGGAGACTTTAGCGTGCTAGTAAGACAAACAGGATAATATAGAGTCAATCTGCTACAAACTGGACACCAAAAGGAGACTTTAGCGTGCTAGTAAGACAAACAGGATAATATAGAGTCAATCTGCTACAAACTGGACACCGAAAGGAGACTTTAGCGTGCTAGTAAGACAAACAGGATAATATAGAGTCAATCTGCTACAAACTGGACACCAAAAGGAGACTTTAGCGTGCTAGTAAGACAAACAGGATAATATAGAGTCAATCTGCTACAAACTGGACACCGAAAGGAGACTTTAGCGTGCTAGTAAGACAAACAGGATAATATAGAGTCAATCTGCTACAAACTGGACACCAAAAGGAGACTTTAGCGTGCTAGTAAGACAAACAGGATAATATAGAGTCAATCTGCTACAAACTGGACACCGAAAGGAGACTTTAGCGTGCTAGTAAGACAAACAGGATAATATAGAGTCAATCTGCTACAAACTGGACACCAAAAGGAGACTTTAGCGTGCTAGTAAGACGAACAGGATAATATAGAGTCAATCTGTTACAAACGGGACACCAAAAGGTAGACTTTTGCTCGCTAGTAGGACAAACAGCGTAATATGGAGCCAATATGCTACAAATGGGACACGCAGAGAAACTTTAGCATATAAAAAAAACATGTTTCATTGTGGTTTGCTTTGTATTACTTAATTACAGGTGATGCGATCCGTCATCACACAAGCGTTGCTTCAAGCCGAAAAAGAGCATTGTGTTAGCCTTGGAATTCCAGCGTTAGGGACAGGATTTCTTAAATATCCAGTCAAGCATGTGGCCAACATTTTATATGATACAGTGGAGATGTATGGACGATGTCATACCACTACCTGTATCAGACGGGTGCTACTCGTTGTTAACGACGGGGATGACGCTTATAACGAGGTACGTGCCATCCTATTACAAATATCTATGTATTTTCTTATTTTTTTGTAGGAATTTGAACTTGACAAATAATAAATTTACCTTATCGATTAATTAAAATGATCAAAATATTCAATGCATTATACACAATGATTTATAATACATAGTTATTTCAAAAAATCAAAACCATGCTGTTGTTTAAAATTATGTTTCCTGTTGTTCTAGGCTTTACACGACGTTGTAGCGTTTCAGGGTGCTAGACAACTACATCGGGGTGTTCGATTTTACGACAAAAATGTAGGTGAGTGAGAAAATACATAATAGACTAGAGATAATATCTTGCTCCATAAGATAATCTTCAACGCACTCCTTACTGCCGAAAACTTGTCTTTGGATTTAATATACCACACAAGGAGAAATGTTTAACCAATTGCTTTTCATTTGTAGGAATCTTGTACATATATGAGTACGCACTGAATGTCATTTAAACTCCCAATTTAACGCGACATCCTTCAAATAATACACAAAGTGATATACCAGCTGTGTCTACGCGCACATTAATTTCGTGAATTGGACATCAATCTTCTTATGCCGTCTTTGCGTATTGCAGAGTTATCTTCTCTTGGGAGCAGGTATTGATTGTTACGTCACTTGTTTGTGAGAGAAAGTCATCAATTTTTGAGAAAACGACGTAATTTTCTCACACAGACCAATGACGTAACAATCAATACCTGCTCCCAAGAGAAGATAACTCTGCAATACGCAAAGACGGAATAGCTTTCAAGTATAACGATATAGTATAGCTAAACATAGAGAGACAGAATCCAATATTGTACAATGTATTTGTGAGATATACGTCCTTAATTAAGTATTGATATAGCTTTTATCCTGATTACTATATTACCCCTTCTCAGTGGCTAAATGAAAATGAATATCTGGTGCTCGAAATCGTGTCTTTAACTTAGATAAGTAAATATTTAAAACTGTACATGCCGCCCCTAAATAAATGTGATAACATAATTTTGGTTCTCAACATCCGACCGTTCAGTTGATACGTCATGTTTTCTTTGCAGGAATGAATCCAGGACTTGACTCCAGGTTCCATTTCTGGGAAACAGTTGACTGCAACACTGGTGTAGTAGTTCGAGTTGCTCCTGACTTTCCTGTTGGAGTATATTTTGACACTGATGTCATCTACACACTGAAAGAGACGGATAGTCCCTTATCTCAAGGTATGGATTATTTTTCTAGCGCGATACGATAATGTGCTTCAAATACTATAAAGAAAATACAATATATTATGTAAGTAGCATTGCTGTATTATTAGTTTTATACTAGACAATGATACACTAATTTTATGTGGAGTGGACGCGCATACTTTTTTTCAAAGATCTCCATTACAATATTTTTTTATTCATATTTGGATCTAGTGTCATCAATTTTGTGTTATGTTCACTTTGGAACACTCTCGTTTTGCGGGGAAACACTATATAGGATGACTATTTTTGCATATGCAGACACAAGAATTCCGTGATTGAAATATCTGATACTCACACCATTAATTGTAGGAAGAATTTTTCCGAAGGCCGAGTTCGACAAATCAGACAATATATACAAATTAGTCGTTGATACCCCGCGGTTCCAAACCCAAATTGGTGGCTTCTCCAAGACTCTCAAGGACTGCATGAAGCATGCGCAAAAACACAAGTACGAGTCCGTGGCGTTTCAAGTACAGACATGTGGTATGGCTCGTTATTCATTTAAAACATCTGTTTCTATATTGTTGTCAATTTTCCTGAAAATATAAAAGATTTTCTGTGTTATCTCTACAATAAAAACTCACAAACCCAGCAGTGTGCTTTATTTGCAGTAATGTAATATTTAATCAAATCATGTTTTGAACTCTTTCAGGGCATGACGAGATCTGCAAGATGAGCATGCTTATTTCAAAAGTAATATTCAAAAACACTGAAAGAGGCGGATCGTCACCGATGTATTCAATACTGTTGAGCAGGAACGTAGACATCAAAAACATTACAGAGTTTCAAGGTAGGAGTTAATAGGAGAGAGGGAAAGCTTTGTAGGAGAATATGTGCACTTCGAAATTATAGCATCTTGAAGTTGCACACTGTTTGTATATTTTATGATCTTATCGGAGGTAGCTATATCAACGTATATCGTGGAAGGTGCTGGAAATACATTAGTGCCAAGGAAAATCTCATTGTTTACCAACCATACTGAGAATTTACTAGTCATTGGGATGGTGGGCATACATTTGGCATATATGAGTATCATTGGTAAAATTACGAGGGTAAACAGGAATGCCATTTATATGTATACTAGAATAGACATGATTCTATGTAGGAAGGCATACTAAGCAAAATGGACATAACTGTATACATTTGTTAAATCACATTCTGACCGACATATAGTTTTCCCCTTTTATAACCTTTGTATTTAACTATTTTGTTAGAAATTGCGCGTTTCCTTCTATTTTGATGCACCTTTATACCAGAAAATTATGAAAAACAGATAAAATCCTACTACATGTATCTTTATGTTATTATTTTGCATTTTCCAGGGTGCAAGTTTCATTTCCATCGGAAATGTAGATATATGGAAGAATATATGGAGAAAGGAATACTCGTGTCCGTGAAATCCAAAGGCAGATCGGCCTACGAACAAGTACGACGTGAAATAGAAACCCATGTAGACGTGATCACAACCTCCTCAATGAAACACAATTAACTCCCATTGTAGTAAATCTTCGCTGTGGGAAGTGTTATTTGACCTACAAGGCAACGATATCTTCCTGTCTAGAATGAAATGGATTCCTGCTGATTCTTGTGATATATGTGGACCACATTCATTGTTCGTTTTACCTTAATTGTTCTGCTATTTTGTTGTTTCAGTTATATGTTTGGTCATTTCATTGTTGGAGTATTCAATTATGTTGTTAGGGTTAACTTCACAATTGTGTTGTTTTGTATGAGTGTCCAGTAATTTGTTCATTTAGGAGTGCTCCAGTAATTTGTTCGGTCTAACGTCACTTTCGTGTTATATGTGAAAGTGTTCCAATGATAAGTGTACTCTCTCTCTCTCTCTTCACATAATAGTATTTTAAGGCAATGAAATTTCTTTCAGCATTAAAAATATCTTAAAAACTATGTTAAAAACTACAAGATGTACATGGGATTCTCCTTGGACCCTGACAAGGGGCATTGTAAGGGGTCAAAGATTATAAGTGATTTATATGTAAATTACACAAATAACTTATGTTCTTGTGTTGCAAATATACAGCAGCATATATCTACTGTTATTCTGTGTAAATGTGACACACATACATAAACATATGTATAAAATTGTACAACTTAATTTCAATCACATATATGCCTTAATATCTATATTGATATGTTAATTTGTAATGACTTTAGTTACCTATACCTCCATTACAAAGTTGCGATAGATTTTTGTCTCTATTACAATTTTAAAATATTGTCGATTCTGTAGTGTCTAAACTTATCGTTCGACATTCAATTTTTCATTTTGACATATTCTAAAAATTAGGGCCATTTTGTTTAACAAAAATTGTTAAATTGAAATGCGAATTCTAAGAAACGTTAAGCCTTATTATATATACCTTTCCTTCTTTCTGTCTTTCTGTTTTTGTTGTTAACCTGAATCATTTTCGTTGTCTTTTTTTTGTATAACGAAAAGATATAACAATTGGATCTGGTATATTGGCTTTAAAAAAGTTAAAATGTGATAAACAGTGAAATAGCACATGATTGATGAATGTATCTTAATATACATGTGTAAATGATCATTTTCAATAATCGGTGCTTGGCACCGAACATTTTCATCATCAAAAAAAAAATTGTTGTGTATTTTTTCTATTTTTATCTTCAATAGGTAGATAATTTAGTTTAATAACAGCACTTCTCGACACCCAACACTTAACACTTTCTATTTTTTTTTGTGACGTTTTGACTATTTGTAAACCTATATAACTTGTTTCATAATTGTTCAAATAAATTAAGTGTATCCTTTTTTATTTCATATTTTTCTGTATTTGTTCGCTTTGATTAATTTGATTGATCAGGCCTTCCCTAACCGATAAAGACTATCTTGGTTTCTTTATTGCATATATAAACAAAAACCATGCCAAGTGTAAATGTGTTTTAACTTCTATATTTACTTAAATGGAGTCTGAGTGCCATAGCGAGTCACCGCCGACATAGATTTCATCTGGTTTGCCATAATAATTTCATATTAATCATATCATAATATAGTCACCCACACAAATAATGTTTTGTTGATACTCTTAATGTTTAGTGAGTTACATACGTTTGATAATCAATTTTGCAGTTCTGTTTACAACATGATTTGTATTTTGTTTGAATAAAAAAGATGACATGACGTATGCCATTTTGTTGTTGTTGTTAACTTTAATGATCGATGTATGTATGTTACATCCAATCAAATAGATATACTAACTAACTCTTTACCCTAAGTTTTTCTTCCTTGTTTTATAACAAAGCATTATATAGTGTAAATTTTCTTTAGCTCTATTTATTTTCAAACTTACGTAATGACTTTCCCATAAATTATCAAGATTTTTGCATTCAATGAAATGCTAATTTTTATCTCCTGTTATACATTATTTCATTGCACGCGTTACATGCATCGATTTCCTCATACTTTATGGCTTCAAATTGAATTGTTTTGTATGATATTATCTAGCAGTTCCCATTTTAAGATTATTATTTATCTTTTAATTCATTCATTCTCCAATAAATACGCATTTGATTAGATTTATACTTATATGGCTAGTACCTTTAATAATTTTGTCCTGGGGAAACTATTTCTAATTTTGTCCATATTCGCTGGGCAAAGTCTAGCAGCTTTTACCTAACCTGATGCTTAGAGTTCTATTTGTTATTTTCATTGACAATACATCATTGTTTAGCATTGAACTGTGAGTCATGGTATTTACAGCCTATATAAATGCCATCTTAACCTAGAGGGTACATAGTGGCAGTGCTTTAGAGTGGTAAATATAATAATTTCCTGGTAAAATATATTTTAAGTATATTAATTATATTCAATATACATTGACGTTTGCCATACTGTTGAAATAATGTTGACTGAATACTCTTCGATCAGTTTAGAGCTGTACACTGCATAAAATGTATGCCTTTATCCAGTACATACATGTGCATACAATTTGCAATTTTGTTTTCGTGGTAATCCTTTGATGTTAAATGGGCATGATATTGTTTGAATAATTAATATATCCGTGTCATTACCTGTGTATTTTTGTTTATTAAGTTATTTTGTTTCCTAGTTTCGTTGTAAAAACTAGTAAGCTTATAAACATTTTTATCCAAAAGAATTATGATTTATTTCAACCAAATTGGTCAGGAGTTTTCTTAGCGTAATGGCAGTTACTTCAAGTCGTCATATCAAAACACTGACCACATATAAAGGCGAGGGGTGGAAAACTGTGTCATGTATGACTGCAGAATTGTTGTTTATGAAGGTAACTTGAAATGCTGCTGTTGATATACAAGCATTGTAACTGATATTGGATCTTGGCAAACGTTGGAGGGTAAAATACAATAAGCAATGAATATTATGTAAACCACTCAATTTAAATATATAACAGTATTACTGTTCATATGAATCACTAGTAATCACAACTAAATTTAAACGTCCTCTATATTTTCAAAAAGTTTATGTACTTTTATTTGAAAGAAATACGAAGAGTAATTAAATGAAAAGAATTGTATCACTTGTGATTAGTTAACAAACATGTTTGCAAAACCGTACTTGGTTTGCACACAAATAGAAGGTAAGTGCAAGTATCTTTTACATCAATGTTAACCAGAAACTGTCCAGTCAAAGAGTAAATCTACGACGGAGTCATACTTTATTGTTCATACACAAAGTATATAACTTCTTGATATAGACACAAAGGCATTGGAATAGCTGAATAATATTATTATTAACATTATATCAATTCTTACCATATACATACTATTTTTATGAATAAAATGATAGAATATACTGAAAACCCATGTAATGAACGTACGCCTTACTTCGTCTGAGTACTATAACTACATTTATCAAAACTCACCTTAGAAGCAAATCGAACCAACAGAGAGAGTGAACGATCCTAGGCCTACAACTGCTCGTGTTTAAACCCTAACAGAAAATATCAAAAATATATTGCTGTCAATTGTATAGATGTTTCAACGTTAGGATAGTATCAATAAGTTATGTTTATCGCAGGGATCTGGGATACTGAGGCCAAGTGGGAAAACAAAGAAAAGACAGGAGGAAATATACGATCGAACTAGTTGATACATTTCCTGTTTTTGAATTACAGAGCATGCTACATTCATATTAATATGAAATTGAAAGATTTGGCAAGGTTTTTGTTTTTAGAACTGATAAGCTTTTTGATTCTAATGAGTCTGGGCCTCATATGAAACCAAAAACAAGTCGACCTTAAGAGGAGAAGAGTTTGCAAATGTTCGAAAATCTCGCCACCAAACTTAACGCGTGTATTATATATATATAAGAAATATTTCAAATAAATGTTTCCTTACTTGGCATTTCTAGTGATTACTCGTTAATGCCAATTACAACCACTTCCTTCATGAGGACAGTTAAAGCTCAATGGTATCTGGTTGTTTCGTTATTACAGCGGTAAAGTTATTGCTTTTATCATTCCTTGAATTCCTTATATGTTATCCTAGAACATGTAATGTATTCCTGTAACCTGTAGATATACTTACAGGAAGGCTTCAGCAGTAATACTTTTCAATTGCATTGTCGCCTTTGTTACTGTTATGAATGATATTAAGGGAAAGATAGATACTCTCTTTGAATACTTTGTATCATACTCTGAAAATCATGCAAATTCAAAATCGAAATTTCTTACATTGTGATGATAGGATATGGTGTAGCATTAATATACTATATGTAAACATTATGAAACGATGATATATATATATTTCATAATATATAAAAAGTGGAATTATATTTATATTAAGTAAAATCAGTTTGTAAACTTTGTTTATTACTAGTCATTAAATAAAATGGAAACTAGCTTCACACATCATTATAATTCAATCTACTCTATCCAATCCTGTTGACTTCATTTGTCAATAAACTACATTGTATGATGAAATCTTGAGCGCTGAAACATACATAGAACAGTAAATTATGAAAGGAAGCTTATTCGGTGTGACATTCTTAATTGTTTTAATGCAAGATATGTTTTCAGATGCAATGCTTTGGAACGATACCACTCCCTCTCCCAGTACAATCCTTGTACATGCACGTGCACCTCTCCAAGCACGAGCACATCTCCCAGTACGAGCACATCTCCCAGTACGAGCACATCTCCCAGCACGAGCACATCTCCCAGCACGAGCACATCTCCCAGCCCTAGCACATCTCCCAGCACGAGCACATCTCCCAGCCCTAGCACATCTACATGCATGAACACATCTCACTCCGCAATAGGATGTTGTCAAAATAATTTTGACAACACTATCGACCTGATAAACACTCTTGAATTTGAAGGCGAGGGCACTATAAACACTTACAGAACAATCGCATTTTTCGTTAGATATCTACAAAATGATCAACTGAGACGTTGTACTACATGTTATAATCTGCATACTGTTGTAATTATGTGATTTATGACTTCCGGTCCGCATTCCGGATCCATTGTCTGTATTAGTATTTGCCTTGCAATGCATTATGGGATATTCAATAAATACTGTTTTGACCTGAATGGCGGCTCTCCTGGTTTTCCCTGACAAATGTTGTAGAACACAACACATACTACATATGACGATTTCCAATGTCCGATTATATATTTTCCTTTTCTTAAAAATTACATTAATCCCATCCACGGTGTTTACTTATCGCAGTTGATTCCGTATTCACACTTTTGCTTCAAATATCATTATTACTGTTATGCAGGTCCTCCATATGGACAGACATGCCACACTGGGATGCGAAATAAGCATATTGATGTTGATTTAATTAGAAAATATTGTTTCCTTTATTTAAAGTGTTATGAATATCGACTCTTTTTATTATACACATTAGCGTGTATTGAGATATTGAGGTTGCAATGTCGCCTCACTAGTTCTTAGTTTGAGAGTAGGATATTATTTGGACTTGACCTATATTTGATAATAAAAGTTCAATCTATTTAATATATTTGTTAAATACATAGTATTGTTTTGTATATATCAAAAAAGAATTATTGCTTCAGAATCAATGCCCTCTGTTTCCAAAAATATCAATTTCAAAGAAATGGGTACACACATCATAAAAGATCTTTATTTATGAATAAAATTGCCTTTTAGTGTCTGCTGTAATATTACAAGTGAAGACTGCACATCTACGTTTACTTAATATTGTAATATTGTAATATTGTATTATTGTAATATTGTAATATTGTAATACATATCTAATCCGGTGTTGCACAGGTATTCGTAGCCATGTAGCGTTTGATTCCTGTCCTACTGCAAATAAAGCACTAAAGAAACTGAGTTCGTTTTAATCTCTGTCCCAATGCAGATAAACACTAGAGACAAAGAGTTTGTTTTAATCTCTGTCCCAATGCAGATAAACACTAGATACAAAGAGTTTGTTTTAATCTCTGTCCCAATGCAGATTAAACACTAGAGGCAAAGAGATTGGTTTAATCTCTGTCCCAATGCAAATTAAACACTAGAGACAAAGAGATTGGTTTGATCTCTGTCCCAATGCAGATTAAACACTAGAGGCAAAGAGATTGGTTTAATCTCTGTCCCAATGCAAATTAAACACTAGAGACAAAGAGATTGGTTTAATCTCTGCCCCAATGCAGATTAAACACTAGAGACAAAGAGTTTGTTTTAATCTCTGTCCCAATGCAGATTAAACACTAGAGACAAAGAGATTGTTTTAATCCCTGTCCCAATGCAGATTAAACACTAGAGACAAAGAGATTGGTTTAATCTCTGTCCCAATGCAGATTAAACACTAGAGACAAAGAGTTTGTTTTAAGCTCTGTCCCAATGCAGATAAACACTAGAGACAAAGAGTTTGGTTTAATCTCTGTCCCAATGCAGATTAAACACTAGAGACAAAGAGATTGTTTTAATCTCTGTCCCAATGCAGATAAAACACTAGAGACAAAGAGTTTGTTTTAATCTCTGTCCCAATGCAGATTAAACACTAGAGACAAAGAGTTTGTTTTAATCCCTGACCCAATGCAAATAAAGCACTAAAGAAACTGAGTTCTTTTAATCCCTGACCCACTGCAAATAAAGCACTAGAGAAAATGAGTTCGTTTTAATCCCTGTCCCAATACAGATAAAACACTAGAGACAAAGAGTTTGTTTTAATATCTGTCCCAATGCAGATAAGACAGAAGAGAAAAAGGGTTTGTTTGTTTGTTTGTTTTGTTATTCATGTCCAACTGCAGATAAAACACCACAGCAATTGAGTTTACTTTTTGTCCATGACCCACTGCAGATAAAACGCTAGAGAAAATGAGTTTGTTTCATATCAGTTCCGCAAAGTATGCCTTTTCTGGGGTTTGTTTCTGTCAGTGGTACGGGAATTTCTGGGGTTTGTTTCTGTCAGTGGTACGGAGATTTCTGGGGTTTGTTTCTGTCAGTGGTACGGGGATTTCTGGGTTTTTTTTTCTGTCAGTGGTACGCGGATTCTTGACACACATTCGTTGTACCTAGCTGATCTATCTGGTTAACTGAACATGTATAACATTTTACGACATTTAATGTTTTATTTAGCTTGAATACTTAGTTTTCCTTTTTCAAAGCTTAAATCTTTGGTTTTCTTGAAGGAAAGAGACAACCGTTAAAGGACTTCAGAAAGGACTGTGAAGAGTACTTATTACGGAATATCATAAATAAATAAATAAATAGATACACCCAGTCAAACCTGCATTAAGGGGCCACCCAAGGGACCGGCAGAAATTGACCGCTTGAGACAGGTGGCTGCTAAACCCAGGCGCACCCGAAAATCAAGTTTTCATACATCCACAGGTTATTATGACATTTTCCAGGCAATATAGGCTGCTATGTTTTTTTGATTTTTTCTCCCTTCATCAACAGGGTTACAATTTCATGCTTGAATATAAATGCGTTATCAATAAAATACAAAGGCGTTTTGGTGATTAATTTCTTGAAATGATGAATTCATTTTTGTTTGGCTACACACGTGTTCCACATACGTTTTGCGCTAGCAGACAGCCACCAGTACTGAAATCTACATGTAGATCTACTTTTAATGAAAATCTGCTTTGCGATGTATTCTGATCTATTTGGTTCTAATAATTGTCTAATGTAATGATATATCAGTATTTAGTTAATTCATATAAATAAATCACTCAATAAATCTAGAACATTGCAAGAATCTTTGAGCTTTCAACTTAACATAACGGTTTATTCACAGCAACCATAAATGTTTTGTTTGTAAAATATTGTTGATGGGTCGGTAGGACCTGCCCCAATTTGCAAGCTGACAATCGCTGTGTAAATAACTTGTCAATTCAACGTGTCAAACCTTACCTATGGTTTTTAATTACACATTGTAATTAGCTTTGCTCTATTGAGATGTGTTCTTGTTAATATATTGTGATCTTCTTGATGTCAATTTCTGGACAAAATGACCGCTGAATACAGATGGAGATAACATCTCGGGCCAGAGATTTGTGACCGCTGGCCGCATTCGACAGGTGGCTGCTTATTTCAGGTTCATTATATATGTTACTCTGGTATTTTAGGAATATTTAGGGTACCGTTTTTATATAGATTATAATGGTACAACTATTATGTAACGGGTACGGATATTGCATAAAGAGAGATAACTCCGAATGTAGGGATGAGGATGCTAGGATGCGTGCGCATACCCGATTAGAATGTTCCTGAAATAAAATAAATATACGAGACGGTAACCTCTCCTTCCTGTTCATTTCAGGTAAGTTCCAGAGTTAAACTATGTGATATGTTTTCACATGTAGGTAGATTTGTTCACAAAGTGTTGGTTCACATTTTTGTTAAATAATGTTGTGTATTTTGGAATAATTCTTATGAAATACGAGATATAGGACCTGCAGGGTTGTGTTGGTGAAAACGGCATGGTCGGCCATTTTCCCCGCCAAAACGTTGCGGTGCTACATTGTCATTATCTGATGATTTTTGGAGGTTTAATCGTTACTTAAATAGGTAAAAATGATTCAGAATATGTTTCGAGATGAAAGATGTCTATAACTTGGTATGAACTTGTGTGTTTACATTTTACGATCATATTGATGGAGGCATCAACTTGCCAAGTAATTTGTTATTACGAGTTATCTCCCTTTAGACGTTCGTCGAAATAGAGATTGTTATAGGATGTAAATTGAGCACAGTCTCGGATGTGTATTAATGGACAGGAATGCCACATATTGGCATTACTCATTATGATAAGAGTAACCATTGATTGAAATTGTTAATACTTAACAATTTATAGTATGATAGAGACTGATAGGAGGAATTCGATTATTTGACTGATACTTTGTCTTTACCATAGGTTGATACATGAACTGATAGTTTTCTTTGTTCGGTTTGTGATAAATTGGTAGCCTTGTGTTAGAGTTTAATGCAATTAATAATTGTTCAATAATTGTCATTTACAATAGATCTGTAATAGATTGTTGATGTAGTAATGCTAATAGTTATCATTTAACTGACATGTGACATGTTTTATGTGAAAAGTGAGAAGTTTTGTCAATATGTGACTAACTCTTTTTAGTCACATATTTGAAGTCACTATTGTAAGTGTATTATAGGACTGTCAAGTTATCCTATAGTCACATTTTGTTCAGGTTGGCTAGCCGTATAGATTTAGTCACTTAAGTCAGTAAGTCACATCTCTAGTCACACTTAGTCACATCTCTTGTCACACTTAGTCACATTTTGTCATTTCTTTCAAATGTATTTCCCTAGACAGATATATTAAGCCAGTTAATTTGCTTTACTATCCTAAGCAAGTTTATAATGTAACAAGCCTGTACAATTTATTGTTTGTATGTTAGAATGTTCCTGAAATAAAATAAATATACGAGACGGTAACCTCTCCTTCCTGTTCATTTCAGCCGGCAGAATCCAAGAGTAACATTTAGTAAGCAGAGTTGACTGTTCAACTAACAATAACTTTTACCACAACACCAACAGCCGAGACAGGACTCTAGATTAAGATTTAAATTAACAATGTCTTATTTGTTTTCAAGACATTAAAATGAGCAAGGAAAGAAGGGACTGACACATGAATAAAGGTACGGTAATTTGTCTCCAAATTTGAATAACCTATGTGACGATTCCGGAGAAAAACGTCAACCAATTTTGGTGACTGTTATAACAGAACTTAACTTTTCTTTAAACAAACCAATTCAGCTCAGATGAAGGTTAAAGTCAGTTACAAGATATTTCAAAATAGATAACGAGGCAAACATCGAATCAAAATTATATTAGGTGGCTTAAAGTCGAACTGATGTACACAAAAACTGTGTACACCAGGTCCCTGGCCGTCACTAGACAGGCAGTTGTACTATAATTTTGCTAAGAACAAATATGGTTAACCTTGCCACCATCTTTGAAAAAATCATTCTTTTTTCTCCTATTTCCTTAAGTTTCTAACCGCCAAACTTCCACCAACCATCTACCTTGAAATAATCACAATCGACACAAGAGAACGATAATCTTAGAATGATTTATTACTAAATTTAAAGAGAAATTCATCAGCAGTATAAATTTTAACAAACATGATGATTAAAAGCATACACAGTGCGTAACTGCACGTCTTTGGAAGGTTTAAAACATCTTAACTCGAAGTTCATATTGCTGGACGTGATCCCAAATATCTGAAGACATTTCAAAATGAACATAAATTATTAACAACTATAATATTTTAGTAAATGGATAGTAGGTTTAAAACAGGGACATTTTTTTCCCAATAAAACTATCTGTTTGTTTGTTTGTGTAACAATGTTGTATAAGTAAACAAATTACTATTTACGATAAAATAAAAAGTAAACATCTTAACACATGAATGTTGTATCATCTTAGTTAGAAAATGACATATCACATAAAATATCACAGGCAATAATTGGACGGAAACACTGACTTCAAACAACGCGGTCGATAGTGGGACAAACATAACCTAGAAGCAATGATAATCATTATAAGTCAAAGTCAGGGGAGATAACATCGACTGTTACTCTACATTATGAGTTTACTTCATATACTTGGTTCCTGCTAAGCGCGTCCCATTTATATTGATATTTTATGATAATATGCATATATTTGTTGGATGTTTGTTCAGTGGAGAACATAAAATGAAGGCAATACTTATACAATTATTGGCTATTTCCTTAAGTAAACAACTAAAAGCAATACATGTTTTTTTATTCAGTATAAAACTATTTTAAAGTTGCCAAGCAAGTCTTCGTGTGGACCACTGGTACTCGTGGTTGCACGCCTCACAGCTCATGACTTCCAAATTAAACAGCATTCCATGTCGTGCGCTGTTTCCATCTGCCTTGGCTGAAGAAGAAGAGACCTTTGTGTGTGGCTGCAACACATAATGATGTAGGTGGTATTAATGTGAGGTAAAATAACCCCCGATTTATATAGAGTGTTGCAGGTTTTAATTGTACATAGGATTAAGGTCGCCTTCTAGCTTAGAGCTAGAGGGAATTTTCCTTTAGCTCAGTGGTAGAACGTCCGACTAGAAACCTGTAGATCGAGGGTTCGATGCCCGGTTGAAGCACACTTTTCTATTTCCTGTTACAAGAGTATCAAGTACATATACAGGATCACAGTGTCAAATGTGGACATATTCTTTTAAAAGTTTGATAACTTATAGATATATACGATTCTAGTAAAGTATTGAACAAAAGCAACTGTTAGATGACTGATTAAGAAATTGATAAAAGTTATAGACAGTAAATATGATACTCTTATTTGAAATAATATCGATATTGTTTCTTCTTATATCCATGTGAATAAAAAAGGTTATTTTTTTTTTCTTTTTGCTGTATTTCGTTTTGATTTCTTTTGGTTTTACCAGCGGATTTTATGTTTGTATCAAATGGAACATGTAAAACGGAACTTTCGTTAAAATAGTGAAAGAATTCGGCATCGCTAATCAAAAGATTAGATAACAAAGAACTTGCTTAGGAAAAGTAGTAAAAGTGATATTCATATTAACCCTGTGAAATGAACAGCAATTGTAGGCATGCGCTACAAGTAAGCTACATTTAGTTTATGTCAGATTGACCGAAGGGAACTTCTGTTTCTGTGTGGCAACGAGGCTATACGAACAGTAGTAAGATATTCCATTTCATCTACGATACAAGGTATAGGATAGAGACTGCTAGATGCTCTTATATTTTAAAGAAGAATTGTTCATTATTCAATTGAAAAAGACAGTTTTACACATGTAAGGGAAAGACAAATGATCGCATGCGTTGACAAATTCTCACCTCCCCAGTTTCCCAGTTGGTAATTTGTGTGTGGTTCAGATGAGTTTAAATCATCACTGGACTGCCAGCCGATAGGTTTCGAGAACAGGAACTCATTGTTGTCTTGTCCAGCATCTCTCGACGTGAAGAATGCATCTAAATTAACAGTGTCCCAGTTGTCGCCGTCATTGGTACTCATCAGCATTGTTCTCTTGTTCTTGTGCCAGGCATACATCCGGTCTTGTGTCTTATCGTATCCCAGCAGGCAGCCCACCACGTCTGATAATTCTGTATAAAATACCGGGAGGAATAATGTTGTGGGCGAACAATAACACGGAGTGTCGGATAACAAAATTCACCGACAATTACAGATAAACAATGATAGTATTCCCCTTATACTTATCCCGTCGCATGTAGTAGGTTACTGATCCAACACTAGCGAATCACTGTATTTTTCTCAAGCTGGTATTACATTTGAACAATGTCTTAAACTTCATTGTAGATTTTAAATAAAACAAGTCTGCTTACTTGTAAATGTGTCGCCGTCATTCGACCGGGCACATCCGATTCGCATCTCTTCCGTGAATACTCCGTCGCTGAAATCAACACGATACGCTTTTAACAAGAAAGCATGAAATTATATACTAAGGCATACGTGAAAACCATTTACAAAATGAATAGGTAAAACACACTATAACTACGATAAAGTGTTACATGAGACTTCACACTAGATATAATTTAATTATATAAAACTATATATCATGGATACATTGTACAAGGTTGTAACAGTATACCTGGAAATTTTCGCCTTTATCGCCTTCCTTAACGAGGGCGAATTTATCATTACAGCGAACATCAGAAAACAACATAATAGATATATTAATGAAAGAAAAAAAATAAAACTTGACGAATATGAATTTCATTAGCGAAGGGTGAAAGTTTGATTGGGTGAAAAAAAATCCCCTTATACAATATATCTAAAAATATATATTAATTTGTGTACGTACGTTACCGGAGTGGCGTCACAAAAATGTAGGGACGAAGTCTTTGTGTTGAGGGCCATGCTTCGGAAGTGAAACTCTGTGTCAAATGAGTGAAAAATGAGCTAAGAAATATTGCCTGGTTGTGTTTGTATACAGACTAAGTGTACACAGACTAAGTGTAAGATAAATGAATCTGAGGTCGTATTCACGGAACCATGCGCAAGCTCATGCATGGATTTTGTGCTCGAACCAACTTTCTTTTAAGTCGCTTAAATCATGTCAAACGATCAAAGAGTCAAATGTAAACATTGAAAACAACCTTTTCTTTTAAGTCACTTTAAAATTCTCCCAAAGCATTGATAAAACACGATTTGTTTATTAAATAAAATCAGAAAAAGAAATTAGGCTAGAGCACATAAGCTCTGCCTGAGCATGAAAATGGTTTAATGAATACGGTCCCTGGTAGATTATGATTTTTTTTCCAGATACCAGAACATTAAACTCTATAAGTGTGGTTACAAGCATGGGAACATCTTTCTTTTTTGTCATATTTTTTGCTGAACTGAGGAATATCGAACTATCAACGTTTCCAAATATGAGAATATCGTTCTACTGTTATCAAAGTAACTGAATGTGAGAGAATATTAAACAATTATTTACAACAATTTCAAATATGAGAAAAGCTTACTACAGAGAAATTGTTTAAAATCCCTAATAGTTGTTTGAGGACAGCTTCATAAGCTATTTTAGGCATCCTTGTGTTGATATTCCGTCTTTGCGTATTGCAGAGTTATCTTCTCTTGGGGGCAGGTATTGATTGTTACGTCATTGGTTTGTGTGAGAAAATTACGTCGTTTTCTCAAAAAGTGATGACGTTACTCTCACAAACAAGTGACGTAACAATCAATACCTCTTCCCAAGAGAAGATAACTCTGCAATACGCAAAGACGGAATAGCAGCTGGTGACACGATATATAGTTTTTATATATAGTTTTTATATATAGTTTCATCCAATAGATTTTATCCACGTGCTATCCACTGGGAAAGTGTTATTACGACGAAGTACTGCTTGATAATCAATGTTATATTTATATTTTCAAATAGTTTGCTGATGATGGTTTTTTAATCTGAGGGCGTCTCACAATTATTGTTACATGTAGTATTTTAAAATTATGTTAGCACACACCACAAGAATGGTATCATGGTTTCTAGATGATTATGTTACCAAAGTTTTAAGATGTGAATATACATTAAACGATGTTGCCATCATTTTAAGATGTGGGATAACATACCTGGTTGGGTTGGCTGATACTTCGTCACAAGGTTGCAGATTTCTGAAATCAAGAAGTGCATTTTTTAATCATATGTGTTTCTATGCAAACACATTTTTACGAAAGCATGCATTTCTCTTCGTTTCTGTTTAATTTAAACGGAGTGTTAAATTAATAAACTCATATCTACACCTGTTTCCACAATTGATTTTAGTGGTCTTTAATAATACGATCTTTTCTATAATTACACTCCTTGACACCAGATATTTCAGGAATGACGTATCCAAAATCTTTTCAAGATAAACATAATCACAAATTATTTCAGACAAACTTAATTTTAGAATTCATCGCTCGCTACCATTGAGTTTTGAAATCCTATAAAAAGCATGATATCGTTTACAGATTTGTATAAACGTTTTTCAATTACCTTATTCATTTCATCGACATTCGATGCCAAATAAATTTTTGGCAATACCAAAATATTTCATAATGGATTCTTATCAATTTCTGCAGTGTGTTTTTTAACATAGTTTTACAAATATAATTACTACCGTCATGGTACTACTGAAATACGTCGACAGTCGACCCAGTACGTATTTTCGTCGTATAGCTTCGAATTAATTCTTACCGGTTGCTGTTATATCGCTCGACTTGAAACATCCGATAAACTCAAACTTGAGCCCGATCTTGGCCATGGCGGTACCCGCGGTGTCCGTTAAGAGATATATCCGGATATATCTGGCTGGAGTAGGTCTTCCTGGTCTCACCTCGATTGTGTCACTGACTGTGAATTTACTGCTTACTTCGATCTTAAAGGGAGACAATCGTTGAAAAATTTACAAAAAAAAACACATACAAAAGTTATACACATTTACATGTTCCTTTTGAATAACAAATTTAGAGCTACATAGGATATCTGTGGGGTATATATATATTATAACCTATTGTTGACCAACACGGTCTAAATACACTTAAACGGTACCCAAATTTTACTTTGAAGTTGACAACACCGTTGCAATAACGGCCCCTAAATATTTTTTGCGAAATGGCGATAATTAACGGGGCGACGTAACGAAGCTTATGTCACTATGTCAGGTTGCTTAAAAGCGACTTACCGTTGTTTTACGATAAATATCTTTAGTTTGCTGCGGAATAACGAAATGAAACTTATGAACCATCATAAAATATGTATAACAATAACGTTGCCAAGCCCCATTGTTTCATGGCTTAAAACTATGTATGGACTACAATAACAGAAGCACGCCCCGTTTTGTTTGACAGTTGTGGACCACTTCGGCTACATATAGACAACAATTAAGGTTCCATTAAATATTCCTAGGGCAATGTATACGTACCTCTTCGGCCTTTTCATATGCCGTGCCGTCATTACTGTAATACAGTGCGATAACGTTAACAGTATCAGGAAACTGAGACCTGTTTCCGAGCTGCATTATGATCTTGGCTACAAGGGTGATGTTTCCGAAGTAGACTTGGAAGTACCGGTAGGGGGAGAGAGATCCACCGCGTACGAAAGGTGCCCAGGCTAAACAGAAGTAGATTGTACAGCTTTCAGACAACATGTTCGTCTGTTCATGAAGGGACTTATGTGTCTTAGACAGTCTTTGTTAATAGCGACTTAAAATCATATTAGTAAATACAACACAACAATTTAGACAGCACTACTGGAACTTTCGTTCTTGAGCATAGAATTTATTCCCAAATGCTATTTTATTTGCCAGTGAGAGGAAGATCGCTCAAACTAGCGAACACGAACCCTAGGGGTATTAATCTACACACATGCTTATGAATTATGGTGTTATCATTTGATTTAATATCCTCAAAGAAAAAGTTACTTTCTTTCACATTTTTTCTGCGATATTGATCCTTTAACCTGAACACTGTTGACGTGCGATCAAATAGAATTATGACGTCACAAAAGAAAAAAAAAAATGGATTCAAAATGTCCCAATTTTGTATATCAAAAACATCCTTTGAAATAAGTTTACGAATACAAAAATAAAAAATGGGTATTTGATATTTAAAATCCAACTTACGTTCAATTTCTTGCATAACATTTATGGAAATCGTGACGATTTTTTCAATTCAGCTCTCAATCTGCATATGGTTATCAGCGAGAAGAGGGAGATGTTGGTGTATTTAATCGTAAACACGAACAGAGAAGCTAAAGATTTTTTTTTTCTGGTCGTAAGAATAGAGATTGGAATAATACAAATGGTAAAAAGAAGAAGAAACCTAATGAGTTTTTTGTTTAACTGGTGGTTAGTAAGAGCAAAACGTTACCAGAACTTCTTTTGCATTGGCTGTATTTGGTCGGAAAATCGTTGCTTAAACTTACTAGTGTTTAAACTTAACAAAATTTCCCTTGTACCGGCCGTGTTTGGTTAGAGAATGGAATCTTAAGCTTACCAGTGCTTAAACGTACCAGGATTTTCCCTGAACCGGCAGTGTATGGCCAGGAAATGGTTGCATAAACTTACCAGAATTTCCCTTGTACTGGCCGTGTATGGTTGGGGAATGGAATATTAAACTTACGATAATTCTCCTAGTACCGGCCGTGTATGGCAGGGTATTGGTTGCATAAACTTACCAGAATTTCCCTTGAACCGGCCGTGTATGGCGGGGTACTGTCGATCACTCTCGAAGGATGAGGCAAGCTGACAATCCTTGATAATGCCCGTCTCCATACCCATGATATCATTGCAGGCTGTGGCACAAAGAACACAGCTCGTACGTCAAGTCAATAAGATTTTCATGTAACGCATTTGTTTTTCATTTTAATTATATAACCTGATCTACATTTAATGTATGTTATAACTGACGAGAGTGAGACTTCTAAGGTAGTAATTCCAGACGCACATAACATCTATATGTATAAATTGTATGGCACAGAAAAGGAGAACTCGAGTTTCCAAATGCTGGTTGGAATGTAGGGGTGAAATGGTTGAATTGTAAAAGGTTACATGTAATGTGACTTTTCGTCATAATTAATCTCATTTGAATTGACCAACTGACAATCCTTGATAAAACTGTCTAGGAAAAAAGCTATGACCAAGACATCCGATCTTAAAGATTTAATATAAAGACTGAAAATTAGGTACTAAAACCACTTGATGTAGTTTCCATCTAAAAAAATGTTAGAAATGTGGATTTTCAGGTTCATGATTTTAATTCTCACATATCATTTTAGGAAATCATCAGCAGAAAAAATCGGATTTCTCTGAGGCTACATCTGTCGATCATCACACATTTCACTGACATGCTACTATTGCAGCTTTCAGAGACCTCGAACACATGCTACTATGACTTAGCAATCACTACATTTTAATAACTATGACGTCAGAGTATGATCAATTAATTGTTGTTTGTGACTTTGAAATCACGTGATACATAACGAAAACCTATACTTACAATCGTCCTGCGTGACCTTAGCGCTGAAGCTGAGGACCTGTGTCTCTGTTGTTAAGAAGGCGTCACTGGCTAGTGTGCTGCCCGATCTCTGATAGACGTTGCTGCCAGCCTCCATATATACGGTGGTATTGGCTGGTACGATGTCTATTGGCACCTCCACCGAGTTGTTAGTCTCAAGTAATACCGTGAATGCAACCGCGTTACACAGGAGTAGGTCTCCGAACTGTAAAGGACATCCAATTTTAAGCCACGACTGTAGACATCAGAACAATTAAGGTGTTCAGCAACACGTATTGCAAAATATAATATTAGCACAAGCTATGTTGTTTCTACAGGCCAGTGTAACATTATCAATATACTATCAGGTCAGTGCAGCAAGTGATGGTTTTATTGACTGCCTTAATGTGTTCAAAACATATATACGCTTCACAAACATATAAAAAGAGCCTGGTATAAATGAGTGTATTTTCCTCTCCTCGTCACATATCAAAAAAATGCAATGTAACGGTGCAAATAGCGGCGCTACCGATGTATGTGTAACACATGTAGATACCAGTAATTAGAAAAGTGAATGTCAGTTACCATACGACTATCCGAACATTTCAAACAGCTAATCGCAATACCACAAATTAAATCTGATCTAGACATAACAGTTATTGAAATAGTCAATACAATATCTACAATATCTTTTTTTTTTGTTAAATGTTCAAGAAAGATTCAGGAAAGAAAAACACATTTACACTGTTTACAAACTTTGTGCTAATTTACCCGTACTTCGATGTATCCCTTTTCGTTAATAATCTCAACTGGAGTGACGTTGGTCTGAGTCAGGTTTGCGAAGAATAGGTAGGGCGGCAGGAACATAAACAATGAGGCGTTAACAGCTCTACCCGAGGACGTGTTGGTGTGAACGATCACGCCATCTATGAAGATATGAGTGCTGAAACAGATATTGAATAAAATGTAGATATGCGCCATGAAACAGAAATTGAGTCAATGCAGAGATGAGTACTGAAACAGGGATTGAGTCAGTGAAGATCTGAGTACTGAAGAAGAGTTTGAGTCAATGTAGATATGAGTCATGAAACAGGGATTGAGTCAATGCTGATATGAGTCATGAAAGATGGATTGAGTCAAAGTAGATATGAGTTATGAAACATGGATTGAGTCAATATATATACGAGTAATTAAAGATGAATCGAGTAAATGTTGATATGAGTCATGAAACAGGGATTGAGTACATGTATGTTTGAGTCATAAAACAGGAATCGAGTCAATGAAGAGCTGAGTACTGAAACAGGGATTAAGTCAATGTAGATATGAGTCATAAAACAGGAATCGAATCAATGAAGAGCTGAGCACTTAAACAGGGATTGAGCAAATGAAGAGGTTTGTAATGAAACAGGGTTTGAGTGAAATTGAGTGAAAGTGATTTTAGTCCTGCAACAGGGATTAAGACAATAAAGATTTTAGAACTGACAGAGATTAAGTAAATATAAATCTGAGTGATGAAACAGGATTATTGACAATGTTGTTAAGCGCCCTGAAACGAGGATAGAGTTAATATAGTTTTGAAGCATGAAGCAGGAATCGACCAATGTTAATATCACAACAGAGATAACGGTAATGCATAGATTTACTGGCATTTTACGTGCAAAATTTCAGTCACTGTTAACATTTTGTACATACTCGTTTGACAGGGTGCCGTTAACATCGGCGGTGAACTCTAGTTCCGGTTTCTCGCTGTTATCTCGGATCACTCTTATCTTCTGTTCACAGAGAACGATGATATTTGTTACCATGCCACCAAAACTGATGGAAAAGACAGCATTGTGTTCTGCCAGTTCAAAATCTGTCAACATGAGATCAACCTCCAAGTGGATACTGTCATCACCGTCAGCATTCGTCCCCTTCCGGTATGACAGACCTACACAAAAAGAGCAAAATGGGTGAAACACAGAAAACCGAGGCGTGACACACGATGTGTTTAAATACTAAACACCGCTATCACCATGACACACTTTACTTGTATCTAGGGTATAATTAAAGACAATCGACGCATCTGAGAAGCTAACGGAAACTGCTGATTAAGATGGCAATGTGTTTCGATTGTATTAATGTTTGCCGACGTCATATTATCGATATACAAAATACTTGTGGACTCTTTATAAAGTGTTATAAACCTTTCCTTCTCGCTGAGGCAATATTGCCTGGAGGTACTTTTCAAGTGAACTATACTTGCAGTTGATTAATCAGCCTCAACATATCTAATCGTCCTACTGTTAAGCCATAATGGTATAAGAGTTGTAGAAGTGTGTCGTAAGTGAGGGTACATGTGATATGTCCCTCATTATCTGTGTATAGTAGATACAAGTACGATATAATCCCTCTTTACCTACGATCTACGTAAGATCAGCGTGTAGAAGGTCAAAATAAGGGATATAATTCCTCCAATACTCTGTGTTGTAGATAAAAGTAAGAATACGGGATATGGTTCTCGTCTATGACTGAGTGTGGTAGGTATGAGTACGGATGTTTCCCGTCTATACATGAGTGTGGTAGGTATAAGTACGGGATACGTATCCCGTCTATACCTGAATGTGGTAGGTATGAGTACGGGATACGTATCCCGTCTATACCTGAGTGTGGTAGGTATGTGTATGGATGTTGTTTCCCGTCTATACCTGAGTGTGGTAGGTATAAGTACGGATGTTTCCCGTCTATGACCAGGTGTGGTAGGTATGTGTATGGATGTTTCCCGTTTATACCTATACCTGAGTGTGGTATGTGTGAGTACGGGATACGTATCCCGTCTATACCTGAGTGTGGTAGGTTAGAGTGCGGGATATGTTTCTTTTCTCTACGTACCCGTGTGTGGTGTTTTAGAGTACGGTATTCGTTTTCTATTTTACCTGGGTTGGAGACGACATCCAAGTCCACATATCCCTGGTCGATCTGGCAGGTACCTTGGGAAGAATTTAATACTGGTGTGAAGGTCTGGTCGAGCGCCTCGTCCACGTACAGACACGCTATGTTACTTCCGGTACCTTTGAGGCGGATGTCCTTTACCAGGGCGACCACGGAATTGTTGGCGAGGGTGTCCACATCGAACTTCACTTTAGAGACGGAACCAGGATTGATGTTGAACACTATTGGAAAGGTTATGATCGCACCAATCTTCATGTCTATGATATCATCTGTCAGGTTCACGTACAGCGATGTCTGATTCGTGTCAATCGTGTTCTGTAGCAAAAACATACACAATGTATAAGATAACTTACAGAGAATCACTATTTAACAGGAACAAAAACTATTTAAAAAACCGTAACGCGTCCATTGCTATACTTAGGCAAGTTCTCTATCCAAATCATGTTTCCTTTTCCAGACACCATCTATGATTTCATCTGTAGTGGAATATATATCTATTGTATAGTTTTAAGGTAGCCTTTCCCTTAATTGTAGATATGCAAACGACTTAATTTGAGCTCATCTAGCACAAAATTCGGAGAGGTCAAATCTGTATATAAAATATAATTTAATATAATAGTCAGTTACTTCATGGAATGAATCGCGACAACATTGGCAGACGAAAATGAAATTGAGCTATATTCAAGATCACCAGGTGAACGTTTGTCTGTTTATGATGATCAGCCCGTACAGGCATGGAGTGCATTGCAATTTGTGAAATGAAATCACCTCGAATTATTTTGAAGATGGCACTCTAATAGGTTTGAAAAGGTCCTCTGAATAACTTAGAGGCATACGTTAGCACGCTTAGATAAAGGACCTTTATATGGATGACATTGTCCCGTTTTCAAGATAACATGGGTCAAATATGAAAATCTCTTCAAGGATTTTGCCAAAAAATATTGTTTTGAAGGTAACTATAAAGATGAAATGGAGAGTTTTGAATGGTGTCGTTTTGGTCTATGTTAGCCATGTAAAAACTGAAGTTGGCGCTCTGAGTTACATTCTGGGGATTGCAATAAAATCACTTAATAAGTAGTAAAAACAATGGTGTGTCCACTTCGTAAACAGCAAAAAGAGAAAAGGCAAGAGAGCGGGAAGGAAAGAAGATGGACATATTCGTAAAACACACTAAAACATAGGCTTCTGCCTCTTTATCCCACCACGCGTCATATTCAACACAATCCACACGTACCATTTATCTCGCACAAAAGAGGAAGACTTGTTATAAAGATCCAAAATGCCTAGAGTAACACTATTTCTGAACGATTGTTAACTATAAAAGTAATACCTTGATCCCCGTTTGATGTCAAAGGGGTCCAGTTTGTTAAAAGCTTTATGCAACTACAAAAGATGTATGAAGTCTGACATTATGATATTGTACCTCCGTGTACAGCTTGCTGGTGTGACAATACTCACGTTGTACTTAGGATCCAGTGTATCGGTCTGAGTGAGCTCCACGTTGGACACAAATATCTCGAAATCGTTGTTATTGATTGCCACGTGGACTGTGTGAGTATCTCCGGCCACGGCGGACGTGTTATGTAGCAGCTTAAAAATGCCCTCTACTCGAATCTAAAACCCAAATCATATACTGGTAACCCTCTGTCGGTACGTATGAATGTCATTGGATACATGCTACTTAATGAACGATTCTAATCCATAAGGGAACTGATGAAAATTATGCGATGTGGTGAAGCAATTGTGAGTTCTGAGATAAAATTGAATATTATAAGGATGAGATCCAGTTAATAGAGTATAGATCGCTCTTGACCACTTACCCTGTTTGAAACCTCGTCCGACTTCATAGCCGAACTACATATGAATCCTAAGTATAATGTAGCGATACCATTGTAGTTGGAGTCCGTCCTGAAAGTATGTGATAATCTATTTACAATCACAGAAAAAAGCCCAGCAATATACACACCATGCCAACAAGTATGGTCAGCTATTTTAGAAAGTGAATCGGTTTTTATCAATGTTTACAATTAAGCAACATTGTGATAATTGATCAAATTGACATAGGTCCAGTGTGTGAAATATCAAAAAGCATTTTACAATTATATAAACTTTATTCTAAATACATTAAATATAAACTTTATTTATTTCACAAGAATAATGGAACAGGTTTCTTCCATCCGTCCATATTAATCACTCTTGTCTGGTCTTGATGGAAGCACGCAGAGGTCATTATTTGGGAAATCGGTGTGGTCGGCCAGGTGACCGATCTGGGAGTCGAACCTGGTCCGTCCGGGTTAAAAGCGAGTGAACTATCTACTGGGTCACCCGATCACCAAAAAGAGAATTATTTGAGCACATGCAAAACAATAAGAGATCTTGTTTGGCTTACTTCAGTAAGTTATTTTACCAGGTTATAGGAACCCAGTTCTACTTTGAGACAACGGTGGCGATATCAATAAACAGTAGTAGTAAGGGGACTAACCGAATGTAACTAAAGTGGGTCACGTTGACCTAGTTTCTATTTATAGTAAGTGAAGACTTGTCTATTTATTAAAACCAAACGCAATTCATGTCTGTTCGTAGGCTAGAACAAAGCTGTAACGTGAAAATGATGACGTTTAATATAATCAATATATCAGTTAACATTTAGGGGGTCTTATTTTATTTTTTGCTTACCTTTTTGTTGGTTTGTTTGTATTAAACTTACTATCCCTTTTTTCTACGATAAAGATAGTCATTTAGTGTTGTTGTTTTTATCTTGCCGTTTTTTCCTTTTTGTGTTTTGCTTGAACTTACCGCTTTTCAAAGGTTGAGTGGATCTCAGTTTTGCGTAAACACGGAAAGTTCTTGCCGACTTCAATAACGGCTGCATCGCACACCTCCATGAAACCGGGATGGGCAGTGGGCGAGGTGAGAAACTTGACGGTGTACTCCCCGGTCAGGCTCTCGGGCAGTGTCATGTCCAGGATGAAGCGTTTGGCTTCGTTATGTGCGATGTATGTAGTGTCGTTTTGGTCTATGCTAGCCATGTAAAAACTGAAGTTGGCGCTCTGAGTTACATTCTGGGGATTGCAAAACATTCACTTTATAAGTAGTTGAAACAATGGCGCGTCATCTTCGTAAAAGGCAAAAAGGGAAAAGAGCGAGAAGGAAAGAAGATGGACATATTCTCAAAAACATACCAAAAATTGGCTTCTGCCTCTGTTATCCCACCACGCGTCATATTTAAATATCAATAACAGTTTTTAATCAAAAATACATTATTGCAATGGCGGTGGACTTAAAGTGAAGGGGCGTGTCAATTTTGTAACAGAATTCAAATATGATGCGAAATACAAAGATAAACAATTTGTTACATCCGCCAACTCTTTCTTTTACTCCGACTAGATTTTTTATTTCTTTTTTATGTTTGTGAATCAATCAGTTGTGATTGAATTATAAAGATAAAATGCACTCTGAAATTCCCACGATGGCCCTAGGGGCATGGTAGTCTACATTTTAATTTTACGGAATTCTTATGTTGCCTTCGGATTCCTTAAAGGAGCGTTAAGGGTTTGACGCTCACACAATCATTTTATCGCAACATACTCGAGCATCCGGCGCGGGTTGAATACACAGAAATAACATGTTAGATTCCTCTTTTGAAAATTACTTGGAAACCGTTTGACCAGTCGAAAAAGATATACATGGCTACTGACCCTGTCGATGATAGAGGTGTTGCTAGTAGCAGTCAGGGAAGTCGCTATGGCCTTGCTTTGGCCACTGGCATACGTCACGGTGGTAGTGAAGCCAAGCGCGGCCCCATCAGCCACGGTGGAGGCGAGCTGCACGATGACCTCAAACAGGATTGAGTTGTCGTCATACAAACCATTGCTAACCAGGGCGTCACTACCTGAGAAACGTACATGTATATGTTGTATAAAGTGTTATTTCACAGAAACATTTTAATGTTGATTTCCATTACAGTAAATTATGATTTATAAGAGTGAACGCTATTCAACAAACATTATGACGTTGTTCGCGCTGTACATCCGATATATGCAATTGAAAAGCTTTTAATTTACCAACCAAAAGGATCTGAAAACAGGCAAATTCTATATTACTTATACTTCAGATAAATCTCAACCACACATTTAAGACAAAAACGTGTGTGTAGGCCACAGAGGTAACACGTACGTTTAAGTGGAACCTTAAACTTTAATAAATAAGCAACGAATAAATGCATAGATAAATACACTTTCCTTACGAGTCATTCGAACTGATGGAAATAGGAAGTGCGTCATTGATTTTGATACTAAGTATATTATCTCGCTACATTGCATTATGAAAGTTGACGGAAAGTCCGACATGACTAAATGTTGCATCTGGTAAGATACCGAAACATATCCGGGTGTCCTACTTCTGATTCTTTTGGCTTTTATCTTATCTGTTTAATTATTTTTGTTTTGGTTTACTGTGTGGTAATATAACCACATGCTCATGAGTCTTGCTGTAGATAGAAGTCGAAAGTGAAAAATTGTACAAGTCAATAACAGTTATGTGAAACTTTACGCAAGTTTATGTTTTATATAGTAAGGCTAAAAGTTACAATCTTATTATTAACCCGCTTCAAGCTAGCACTTCATGTGTTTGCCTTTAGGAAACACATATTTCGTATTACGTCATCTATGGTGTTTCGTGACTTTCTTTAAGGTGTAAAGGGGGTGCAAATGTGTGAACATCCGTACACTCGTTTTGGCACTAAATTGCTTTGTTAGTCGAAGGAAGTTAGGATACTTACCTACGTTGGTGACGTAACTAGCGTTAAAGGTCGCCCTATTGTTGTCACCGGTTGGCCACGTGTCGAAAACTGGCTCGAGCGTCTGGTCGAGACACGGAAAGTTGTCTCCAGCGGACATGATACGCAGACCACACACGTGCAGACCGGCTGTAGTGGACTCCACGACTACCAAGAGGTCAGCACTCTCGCCGGGCGCAATCTTGACGATGATGCTATACACCATTGGGAAGCCGATGGGTGCCACTGTCAGGGTAGTGTTCTTGATCAAATGAATGTATGGAGTGGTGGTCTACAAATGAAAATGATCAACATGACAAGATGACGAAGGCAGCCTAATCATTTGAGCCAAAATTACAAACATGGCATTACTATCGAGAAAACCTGACAAATAAAACCTCCACATGGAAAGGGAATGACGACAATTATCAGCAACATAGACACTAAAAGACAAATACAGATTCACCATGAAGACAAAAAGACAAACACCGCTCCATCAGTAAAACAAATGTTAACACAGATAGAAATAATACATAATACCAGATAGGGAAACGCCTGATGATATAAATATTGGTTTTGAAAAAGGCATTACAGCGAGACAGATAATAGAAACATCAAAAGCTACTAAGGCGGAAACATGATGAGAAGTAAGGTCACAATGCCAGCTATACAAGTATTGGTAGTCACAAATGGTAGCGATACGGTTAACAGCAGAACTGATAAATGAAATCAATTCTGAAATGGAAGGGGCAAATGATAGCACAACGAGTTAAGAAAGTAACCACTTTTAGCAAAACAGGACACGGAGGTGACATATTTTATCATCACTGGTAAAGAATTTGACTAGTGCTATAAATGTAGGTAATGAATACCGAAAGAAAAAAAATGGCTGCGGCTAAAAAGCAAACCGACAATAAAGCAAATGACAAAAATCAAAATGACAAGACACCAACTTGTTCGGCAGTAAACTATTCTTATTAACAGTTGTCGTTTTGCTATTAAAGTAAAATAAGAGTTTTCGCCCAAGTCTGCGGGGAACATGGGTCGGTAGTTCTTACGGGAGCGACAACACCGCTACTGATAGCACTTACGGGAGCGACAACACCGCTACTGATAGCACTTACAGGTGCGACAACACCGCTCCTGATAGTACTTACGAGAGCGACAACACCGCGACTGATAGTACTTACGGGTGCGACAACACCGCTACTGATAGCACTTACAGGTGCGACCACACCGCTACTGATAGCACTTACAGGTGCGACAACACCGCTCCTGATAGTACTTACGAGAGCGACAACACCGCGACTGATAGTACTTACGGGTGCGACAACACCGCTACTGATAGCGCTTACAGGTGCGACAACACCGCTACTGATAGCACTTACAGGTGCGACAACACCGCTCCTGATAGTACTTACGAGAGCGACAACACCGCTACTGAAAGTACTTACGAGAGCGACAACACCGCTACTGATAGTACTTACGAGTGCGACAACACCGCTACTGATAGTACTTACGGGAGCGACAACACCGCTACTGAAAGTACTTACGAGAGCGACAACACCGCTACTGATAGTACTTACGAGAGCGACAACACCGCTACTGATAGCACTTACAGGTGCGACCACACCGCTACTGATAGCACTTACAGGTGCGACAACACCGCTACTGATAGTACTTACGAGAGCGACAACACCGCTACTGATAGTACTTACGGGTACGACAACACCGCTACTGATATTACTTACGGGAGCGACAACACCGCTACTGATAGCACTTACGGGTACGACAATATCGCTACTGATAGTAATTACGGGTGCGACAACATCGCTACTGATAGTACTTACGGGTACGACAACACCGCTACTGATAGTTCTTACGGGAGCGACAACACCGCTACTGATAGCACTTACGGGTACGACAACACCGCTACTGATAGTACTTACGGGTACGACAATACCGCTGCTGATATTACTTACGGGTACGACAACATCGCTACTGATAGTAATTACGGGTGCGACAACACCGCTACTGATAGTACTTACGGGTGCGACAACACCGCTGCTGATAGTAATTACGGGAGCGACAACACCGCTACTGATAGTACTTACGGGAGCGACAACAGCGCTACTGATACAAATGTAGTACTTACGGGTGCGACACACCGCTACTGATGGTACGTACGGGGGCGACAACACCGCTACTGATATTACTTACGGGAGCGACAACACCGCTACTAATACAAATGTAGTACTTACGGGTGCGACACACCGCTACTGATGGTACGTACGGGTGCGACAAAACCGCTACTAATAGTACATGTACTTACGGGAGCGAAAACACCGCTACTGATACAAATGTAGTACTTACGGGTGCGACACACCGCTACTGATGGTACGTACGGGTGCGACAACACCGCTACTAATAGTACATGTACTTACGGGAGCGACAACACCGCTACTGATACAAATGTAGTACTTACGGGTGCGACAACCCCGCTGATAGGATTTATGGCTAATTGTCCGACCCAAATCTTCGTTGGTGAATACATGAAACCAGCACTGATCCATTCCTTAGCGTTCATTTCGTCATGGTCAAGGACCTCCAGATCAACAGCCACTAACATCTTGTCCTCTGCCACGTCAGTGTTCAGATCGAGGTTACACACTCCGCCCACGTTGTATACGGCTCGGTTGTTGATATTGTCATTAAATCTGTATCAAAGTTTTCAATTAATCAAATGGGTTTTTTAATCATTAGTTAATAAATTAAAATAAAATATAAAAAAAAAATCTCTAGTTTTTATCAACAAATTTGAACATTGATCTTTACGTATCTAAACGAAATTTATACAGAGACTTCTAGAGTTTGCACAAAATCCTGATCAGCTGGTTATATAAATACGTTATGAATATTTCCATTGATTAAGTACGGCCATCATCGGAGAAAGTATTATCCGCTGGATCTTTTATATAACGACTATTTAACAAGTAAGTCCAGATAATTCTAAATGTTCCACTCTCTCTGATAGCCAGAGGATGTATTATTCCAACATAAAAATGAATAAAATGTTAATATAATAATCATTATTATACTACATGTATTTACACCGACTTTAAATAACATTATAAATTCAGTATCAGGAATTTTTAGTGTGAGAATACTCAAGAAGAAATTTAGAATGACGGATTTTCCCCATTTTGGAATATATTTTCTAGAATAATCACTCGCCAGGTTACGTCATAAATCGGAAATAATATCCACACGAAGGTGATTCACATACCAAAATAGTCAGTCATAAATTGTTATAAAATATTAAAAAAACATTGTGAGATTACAGCACAGATTCCAGTGTAAATATGCGTATCGAGAAGCCAATGACAAGAATATTGTTTTTAAAATATTTTTCTACGTGATCAATAGGCCTAGAAGTTGTTTGTAAGATATGGTATTTAGTTTACTTTTTTATGAAAAGAGAAATATGTAAGGCGGTAGTAATTCGATTTTTAACAGGTATCACAAGGTGATTTAAGGGTTTGTCGTTTGAACAATTTTTCTCTTCAATCGCACGAACACTAATATCTCGAGTTCACTTGGGTAACCTTACCATTTTATCAACGTTATTGCGATGAGTCAACTGTTGTCGAGACAAAACCCTTAACACACAATGTGATAATCTATAAATACATTACAAATGTTGCACGATTTTTCACATTGCCTTCTATACAGGGGTAAATGAAGTGAGAATATAACCAGAGGAAGTACAATACTTACTTGGATGTGTAAGTGACCTTGTCGTTTAGCCAGGCAGGCATAATGCAAGGCAAGTTTTCCCCCACCGACAAAATCTTCGACCGACACACCTTGAACTTCGAGGAGGTGTTACCGCTGGCCATGATAAACTCTATATCCATCTTAGAGTACGTGTCGGTACGGGCGGTAGTAACCTCCAGGACGGCTCGTGTAGCTAGTCCTATTAGTACGTTGTCTGTGCCAATACCGAATGTCATGTTGAACTCAGGGGAAGTCACGTTCTGTATGACAACAATCAATACAATATGTATTGTGTGTCAACTATCCGTAAAAGATTTATTGCGTGTCAAATATCCGTACAAGATTAATTGTGTGTCAAATATCCGTACAGGATTGATTGTGTGTCAAATATCCGTACAAGAAATATTGCTTAGCCGATTTCCGTACAAAACCTGTTTTGCAATTGATTAAAACAGAATACAAATACAAGGTAAATAACTGTACAAGAAACATCAATGAGAACTATTTAGCATAAGTCAAAATAAAGATTATTTACTGATATATAACAGAATCATTCCTGTTTGTGATTTATGTCCATGTGTTGTATTTCTGATAATTAATTAAATTTGATACATACCGCAGTACCGGCATTGGTTCCTGCAATGGTAAATAAGGTTGTTATCGTGGTACTTTGCTCCGCGTTACTCAGCATCACCGTCAGATCGTGCTGTGAGCTCACTGTTGCGGAAGGATGGTCTAACGGTGTGAAGACAATACGGGCTTTAATCGAGTTGGCTAGCTGAGAGGAAGCCTCAATGGGAAGATTGGTTACGCCCCCGAAGTCCGTAACGCTCTTGTCAGCGTAGCTTCCAGCCGAATTCCTCGCGAAGTATATTGTAGCCTTGTCCAATGTCACACAAGGTAGATTGTTGCCAGCCGAGATGAGAACAACTGAACAGAGCTGAAACACTGGCGCGTCATTGATCAGGGGGGTTTCCACTGTCAATTGGTACGAGGAGGTTGTGTTATAGGGTATTGCGATATTCAATATAATTGCGGTCGACTTGTCGATTTCAACATTTGAATCGTAGCCCGGATCAACGCTCAGATTCGGGAATGACTGCAAACAAAAACAATCACGGTGCAAAGTTACAGTTACAGATGAAGTGATATTTTCAAACAGATGATTTTTCTGTAAAATTGCTGTGCAATATCTACGGCACAACGTAGGATGTTTACAATTAGTTTATTTCTATTAGGAACTTATTTTGTAAACAGAAAATGAACAACTATTTTCATATAGTGTTACGCAAAAATGTTAACTTCCGCTTTTCAGGAGAGATCGAAGGGCGAAATGCTATCTAAAATAATAGAGTTCCAAAAATGATTTTCTGTTCTTAGGGAACCAAGAATCATGATAATGGACCGTCAAACATGCTGTAATGAAGACTTATCAAGTTTATTCAAATACATGACCTTGACCTACTTTGATTGTCATAGGAGTCAAATGTATAACAACAACATTTCTACGTATTCTCTTAAATGACAACGAGGCTTATTGCCACCTCCATGTAATACTCTGAGATGAAGGGCGTTCAATTTTATAAAAATAAATAACATGTTTTTTCTTTTTTTTTTAGAATGATTTAAAAGTTATTCAGTAATACAACACTTTTGTAATGTTGTTGTTTTGACACTACAGTAACTCAGGACTTGAAATGGTTACAATGAAAATTTACTTATATGATCTTCTTTAGGATAACTTATGGAATTAGGGACTGGATATTCGGTCTATAGCATGTTGGCTTAAAGAGTTTTCAAGTCAATTTATTGACCTTCTCTCAAGTAAAATCTGTATCATGATGACAAAGGTAATCGTGTGTATTCAAATGACAAATGAATAACTGACCATGTAACAGAAGCATTCAGGTTAAACGTTCGACCGAAGTAACAACTATATAAGCCCGTCAAATAAGTAGCCAACAATTCCTATTTGTGAAATATATCGAGTGAGTCCTAGACCTACGAATCAATGCTGAAGGGTTGTAATGTGTACCTTTGCTTTCTATTTCTACTCTCCACGTCAAGTATTAAACAGATAGTGTAAAGGGACACCTGCCAAACTTCAATTTGTAGAGGAGTTTGCTTTACAGGTAGAAGAAGATGTTTGAAGCTTTCAAAACAGTGACTTGAAAAGCTATGTGTTTGGCAACCTAATATGAGTCTCCCATCCTCCTTGGGGTAAGATTCTCCTTGCTTATATGAAGGTGCAAAAATGGGAAAAAGAGATAAAACAATATCTTGATTCTTTGAGACTTCGCTTTCTATCAGGCTGTCTGGCACGACTCAGTCAGCTGGTGACACTTACCCCATCTAGCGTGTTTATCTCGGGAATTCCTTTGCTGGAGGTGGTGGCTGCCCATATCTGACTTCCTGATATGTCCAATGCGGCCCCTACATCGAATGTTTGGTCCACAAAGGTCGAGTCTAGGTATGTATGAACTATGAACTCGAACTCTATGACGTTGTCGTCGTAGGCATCATCACTGACGCGGGAACCTGCACGCAGTGTATACAATTGTTACAAGTTAACACAACACCTTCAAACTCTTTAGAGACTTCCAAGGACTTTAGGTATTATTAAATTGGCTTAAATGTCTATGCTGAAGGGTTTTAATGTGTACCTTTGCTTTCTATGTCTACACTGCATGTCAAATATTAAACAGATAGTGAAAGGGCACACCTGTCAAAGCTCAATTTGTAGAGGAGTTTGCTTTACAGGTAGAAGAAGATGTTTTAAGCTTTCAAAGAAGTGACTTGGAAAGCTTAGTGTTTGGAATATTGAATATTCTCGGTGAAAGATTATTTCAATATATTACTGTGAGCGTATTAATATCGCATCTTTCACCATTATATTTATAAGCAATATTAGCTTTACGTCACTCATCTCATCTGGCTAGAAAACCCCTCGTCGAAACTGTAAAACCAGGATCACCTCTCTTTGCCTGTGTGCAACAAACGCGTGCTCTTAAGTGTGAATCTGTAAAACCAGGATTTCCGTCTATTTGGCTGGTAGCAACACACACACGCCTTTTAAACATCATCCCCAGCGGTTTAAATGCAAATGAGATTTGTACCATACTGATGTAAGGGCAGAGAACGGTTTTAATGAACTGTCAACATTTACCTTAGCTATTCACTCGCTACAAAATGGTGGAGACATCGCTTTTTTATCCTCAAGATTTGAAATGATCTATTTTGTCTTCCATTTTCATATAACCAAATCAATAAAAATCAATGACACACATGTACGTTATGTGTCAATTAAAAACGATTCTGTTAGTTGTTTTTTTATGTTCAAACATTGGCAGTATTACAATAATTATTTATGGTTTACTGCTCCAAGATAACAAAAATAGAAACAGATTTGTCATTAAAATTGATAACTTGTAAAAATAAAACCAAACCTTTTGGGACTTCCATTAGACAGAATAAAATTAATGTACAATCGCTCTAACCAATTGGTCTGCCTCTTCAACTGTGCTACATTTATATGTAAACAGAAGTTAAGGGGGAGGGGCTGTTGTTACTGTTTATATGAGAACAACATGCCCAAGTACCTTAGCGGTCACCTGAGTCAATCATTAAGCTGAAGAAGAATTTTGAAATGAGTGCTAAGTTGGAATTATTTCCACACAAAAACATATGAAATATAGTCAAAAGTGTTTTCCCCTATATAAACTATAGAAAAATGTACTCCTTCTGCAGGGGATGAATGAATGACCTATGGGTTATAAAGTTTACAATTCCTATAAAGACCTTTCGGACATATCCTTCCACCTAGAGAATTTGATTCTTGGACTTCTGGGTCTGAAGAAGATTTCTTAAATTTTACCGTAGTTCCCCCAGGTGGAGCAGAAACTTTATTTTTACACTTTGATATTCTCTTAAGGTTGCTCTCTACCAAGTTTGGTTGAAAGCCATTCATTGGTTCTTGAGAAGAAACCAAAAATGTAAAAAGTTTTCGCAAGACGACGGACGGAAAGCGATCAAAATAGGTCACTTATGCAAAGCTAAGGTGACCTAAAAACAATATGCAGTGGAACAGGGATTCCTTAAGTATCATTTATGGTTTGAATCTCGCTTTGGTCGATTTCATGGGGTTATGAATTGAGTTGGTCTTGAAACAAATTTAATGAACTGCGAAGTAAGGCATAGTGTCCAATATTACTTAATTGAATGTGTTATTGCTGCTGCTGTTGTCTACAATAGAGTAAATCTAATTCACTCATTGACTTGTTTAAGTAAGATGACCATATGCACCCAAATCGGTTTGTAATGTGGTTACCTGAATTGAGGAATGTGCCTCCATTCACTTCCGCCATCGCATTACCAAGACCAGTCGTTGCAGGGTAAAGTGTGTTGGTTACAAGACTACTGTCGTAGCCACAGTTGAAGTTAGACCCCATACTCTTGATTTTTGCGCTGCAGATAGTCATGACGGAGGACGTGTTGAGAGGTGTGAAGCCGGTGAACGTCACGGACTCGCTCGGGTTGGGCAGATACAGTGATACGCCATATATATTGACAGAACCGATAGGCACCTCCCCTGGGCCAGTCACGTTAACTGTCGGCTGAGCGGAAATGACCTGCAAGACCACAACAGTTTATTAAAACTTGTGACTTTCAGAATTTCTGCAATGATGATCAAACTCTGGAAATCGTCATTCGAGTTCTACATTTCTTTTAGGGCCTGGGGTCAGCCAGGATTTACTACAATTAAAATAACCACAATATTCCCATCGCGTGCAAGGCCTGTCATGTAACATTAAACAGCTGTTTTAATGACATGTTTTTGTACACGGTACGGGTGCTTTGCACCCGAATCTCAATCATGTTCATATTAAGGTTTTATTTGGTAAAAGTAATCATCTGCTGATAGATATATTTGCTTTTCAGTAGCTAATATGCACAATTGGATTTTGTCAACAGAGAACAGTAAATACTCACCTTGTCCATAACGATATCTACGGAGCACTGACCAACCCAGAGGAATGCTTGGTTTTCATACTCGGCGCCCGCACTGATCCAGTACTGTCCATCCGTGACCAAAGGATTGTCTATCATTACAGCCTTGTAGCTAATCAGCATCTGACATTGTGCCAGAGTAGAGCAGAGGTTGTTGGTCACGACTCCCAGGTTTATCACAGCACGGTCGTACTGTAATAATAATATTTAAATAAACTGCAGTTCTACTAAAACTGTACCGCGGTCATGCTAGAACTGTATCGCGATGATACTAAAACTGTACCACAATCATACTGAAACTGTTCTGCGGTCATACTAAAAACTGTTTCGCAGTCATACAGAAACTGTACTGCGATCATACTGATACTGTACCGCGATCATACAGAAACTGTTCCGCAGTCATACTGAAACTGTACTGCGATCATACTGATACTGTACCGCGATCATACAGAAACTGTTCCGCAGTATTACTGAAACTGTACTGCGATCATACTGATACTGTACAGCGATCATACAGAAACTGTACTGCGAAAATACTGATACTGTACCGCGATCATACTGAAACTGTTCCGCAGTCATACTGAAACTGTTCTGCGGTCATACCGGAACTTTATTGAACAGGTAAGGGATAATAGAGTGATTCATAGAGCTTTTCCCCTTAGATTGATTTGCAAGACAGTCAAGTTTAAAGTTGCAAAAACGAACAATACTTTGAAGGTTACTTTGCGGAAGTTAGCACTCTTGTGGTAAAACATACAAAGGCAAAAATGGTGTTAAGCACTTAACAAGGAACCTATCGTGACTTACATAGACGCTTCCATCCTTTGACTCGTAGACAGGCATGGTTGAGCCAGTCATGCCTAGAGAACCTATGGAATCTACCTGGACATCACACAGAATCATGGCGGTGTTGGTGTTCCCCGGTGTGAATAGCTCCACGGTCATATCCGTATTGCCTGCTTTGAATGCAATGGTCAATGTGAACGCTATTACGTGTCCAACTTTGATCGGCGATGATGGAGCGTTCACATCCTTTGTCAGAGTGAACTCGGTTGCTGCTGGCGCTGCGGCTGTCTGTTAAAATGGGTCAGATTGAATAAAGGGCAGACACAGCATTGTTGTTATTGATGATAAACATTTAACTTTTATAGAAATAACTCCTTCATACAATATATGATTTCCATTAAATTTACATTTTACATTTAACTTCATAAATCTCAATAAATGTGTGGCTATATAAATGAATAGAAGTTAGTTTTGGGTCATTGTAACATGATTTACGTTATGACGTGGAGAAAACTGACCAGTAATCGGCCTTTATACTTAAAGAAATATTTATTTGATGAAATATTTGGTCTTTATATTTGATCAAATATGCATTTTATGATGACTTAATTTCCAAACAAAGGCGATTTCCTTTCAATGTGTGTCCTTATATCTGTACTGTTGGCTGATTTGTAGTGCAGTGGTTCAAAAACCTTCCTTCATTGTATCATGCATACTAGATATCCTCATATCATTGTATTTCTATTCTTCAACGCACATCACGTGTCGTTTTTTCTATATTTTGCATCGGGCATTTCATGTATGTAGTGTACATTATAGCATATTATAGCATGCTTGGCGATGTCCCCTCCCAAATATCGACACATTAATGTGAAATGGGAATAACATGAACATAAAAGAAAGGCTCACGCCGGCGATTAAAGTATGCGAGGCGAAATCATTAATCCGGTGTCGCGACGTTACTGGGAAAAGGGTATGTTTTAACTTAGGAGAGATGTTTATGTATTTGCCTCTGTTGTGTTAGCCTCTTGTGTGTTGGCCTCTAGTGTGTTCGCCTCTTGTGTGTTGGCCTCTAGTGTGTTCGCCTCTTGTGTGTTGGTCTACGGTGTGTAAGCCTCTTGTGTGTTAGCCTCTTGTGGATTGGCCTCTGGTGTGTTAGCCTCTTGTGTGTTAGCCTCTTGTGTGTTGGCCTCTAGTGTGTTGGCCTCTTGTGTGTTGGCCTCTAGTGTGTTCGCCTCTTGTGTGTTGGCCTCTGGTGTGTTAGCCTCTTGTGTGTTGGCCTACGGTGTGTTAGCCTCTTGTGTGTTCGCCTCTTGTGTGTTGGCCTCTAGTGTGTTCGCCACTTGTGTGTTCGCCTCTTGTGTGTTAGCCTCTTGTGTGTTGGCCTCTTGTGTGTTAGCCTCTTGTGTGTTATCCACTTGTGTGTTGGCCTCTTGTGTGTTAACCTCTTATGTGTTAGCCTCTTGTGTGTTAGCCTTTTGCGTGTTTGCCTCTTGTGCGTTGGCCTACGGTGTGTTATCCTCATGTGTGTTAGCCTTTTGTGTGTTGGCCTTTTATGTGTTGGCCTATCGTGTGTTAGCCTCTTGTGTGTTAGCCTCTTGTGTGCTAGCTTCTTGTGCGTTTGCCTCTTGTGTGTTCGCCTCTTTTGTGCTAGCTTCTTGTGTGTTGGCCTCTAGTGTGTTGGCCTCTTGTGTGCTAGCCTCTAGTGTGTTCGCCTCTTGTGTGCTGTCATTTGGTGTGTTAGCCTCTTGTATGTTGGCCTACAGTGTGTTAGCCTCTTGTGTGTTCGCCTCTTGTGTGTTGGCCTCTAGTGTGTTCGCCTCTTGTGTGTTAGCCTCTTGTGTGTTGGCCTACGGTGTGTTAACCTCTTGTGTGTTAGCCTCTTGTGTTTAAGCCTCTTGTGTGTTAGCCTCTTGTGTGTTGGCCTCTTTTGTGTTGGCCTCTTGTGTGTTGGCCTACGGTGTGTTAGCCTCTTGTGTGTTGTCATTTGGTGTGTTTGCCTCTTGTGTTTTAGCCTCTTGTGTTTTAGCCTCTTGTGTGTTATCCTCTTGTGTGTTGGCCTACGGTGTGTTAACCTCTTGTGTGTTAGCCTCTTGTGTGTTATCCTCTTGTGTGTTGGCCTCTTGTGTGTTGGCCTCTTATGTGTTAACCTCTTATGTGTTAGCCTCTTGTGTGTTATACTCTTGTGTATTGGCCTACGGTGTGGTGGCCTACGGTGTGTTATCCTCTTGTGTGTTAGCCTTTTGCGTGTTGGCCTCTTGTGTGTTGGCCTACGGTGTGTAATCCTCATGTGTGTTAGCCTTTTGTGTGTTGGCCTCTTATGTGTTGGCCTATTGTGTGTTAGCCTCTTGTGTGTTGGCCTACGGTGTGTTAACCTCTTGTGTGTTAGCCTCTTGTGTGTTATCCTCTTGTGTGTTGGCCTACGGTTTGGTGGTCTACGGTGTGTTTTCGTCTTGTGTGTTGACCTCTTGTGTGTTGGCCTCTTATGTGTTAACCTCTTATGTGTTAGCCTCTTGTGTGTTATCCTCTTGTGTATTAGCCTTTTGCGTGTTGACCTCTTGTGTGTTGGCCTCTTATGTGTTAGCCTCTTGTGTGTTAGCCTCTTGTGTGCTAGCTTCTTGTGTGTTGTCCTTTGGTGTGTTTGCTGGAGTGTGTATACCTCTTGTGTGCTAGCTTCTTGTGTGTTGTCCTTTGATGTGTTTGCCAGAGTGTGTATGCTTCATGTGTGTTGGCTTCTTGTGTGTTGTCCTTTGGTGTGATTGCTGAAGTGTGTTGGCCTCTTGTGTGTTAACCTCTGGTGTTTTTGCCTCTTGTGTGTTAGCCTCTTGTGTGTTGGCCTACGGTGTGTTAGCCTCTTGTGTGTTATTCTCTTGTGTTTTAGCCTCTTGTGTGTTTGCCTCTTGTGTGTTTGCCTCTGATGTGTTTTTGCCTCTGGTGTAATTGCCTATGTTGTGTTAGCCTCTTGTGTGTTTGCCTCTCGTGTGTTTGCCTCTGGTGTGTTTTTGCCTCTGGTGTAATTGCCTATGTTGTGTTGGCCTCTTGTGTGTTGGCCTGAATTGTGGTGACCAGAGCGTTTTGGCCGGAGTGTGGTGGCCCGAGTAGAGTGTAGGCCGGAGTGGGGTGGCCAGAGATTGGTGGCAGGAGTGTGTTGGCCTTTGCTGTGTCCTACTTACCGAACGTTTGACGATATGATGTGGATCCACGGGAAGGTCGACATCCTCACTAAAACACAACGGATAATAATTAGGTGCATATCACATGAGGGAAGTTGCAATAGTTTGAAAACTCTGTATTATTTTTGAATGACAAAATTATATTCACGTTTTATTTAATGTTTATTGTTATGAGTATTTACTCTTGCCATAGGAAATCCCAATACAAGGCTTTTATTTAATCGATACTGCACCAACGATTCCATCACTATGGTGATCAGGAAACAATGGGTACACTGTGTCTACTAGATGTCATGGTAAACGTCGTGTTTAACTGCATTGATCTCAATCGTGAGTAGTGAGTTGACCAGCTAAAGTAAAACAGAATGAAACAATTCTGTATACATAAATGCATATGCCTTAAAGCGCAACTATTATTTCTACTGATAAATCATTGGTGTCGTGAATACAAAATTACGTCTAACTCGTCAACAAGTGATATCTCATCAAGGATTGGTGTTGCAACAATGACCCATTTTTCTAGGAACGTTGTTCGAAATAGATCTCAATTAACAGGCACTGGCGCTTGTTTGGATGAACAAATGCAATAAAGTCGAATTGGTGTCAACTGTATGTCTCAGTTATCAAGTACTAAGTATTGATATCAAAAGCTGTTTCACTCATCAAATTTCAAAGTCAGAATTACAACTAGTCCGTTAAGTGTAGTTTACTTTCATTATGTTTACCGTCCTCTTAACACTTTGGGTTATGTAAGGAGTGCCTCCATGTGTGTATCGTATACGTGTTTATGTGCTGGATGTGGTATGTTGGGGTATTAACCTCCTGTCGATAGTGCAGATATAATACCGACTTTAAAGAGTACCTAATCAAAGATCGAGAAGACATCCAGCACAGAATTCCGCCCAGTCACATTATACTTATAATGGTTTAACAAGTTGTTGGCATTACCCTAGACGCTAACAGTTTAGCAGGAAATCACAGTTACTATAACAAGGACTTCGGTATGTGCCAGTCTTGCGACAGAACCCATTGCCTTCCTCACCTAGGGGAACATTCAAAATAAGGTCAAAACTGAGGAACTGCCAAGGAAGGCGCTAGGAAACAAAAAGATTATAAGAAGTCGAGAAAAATATAAAGATCCCAAATGTTGCAATAGGTACAGTTGGTTCGTTTTTTCGCTGTTGTGTCCTAAAATATAAAGCATTGATCCCTGTGTTGTATCTTTGAGCAAAATACTATACTCCGCTTGTTCCAGTCTACTCAGCTGTAAATGAGAACGTGGTTGGGCAGTGGTAGAATTGTAGAATGCTAGCTGTAAGCGCCGAAATGGCGGCACCGGCTGTATGCTCCCCATGGAGTTGAGAAAGATATTGGCTGGTTGCAAAGGCCCTATAACCACGGATAATAATTTGTGAACCGCTTTGAGACGACCTACCAACTAGGCTGTGATAAAGCGATATATAAGAACTTCGAATTATTGTTATTATTATTATTTGCTTTCAAATCATCACTTATTTATATTGACAGCGATAACATTTTGTCACTTGTAACTGATTACAGAAACGACTGTCCAGTTGGCGCGGTCAGATATATACTGCCAAGGGTTTGGACAGTGAAAAACTGACGGAGACTCCCTGCGATGTAGATCCAATTTCGAATGTACTTGTATGTTTATCGACGCGTCAATCTAAAAATCCACCAAGATTATTGATATTTGTCTGTATACATAACACAGGATGATTGATCATTGTTCCCAACACTCTTCTACCGTATACCTGTGGACCCAATACACCGCGGCGTAATCGATGTCGCAAGGATTGTGTGACAATATTGAAGACACGTTGCTCCGCTACTTGAATTGTTGATGTGATTTATTATACAATGGTTACATTTTTAAATCAAAGATCCGTGTAACCTGTTTATACCTTGGTAGGTAAAGCCAACTAATATTGAAGGCAGGTGAAAGTAAGTTAAAAAATATTGAAGAAAATCTAAGGATTGCCGAAAGTTTTCTTTGATATGTGTAGTGATGTGCAAACATCTTTTTAAAAAAGCATAATATATTTGACATGCATTGTGAGCGTGAATAAACCGAAAGTTTATACTGTGTAGGGCAACTTAAGCTGCGGTACTGCATGATTGCAAGATCAAGATTATGAATACTAGGCAGACTTATAGGGATCAACTGCATCTTGATGTTCGATCCCTGTTTGCCTGACTCTGAAAACAACTTTTTCTTGTGACTTGCTTTTTTTTACTAGGTTCTTAGATTTTCGTACGTAACGGTTGGTGATTTATTCATAATCACTATACATGTACACTCGGATGAAATAAATAATGTAAACCAAACATGGTATGGCTATATTGACATCGGTTCAACATTTCATAGTAGTACAGTTCTATCTACAGTCAGCTACACACGGCGCCAAGTCTCTCAGTGGGACAATTAATGAAGAATTTTTAATGTGTTCATCTCGTATCATCAAACACGAATCGGAAATTATAGTGTGACATCGGATAAGAAAACCCACCAGACATATAGTGTTTGCGATGTCCCGCCTCAGAGAATACATTTTGAAATCACTAGGCATAACCTGGGGCGTTGGTGTATTACGGTCATATATTCACATATCTCCCTTCTTCATCTTAGTAAATTCTGACGGCGTATAAATTAGCGCAGTGAAAAAAAGGCTTCGCGGATTGATATTTATTTCAAATACATGTATGTCGACGTCTACGCTTCAAGGAGATAACAGTCCGATTACAATTATTGTTTGTTTTTTTCTTCATCTAGATACATCGTCCATATTATAGATCCATTTTGTCTAATCATACAATAAAGGGATGCTTACAAACTTCTTATTCCATGGATGCACATTCAAATGTCTTTGACAGTAATGTAAACTGTGGCGGCTTCGTTCTGAAACATTCGACCTCGTCACTTAATGAGCAGTGTGCCAATGCGCATACATGACGACCGTTGTCAATAAATACAAATATTTGAAGGGTTTCTCACGTTACTTCATTAATATTTAAAAGCCATAAAAGGTAGAAAAAAATATCATGTTCACTGTGTATTTTCTAAGTTTACTTATATATCGATTTAGATGCACTTGTTCTCTACTGAGCTTTTTTTTTGATAATCTGGGCAATTTTCTAGAGTCATTAGTTTTTAATAATGGGATATCAGCAGAAGGACAGGAGAAGCACGAAGGAGTGCGGAAAAACGATGAATGAGTTGATATGATTTCTCATTATGTACAAATTATAACAATATATCATTGTAACAACGTTATTCTATCATAATAATTCAAAGAATGGACCGTGTCCGTCGTCACCTACACTCCAGACAAAAAATAAAAATGTTTTTAAAATTCAGAAACATCTGACTTGAGAGTGTTAAAGAGTTAACATACCACATGTTCTACCTAACGCAACCGCATCTCCGTCGCAAACCTGTACTAATCAAACATGGCCGACACCCCAATGGCTATGCATTACTGTAACATTACATTTGACAACCTGGCACGTACTGGATACACACTCGGGCATATCCTCTGTTCAATAACAATCACAAATGGAGTCGATTGTTGTTAGCTGCATTCAAAGTTAATAGTTACGTTTTATTTGTACCGTATTTCGTAAGGCAGTGGGTAATATTGATTTCTACCACAATACGCTGTGTTATTCCACTCTAAGATCATTGTATTAACATGCAGACTGTTTGATAAAGGTGAGTTATACACCACACGTGGTAAATGACCTTCCGTAGTTTTGATTGGTCGAGAAGATGAACCTTGACCGGACGACTTTTTCACACGCTTTTTTGCCGCGTGCTGTTTTGTTTACGTCGTCTGCTGTCAACATCAGGTAACTGTTGGTGACTTTTGTGAGGATATGCGATGGTGAAAGGAGGTTGTTAAGGCAATTTCAAAAGAAGATGTTACTTAAAGGTTTGATCGCTAGTTTCAGGCGAAATTGCTACAAACGCTCGGTATCGTTTCGACGCCATACCTTCGCGCGTCTAGGTCGTAACACCCAAACAAGATCTGTTCAGTGTCGGCAAATATTTCGTTCTTCCCACGTCCCGTTATCAATATCTTGGAGGGCCTGTATATTTTGGAACGCTCACTATAAACGTCAACCACAGAACCGTCACGTAGAAACGTCCCATGCCTATGGTTTTGGACATGGACAGCGATTAATTCGTCTTCATCACTTGGAGGGAGGCAGACAACGTACGATATGCTTACGCGCATATAGTCCGTGGTTAATTTATATCAATTAATGAAATACTGCATACTCTCAATATTTAAAGCCGTTCATCTATTGTAATTTTTTATGAAGTTGTTGCCGAAACATTAAGTTTGAAAATTATTAATTTTGTAATTTTTTTTTATTCAAATCAGAAAACACTACAGCTGTTTTCGACTGAGATTGTGGTAGAAACAGAACACACGACTCGTGGTTATTGAGTATGGTATTTATTTAGTTAGTTAATTTTCAAAAGTTACAGAATAACACTCGCTAAAGCTCGTGTCTTTTGTAACCTTTGAAAATCAACTAACTCGAGTGAAATAAATACCATATTCAACAACCACTCGTTGTGTAACCTCTATTTATAAGAACGTGGCTTGAGGGAGTTACGTAGTTTCTTTCTTTCATAACCAATCAGCGGCAATCATTTTCATTTGGAAATCTGCAACTCTTCTCTTGTTATTGTTAATGTTCCTATCCTTTCTTGTGGCTTACACTGGCCAAAGTTAATATGTAATTTCTCTTTTAAAGCAAAACATTTGATGTGAAATTTAAGCCTTTTTGTTTATTTATTTGAGTTTATATACATATGGTCTATTTATTAAATGTAAGACAGATAGCAGTACTGATTAGTGCCTAAAAAGTACAAAATTTTGTAGGCTTTACACTATATATATATATAAGCATCTTGTCAAAATGTACATGATACTTTGGTTGAATATGATAGATGATGTGAGCCCACACATTTTCCATGTCCTGTCGCAAATTCAACCTAGTCATAGGAAAAAATGTTTGCAGTATGGCCAGGGGTATGTCTTGTTTAACCTAAAACGATTGCATTGGGCAATTTACAAATGGTTTGAATTGTCACAGACCATCTCTTGTGTTCAATAACAGGCTAGGAATATAGCATCTTAGGCTGAAAGAGTGTAGAGCATGCTTAAACATTATTCTAAGGTTATTGTCATAGACTACTAGTTTATCCGTTGGCGATATCTGTGAGCTTGTAAAGTGCTAGTAATATACAGGCTCGTCTTTTTCCAAGTGGATAATTTGGAGAGCGTATTTGTTCTTGCAACGTGCAGCACCAATCGTAAGTGTAGGTTTCATAGCACCAAGGTGCACCCTGACAGTTCCCAGATATCTTAGTAATGTCCATTATGTGGCCTACAGAGAGTGGAGTAAAGAAAGGTCGTAGGGTCTCCAACTCAGCGACAATGGGTCTGCTGTCCTTTCGTGCACAAGCCACTACCGCCAGATGTGTTCAGCAAGTGACCCGGCCCTCCTTACAGAAAATACGTGTTGGATGTTTCAATAAGCGCTGAACGTGTGGATAGGAGAGTGTAGTTGTCATATACGAGTTAAATCTTGATACAGAGACGTCCAATATGTTTTTTGGTGTTCATACTGATCTCAGTCGGTGGAACTTTAAAATGTTGACAATTACTTACGCTAATATCATTTTAATAATACGTTTTGTGCGTTGTGTCACGCTTGATTTGATAAAAAAATGTCATAATATTGATGTGTTTACAACTTCACGAATATAACATTTTTATTAATATGTCAAACCATAAAACTAGTCTACTTTTTTCTATTTTTCTCCTATGTCAATCCTGTAACAACATTGAATAACACTGGAATGACGTTTTAAGGTAAGCTATTAGACAGAATTATATGCATGTCCCATTTTTAAGCCAAACTGATTTTATATTTAGATATCCCCTGGTTTCTTTACACATCCATTCAGATTGATGCGTTTGTATTAGATTTCAAGCCCTTTGTGTTTGTTTCTCAAATATTGCTCCGTACAAGTGTATTGATGCATCGTTATTAACACATTTGGAATTATATGATACTCTGTATACACACTCAATGTACAGTGTTATCCAGTGAATATACCCATTTCATATTTGTTTGCGTATTAATCAATGTAATATGACCTATCAGCACTGTGATTGGCTGAAAGTTTTAATTGTTTCAATTGTGACGTCACGCCTAGGACAAGTACATGACGTCACAGACTTCCGCACTGGAGTCAAAACGGCGGCATTTTACATTTCGAGGTTACATGAAAATTGTCAAGTTTCACGAATAAATGCCACAAATCTTGATTATGTGATAAAAAGGATCTTACACTCGTTTTCATTTCACCTGAAATTTATGAAACTCATCGTGATTTTTTTTATTCTAGCTCGCAAAAGGCTCGCTAAATTGATAAATTCCTAGACTCGTTTCATAAATCTCATATGAAATGGAAACTCATATAAGATCCTATATATATTCATGCTTTTCAAACAAAATATGTACAAGATGACATCAAGGTAAACAAAATTATAAATAAATCAATGTTTGTTTCACTTTAACTTGAAGGCTGGACGAATTGTTGATAATGCTACCACAGACAAAAAGTGTTTTAATAGGGCATGTAAAAATGTGATTTGAGCAGTCGCCCTATTTTTCTAAAACAGTTCATAAAAAAGTATAACATTGTATATTAAGGCCCAAACACAAATATAAATAAGTCACTTATACAATATAATTATGGCTGACATCGTAATCTGAAGTAGTAGTAATAGATGTTCAACTTACCTTTTCGAGCCTGGTGGAAGTGTTGGGATAAAAAAGAAATTTGTATTAGTTCATTTGGTCAATTTTGTTTTCACAAATGTTTTACTAAAATGGTATCATCATAGACCTGTTTTATTGAGGTACTTCAAAGTGTTTTGTCTCTAAGAAAACCCAAAACACATTGTTTCAAACATAGACGAAGCAACCCCCCCCCCCCCCCCCCTCCCTGTCATTACAGTGATCACGGTATTGGTGACACAGTTGACCCCCCATTAGAGTATTACAGTGATACAATTGGCCCTTTCCTTAACAAATTATTAAAGTGATATACTAGGCCCTCCTCCCTGTCACAGTATTACAGTGATATAAGAGCCCTCAGCCCCGTCACAGAATTACAGTGATTTACTAGACGTCCCCCTCCCCCGACACAGTTTTACACAGTATTATTCCTGAGAATTTCCCCTGAAAAAGTATTGTTAGATAGAATGTTACATAAATATTGTATTTTACCATCAAAAACGGTTTGGTTCTAAATAAAAAAAAAATCTTATTTCCATTAATACATGTGTACTGGTAATATGACTGAATATGTTTTATCGATCTTAAAACACATCATATATTGTTACGATTTAAAACAGTTATATTTTAAACGATAAAACTCGGAAATCAATAGGAGTGTAAATTTAAAGGTAGCTTTATAACTTTAAAATGATAATGGTACGGACCTTAGCATAAATACAGCACCAAGGACGCAAGATGCGGGCCGTACCATATCAATCAAACAAAATAATACCATATAGAGGTACAAGTTTGTTTTGGTGTCAGCCATATTGACACTGACAGGAAGTGACATTGGATTGGTAACAATGTGCACTACTTCGTCCAAGGAAAATGCCGAGGACGTTCGTTTTGTTATGAAAAGGCAGATATCGACATGACATATAAGCTGCGGGTGCATGATTGATTTAAAAAGAATGTATGCGAAGTTTAATGTATAAATGGATTGAAGCGTCCCTAATCTACACCACAGGACACCAAGACCAATTCAAAAAAACATATTACAGGTTTATTACGAAACTTTTGATCTTTGTACGAAATTTCTATTTGATCAATTTTGATTGTCGGTGACTAAGCATAGACTTTCCAATAGGATCACGAAGAGTAGACTATGTCTTAAACCAGCTACACTGTGTTTTATAGACTACGCGCTCTATATAAAATAATACCTTAATCTGCATGTAAAGAAAAATCAACCAAAACAGAAGATGCCAATCTGGAGCTTGTTATATTCGGTTCATGTTGCCTTTCGTTTTGTGCTGGCATCCCTGTTGTCTTCGTATCGATATTGATTTTCACTTCGATTATTGTTGATGACATTCGCTCTGTTTTATTTATTTCTGTTATATTTTAAACAGCGGTCTATCGATATTCGAAACAATATGTCTACTGTATGTCGAACCTCAGAAAAATGTGCTTATACTTACAGAATTTGTGTAGGACTTAGTTTGTTACAAAACATGCAATGATTAACGCATTCTAACCCATGGAATACCTTAGTAGACAGTGATACTGGCAGGTACCAAAAACGCATTTGTTATCTGAGTGCACCAATTAGGAGACGATGAAGCCCCTACCTATACAGCTTTAGTCCAATCAATACAGTCTAATTGCAAATGACATTGGTCCTCCAATGAAGCATCATGTAAATTGAGCGTCTGAAAGGTCCGGATTTGAGTTGAATGTATTTTTATGTACATACACATTATTGTCGTGTTGAAGTTTGCATATAGAGTGTTCTCCCATCGTTTATCATTACCTATGTAAATAGATACAACATACTTTACCTGGCAGTCTTCTATGGAATACATCGACGTAGATGTTCTCTGAATAGTTACACACACTGGGAGACTATAATGAGTTAAATTAGCTACTTCCATTGCCATCGCTTCGCTGATCTGTTGACATTCTATTGGTTCTTTGTGTATCTTAGCCGGTCATTATTTTTTATACATTTATAGCATTACATTTTCTGAATTTACTCTGTGTAAATATCGGCCAAAGTACACCATGATTTAACACGCAATATTATCTACAGAAGTTTGTTTGTAATTTGTATCGTTTTTATCATTGCAACGTCGTTACCGTTACATCTGGAGTCGGCTATCGGCGCCATAGGGCAAGCTGTATTTTTATTAGTATTATAAAATTATCACAATGATCGTTTTTTCATCAATATAGCTTAAGGTTAAAAGAAACAAATATTAACTATAATTTAATTTTGCCTATCTCCCCCATAATTTTTTTTTTGGTATATATCGTATATACCTAAAACGAAAAACAACTGATGACGGAACTACTTTTTACACTTCAGAATGCAAAATTACAACGCAGTTTTTTTAGTGCAATTTTTTAGTTTACGTAAAAATTAATTAAATCTTTAACTGTGCATTTACAACGTGTTTGTCTACTTTTTTAAAATTAAATTATAAAGAATGCCCAAAATTTTGTTTTGTTATATACGGTATATACCGAAAAAAAATGGTACTTCGCGGATTTATGCAAAGTGCACAATTTCTTTTTCGGTATATACCGTATATACCAAAACAAATTCTTGGTCATTCCTTAAGTATTATTATTGAAACGTGTGAATGTCTTTTATTTTTTCGGAATAAGTGCAATAACTGAGTAAGATTAAATGATGCTGTTTAAAAAAAATTCTAAGGTAGAAAGAGAGTTCAGAGTGGAAAGCCATTTTGGCATGTTAATAGTTGCATGACTTAGTATAGTTATGAGTTAAGTAAGACATATATGAATACGACAAATTAAACAAACTAACATTAGCAGGAACTGGCTGTCCCAATCTGACAATATTGCTTCAATTTAATTGATATGCAATAAGTTTCGTTGTAACCTTAAGGTCGAAAAATGAACATAGCTCCTTCCAAATATATTGTTAATAGGCCCACAATTTACGTCATCGTAGATAAGTTTGTGTACATGTAGCTCCTCCCATATATGATCACTAATACATCAGAAAAATCACGCCACGTTTATAATTTTCTTAGCTCCTCCCATTGTGCATTTTTGACGACGTTCCGGAGTTATGCTGTAATAAACTTAACTTGGCAAAACAGTATTATGGGATGCAAAATAGTGGAGATTTTAATTACACTTGCATAATAACTATCAACGTAATGCTCATTCCATGTATTGGCATAGCAAACATCCGGGTTTAACACCACATTACGAACGCTTTGATACTACACATATAAAGTGTGGCATGTGCGCGCTCAGATAAGTGTCTGAATCTCACAGTGGAATTTTGAATATAACTATAAATGATGGCCCCCTCATCTGTTACATACCTCCCATTCATACCTTTATACTTGTTTACCTAAAAAAAATTCCTTGTGTTAATACTGGCTGATACTTCGGTTAAGAAGTACTCTTAACTGTGCAATCAAACTACTCTACTTTAATTTATACTTTGTCTTTATGGCTTTAAGAAAAAGTAAAATACTGCCATGAATACCATACTCTAGAAGAAAAAACTTGCCCATACCCATTGTAGTAAGTACAAATAAACGTTTTTCTGCTCGTCATGTTATTTGACTCGGTTTGTGAGTTTGACATATTTGCCCGGACTCTAGGGCTTGAGGCCTATTCGTGCACTGGTTATTGGTTTGACAAAGTCATTATAGAAGGTCAACTAACGAACAAATTATGTACTTGCATTAACGATGTTGTCTTTTAAGATACTTCGGAGTTGAATGAGAATTTTGGCTTTCACATGTTTCATTACCGTAAAAGCTAAGTCATATTAGGTGATGCTATACGCACTGCCTATTGAGTACACAATATGAGATAGAATTATACATCATATAAAGAGTACCGTTTGGCGCATAGAACGATATCAGATAAACGACCGCACCGCCCACAGGTTCTATAGATATAAATCATCCCTAATGTTACATTGTAGGTATACAGATGTCTATTATGTTGTTAATGGTAGGTTTGATTCCAATATAAAACAATAGTCGTGACTCGTGCCTATAAATGTAGCGATATAAACTGTGCTGGAAACTGTTCATGTATGTCTGGTTGATTGATCTTTGTGACAACTTTTTGTTTTATAATAACAACAAATGTAGTCGTTCGCAAAAGAACATGAATAATGTCAATTAATATTTCATTTCATGTTATATTCGATTGTGTATCTTCAGTACCAATAGGATGGGCATGCGCGGTTTATCATTGTTATCAAAATATTGTCATAGTTTCGCTGGCTGTCCAAATCCAATTGTATATAAGACCTTTTGCGATGAAATATTAGTAGCTTAATAGCCTTAGGAATTGTACATTTATCAGCTAAGGATACATCTGTATTTTGTAAATATCATACTACTCAGCCATTGTGTTATACGTCCTCATAACCTTAGTTTCCCTCCTTCGTGCCTTAAACCTTTGTTTGCTATCTCCGTAGCTCCTGCTGTTTTTGTTGAAACTATTGTACATTTTTCAATTAATTTATTTTAAACTGGGTGATAATTACTTGTAATTAACACACCGAAACCACGTTTAGAGAAACATTCAGTTATTGGAGAATTTTCCTTTAAGAAGTATTCAATATATCATATGACCATTACTTTAATGTTGTTACTTAACCACTGTATTTTACTTAATTTGGGTTCCTAGAATTTGAGATAGTTATAGAAATAAATACATATACCATTTAATGTAACATTTGCAACCATTCTTACTCCGATCACAAAGTCGTTCAATGAAAACCCAAGTATTTCCAAACTATAATCAGATTTATTACTTTTGCTTATTTATTTATCTATTTTTCAAACCCTGCACAGTTTTTGTCTTTCGAGTTATGTACGATCGAAATGGTTTAACTTCATGGTATTTGGGAGATTATTTTAACTGTATTAACCACCCCCACCTCCCTCCACAAAATATTTGATTACTAAAAAGAGGTTTTAGAGAAATTATTCAAAATTACTTTTGTTGGGATTTCCATCAGGAATAAAGATGACATAACCTGTCATGTTTCAAAAATCTACGAAACTTGAAAAGTGATATGGACGTAATGTTTTCACCAGATCACATTTGAGATGTGATAGTTTCAGACAAATCTATTATATGTATATAAAAATCACAGATATAAAGTAATAATCTTTTACCAAGTCACATTAGAAATTGTACTTTGTACTTCATTTTTAGAATTTAAGAGATCTGCAAAGCAATTTTACTTGCAATGATTTATGATTTCCTCCCTTTTCCTGTATTGTATACATGTATATTTCTTAAAGCTGTAAATATTGTACATTTTATCATACATTGTATCATGACCATATGTAAGATGAGCTTCATGCTCAATATGTTATCAAGAATAAATAAAGCCTTTATTATTATTATTATATATTGTAAGAACAGCGAATCTGCATTCTCAAAAAACTTCCTTTTTTCTGGAAAAAAAATATCATTTACTCAAACAATTATACATCGTTCAACATGCCAAACCCTTCCTGTAACATTAAGAAATAATATGAATTTATGACATTGTGTTGTCAAATGTTAAGTATTAATAGGTTACTGACAGTAGGACACAATGATGATGTCATTTCAAAATGAACCAAGTAATTGTTTAAATGACAATATAGTTGACTCTATGAGCAGCAATCATATCACAAGGTGGACGGACTTGGAAACTTACCTTGAGAGTAGAGGAAAACGACGATACAAACACAGAGGACAGGGACAAATCCCTGTATATATGTGCCCATGACCAAACAGAGGACACAACCAGACGATGAAACTGCTCCTCGTTAATGGTGGTCTACTGAGACTGCGGGCCTCGATCTGAAACCGCTGTGACTCCAATAAAATATTGATGTTTTTGAAAATAACCGTAGACAGGTATACGCACCGCTGATTGCTTTATACTGTATCGACGCCAGAACGCTTGTCACAATTACCTGGATAAATATCACCAGTCCTACCTGTGGAAAGTCGCTGTTTTCGGAATGGCTTTCATGTGGCTTATATTGATTGCGCCCCTCGTGACGACAATATAGGCTGTACCAATAGGAATGATCAACAACGTTGATATCACAGCAATCGATCACATTGCCATTACAATGCTTTGGTGGTTAGGTCCTGAACTATCACAGTGGTATTGATTGTGTTTTTGATACTAGTGATGTGTGACAGCTTTGTTGATGACGAGTAAGTTATATTATATATATATATGTAACCACTTTAAGGAAAGTTTTTTTGTAAAGTTTGGTGACAATCCATACAAATATACACGAGTGAATGGTAATCACATTAATGGATTTAAATAAACACTTAGAAACTGCACACTTTGTACAACTATCGCTTGTGAGGTTTTCAGTACTGTACCATATTAAGCAAAGTCAACTTACCATTTGATTATTATTTATACAAAATCTGCATGTTACAATTTCAACTAACCTGTGCAATTCTTTTAGAGTTAATTTGTAATCTGACTGCAGATGACGTTAAAAGAAAAAAAAATCAATTTTATATTGGTATTGATCAATTGACATATATACATGTTTATCGTTATACAAGCATCGGCTACCAATGAATCAGATCGATGGCCTACTGAATTGTTAAACATGTGCCTCGTATTTCTAATGATTATTTCATATGACAAAGGGTTGGATTTAACTGATGGACTGGGGGTTCCACGGCTTGCCGTTACATTTTAGATTGACTGGCATAGTTTACATGAAGAATTATTTTCAAATTAATTACTTGTTTTAGCTAGGAGTTGTAAAATTTGTAATAATAAACAGGATTTGAACACATACGAGATGCATTTTCATTCTTTTGACTTAAACGTACACTAATGAGTTCTAAATGAACGAAGTGGTCTTGCAAATGATGCAATAATTTACTTTTTATTTTTTTGGTTTTACTGCATAAACTTACTACTTTATAGACAATAGCATTTCCAAATCAGCGAATCGTTTCTCGGTATTTAAAAGCAAACATGTTTTGAGAACGTTTTAGTGTTTATCTTAAGGAGTGAAAGCTGCGAAAAGAACAATAGTATTGTATACCATTTCGCTTCCATTGATTGTCTTTATATCTCAAGCTGGTTGACCTGATGATCGACCATAAGGTCACAAAGCTGGCCTTTACTTTTGTCGCTGGCATTGTTTACATGAAAACTCGTTTTAAGAACAATCATCTGATGTAGCTAAACGTTTTAAAAAATTAACATTAAAAGGGCATTATAGGCACACTCTCCTTTTGGAGGCACGGTAGTCTAGTTGTACAATGTAGGACGTCGGGCTCAGGACTGAAGGGTTGGGGGTTCGAGTCACGGAACAGCACTGTGTTGTATCTTTGTACAAGACACCTTTCTCTGATTGTTCTAGTCTACTCAGCTGTAAATGAGTACGTGGTTGGGCTGTTCTAGAAATGGCAGCAACGGATGTATGCTCCCCATGGAGCTGAAAAATATATTGGCTGGTTGCAAAGGCCCTATAATAATTTTTGAGCCACTTTGGGACGACCTACAGCTACGAACTAGATCCTAAATCGTCACCTGAAAGTCTAAAACTCTCAATTGACCCAAATCAGTGATGTAATTTTACCGCACGCGCGTCATCAACACGGCCAATTGTAAACATCGTGGCGAAAGTAAAAGATGCATGCAAAAGTCATGACAGGCTCAAGGTATCAATACCGTTATATATAACAACAACATTTAGGTAGGAATACTACACTTGCATCATACATGACCTTTGAAAACAATTATTTACGTATAGTATTGCTGTCTTGTCCGCTAGTTGAGTCCGACATGGCACATGACGGCGTGCTATTGTTGTTATCTTCACTGCCTCACTTTCGAATCAACCACGTGACATGTATAATAGATCTGCGCTAAATTTACGCGGGGCTTCCCCGATATTTCAGTGGACAAAACTGGACATTGCAAGCAGAACTCGACTATCAAATTGCCGTGGTATAACTTTTGGAAGGCCAGAGAACGCATTTAGACCCATTTATTTTGTAATTTTTTTCCCCGACCAGCCCCTTTAACTGGAATAAAAAAATTAAAGCGATTCCAGGTAACAGAAATGTATAGTCTGTAGTGTATGGATCAATCAAGATCTTTTATTTGTGAACAGATTAATTTGCATTTAACGTAAAGTGTTTAATTTGTTTATAATTTGTCACTATTTCACGAATGCTGTAGCGATTTCGAGTGTTTATTTCGTTCACACAAGTGAAATATTTAAATTGTGGAGTCTATTACCAGTGTTTTCCACTCATTGTTCAACATTTAACTTAAAAGATTTGGGATTTCCACAGTAAAACCCCTACTATATCCTATATTTTGCAGTTTTCATCACCATGATAATTTCTCCGAGGTTTAATTGAGGATTTTAATAATATTTTTAAAGGTGAAACATCAACCCGATGAAGGTTATAATGTTCATATTATTTCAATGTATTTAACTCAGTTAAAGTTACCTGAGCAGAAACTATCCGCAATCAACTGCATTCCCAAACAGATGGAATTTTGTTCAGATGCAAATGAAGCAACGCACAGCTGCGGTTTAAGCACATATGTATTTACATAAGTAAATAATTCATAACATTTTTTAAGCAAATCATACCAGATACAGCGTACTAAAAATGGCGCAAAAGCGTTAAGTATTCCAATCAATATGCCGCGGAGCCATATTGGATCCACTACTGAACGCATTTGCACCATTTGTTTAGTTTACCGTGATCTGACATCATTTGAATAAAACACCAATGATTTAGTTTACTATCCCAGCACTTTACTAATGCATCAACATTTTCGTATATGTACTTTTTGAAATGCAAGAAATAGACAAATAATGATTTTTCTCTTTACATGTTTAGGTACAGTAAAGGAATTTTGCAACGCCCTAGAAGACTATATATAGTATTTAAAGGGGAAACCGTTAATAACATTTTGTTTATTAATTGCAAGCGTAGTACGCCATCGCTAACGTTCCTGACTTAATGTCTTGCTTTATGTATCGTTTTGAAGACTCTAACAATTTGCAGACTCAGATGAAGATCTCGGTCCAGAATCTTAGGAATGTGTAGGTGATCACTAAGGGTCCTTAACGTGACATCTGATTGAAATCCGTAACGATTTTTTCTTTGCGGGTGTGATCTCATCTCTATCAAGTACTAAGCCTGAAAAGGCAATATTGTGTGTATCGACGCTGATTCTTGCAAAACATTTGTAGATAAAAACATATGCTACCTTCATTCGAGGAAGGTTTATCAATCATTTCTTATGTTTTACGTTTTTGTTTTTTTGTCTTTGTTTGGTTATTCACGTGGTTTCCCCATATTTTTAATCGTTTAAATCGAACATGTAACATTATTCTATCATGCTTCATTGTCTCAGTGATATATTCAGATACATTTCAAACGTTGAATCTAGTGGGAAATATCGTAATAGATTTGTGTATATTAAGAAATGAATGTTTTGCATTCATGTGCGATAAGAAAATAGCTAAGACTATCAAAACGTAAAACAAAATATGCACGTCTAGGGGTTCGTAGCAATCAACTTCACGTGATGCGGTATACAAAAAAATGAAATATTCTAACTTGTTTTCAGAAGACCCATGTGAAAGGGTGAAAGCTGCTTGTATTTGAAGTTGTTAATTATATCTTATTTTATATACTTACATATATCGGATCTTTTCTAAGTACGAAATATCTTTATTACAAAATATCGTTGTTTCATTATTTCACAGCGAAATGTTATATTCGTCTCTCAGTTGTTATTTTTCCTCTTTTCGCCTCGAATAGACAAAAATGTCCGAGCGAAAAACGAAATAATGACATTGAATAAAAGTAAAATTGCCGTCATTCCTTTGAGCGAAGTTAACGAAATGTCGATTTTCATTATTTCGCAGAGTCGAAATTTAATGTTAATTTCAAATGTCTTACTTTCGTATTTTACCGTAAAAGTGATTATTAGCTCAAATTCAAAACATTACAACAAACCTGCTACATTAACTCTATATCTTTCGTTTTGCACATGTCAAACGGAACGCGAAAAGAAGATATCTAAATATCTTTTATTGCTGTTATTTCTTGGCGGAATAAGGCAATAACAATATTAATTTGCATTTCTTGTCATTATTTCACCACGAAACAACGACAGAGCAGTAATAAGTCGTTTACTTGTGTGTCGTTATTACTTCTTTTCACTCAATGTCACCTTTGTCATACAATGAGACGACAGCTAAGAGATCGATTAAATGTTTTTATTTCAGAGGAAAAACAAGTCATCCACCTTAAAACAATATTAGAAAAAAAAAAATAACGAATCGTGAAACTAATAAAGTTTCGTGAGTGAACCTGTGACTGAGGCCAAGTCATCCCTATATATATATATACTGCTTGCTTTATGAAAAGATACTTGTTACACAACCAATAAGTGTTTCTATGTGACGTTTCGATGACTTGTACGGAATGTACTATGTCACCGTTATCAGACAAATGACTAGTGAAGCGTTTGCACACAAAGGTGTAAAATATGTACGAGAAGTCCACAAATCGATATCGATTCGGCTACGCTGTAAGCGTATGTACAATAATTGTTATATATGTACCGAAATGACTCGATTCAGCTACGCTTTGTTTACTACTTGGCCACCACGTGCGAGAGTCTATGAGCCGCCACATCTCGATTTAGAACTTAAACAAAGCGTAGCTGAATCGAGTCATATGAAGGCCAAAGTGTCCTGATGGTATTGCATATATATATGGGTGACTGTGCTTTGGGTGAAAGCACAGGGAAGTGGTTATACTTAGTTTTGTACGTGTCTGTTTTTATTGTTAAAGGCAGGTAAATGTATCTCGCACACTTACAATACAGCCTCATGTCAGTATCTGAACGTATGCCCATCCCCCTAATACCCGCACGAGGTTATAATCGTATGATTGAGGCTCAGTTATCAAGACAATGATCAGATTTATCTAAAATACAGCCAAGTTCTCTTAATTCAATATTCAGTAAGGGGTTGATGTCAGGTTTACAGAAACTGCTACATGTACTCTACCCATGTTTAATGCCTTACACTGTAAACAGTTGGTAAACAATATGATAAATGTCCGTCCAGTTTCCGGCGACAGAAAAGCAAATTTACGTATAACCAGAGTCAACATTTTGAGTATACATTATAACGAGTTGCCTCCCTTTGATTATAGATTTTACAATTTAGATTCAAACAAGTCGGGTTGAATTGTAAACATATTTTTAGCATAAAGATATGTTATGTTGATCAAACCTACTTGTGTTTCTACCTGGGGTGGTTCCAATACACGGCGAAATAGGAAAAAGGTTTCACAAATACGCTGGCTTATCTCTAGTATTTTGTGTCATGATGCCTTTCCTTTTGGTTTTGACGGCTTCCCGATTTCAGTTGCCCTGTGGTACATTTATATGCCATCATACCGTGCCCCTCCAGAAAGCCGAAAACGGACACATGCGTTCCGGAAGGATAAGCGTATCCTGTAGTATCAGTGTCTGGTGTTTTACACCGAGACATAGAAGTCATAATACATTTAACAGTTGTTACAGCTAGAATACGTGTGTACTTCGAACTCAGTTATTACTGGTATGACTCATGCATTTTTCGAATTCAGTTTATGTATTGACGCAACGAAATACCACATAAGCTGATATTTCAACCATTTAATGATTAGAGTTAAAGAATAATGTCATTTTTATTTCAAATTGTCGTTTAATTTTTATTATGTGTACCTTGTGGGCTGAATTGCTAATATAGTTTCTTAAATTTATATCAATTAATGTTACTTACTTATCAGCCAACTAACAAACAAACAAACAAGAAGGAAACGGATACTTTCGTAAACATTGCATTTATCACCCAAACCTTTCGCTTTTAACAGACGTGTATATAACATGAGCATGGCTCATTAATGTCTTGCCACTTTTAAATCTCGGTACAAATTTGTTCTTCGTGTGTAAATTACCTATTTGTTGGCTCGTGTGACCTGTGATTTTACGAGGAAGTAAATACTAGGCATTCTATCTAATTACAGGCCGTATATTTCTATTGTAAGATCGGAACTATGTGCGTACCTCCACTTGATGGCTCTAACTTCCTCCTCCGAGGTATGACGCCCTGGACCGAGACGTACGCTCGATGAGGTCAGGCAGCCGGACACACGACATTGTCGGGTTACACATCAGAACATTATCGAGTGAATATTATCTTCCACAGTGCAGGTAAACCGTGTTTAAAGCTTGTTTAGATAATGGCCTCATTGCATTGCAAGTATACACTATTTTTACATAATAGATTAAACCGCTCTTAATTCCATAATCTAAGAATTTTCAGGTTATATATTTTTGTCTATGATAGGTGTATGCTAAAAGTTACGTTTCATGCCATTGCAGTTGATTCATGTAGGCATGTCTTTATATAAATACTGTCTATACACCAGAGAACTCATTGAGGTATAACATTTGTAGAAGTAAGTACGGGCAGGATAAAAATTATAAAAATATTACACCGTATTTATAATTTACTATTATTATAACGTATTTACATTGTATCAATGTTATACTTATTTACATAGTATCAATGTTATATCGTTATAACAGTGTACCAATGTTATATCATAATATTTACATTGTAAAAATGTTATTATTAACATTGATATTGTATCAATGTTATGTCATGTTTTCAGTGTATCAATGTCATACAGGATCCTATTTACATTGTACCAATGGTATACCTTATTTGCATTGTAGCAATATTGTATCCTATTTACATTGTACCAATGGTATATTCTATTTACATTGTACCAATGGTATATCTTATTTGCATTATTGTATCCTATTTACATTGTACCAATGTACCAATGGTATATTCTATTTACATTGTACCAATGGTATATCTTATTTGCATTGTACCAAAGGTATATCCTATTTACATTGTACCAATATTGTATCCTATTTACATTGTACCAATGGTATATCTTATTTGCATTGTAGCAATATTGTATCCTATTTACATTGTACCAATGGTATATCCGGTATATCCTATTTGCATTGTAGCAATGGTATATCGTATTTCATTGTCCCAATGGTATATCCTATTTACATTGGACCAATGGTATATCCTATTTCATTGTTCCAATGGTATATCCTATTTACATTGTATCTATGGCAAATCGTTATTACAGTGTACCAATGGTATATCCTATTTAGATTGTACCAATGATATATCCTATTTACATTGTACCAATGGTATATTCTATTTACATTGTAGCAATGGTATATCTTATTTGCATTGTACCAAAGGTATATCCTATTTTCATTGTACCAATATTGTATCCTATTTACATTGTACCAATGGTATATATTATTTGCATTGTAGCAATATTGTATCCTATTTACATTGTACCAATGGTATATTCTATTTACATTGTAGCAATGGTATATCTTATTTGCATTGTACCAAAGGTATATCCTATTTACATTGTAGCAATGGTATATTCTATTTACATTGTACCAATGGTATATCTTATTTGCATTGTACCAAAGGTATATCCTATTTACATTGTAGCAATGGTATATCCTATTTACATTGTAGCAATGGTATATCGTATTTCATTGTACCAATGGTATATCCTATTTACATTGTATCTATGGTAAATCGTTATTACAGTGTACCAATGGTATATCCTATTTACATTGTACCAATGATATATCCTATTTACATTGTACCAATTTACATTGTACCAATGGTATATCCTATTTACATTGTACAAATGGTATATCCTATTTGCATTGTACCAATGGTATATCCTATTTACATTGTAGCAATGGTATATCCTATTTACATTGTAGCAATGGTATATCGTTATTACAGTGTACCAATGGTATATCCTATTTACATTGTACCAATGGTATATCCTATTTGCATTGTACCAAAGGTATATCCTATTTACATTGTACCAATATTGTATCCTATTTACATTGTACCAATGGTATATCCTATTTACATTGTAGCAATGGTATATCCTATTTGCATTGTACCAAAGGTATATCCTATTTACATTGTAGCAATGGTATATCCTATTTACATTGTAGCAATGGTATATCGTATTTACATTGTACCAATGGTATATCTTATTTACATTGTACCAAAGGTATATCCTATTTACATTGTCCCAATGGTATATCCTATTTACATTGTACCAATGGTATATCCTATTTACATTCTAGCAATGGTATATCCTATTTGCATTGTACCAAAGGTATATCCTATTTACATTGTACAAATGGTATATCCTATTTACATTCTAGCAATGGTATATCCTATTTGCATTGTACCAAAGGTATATCCTATTTACATTGCTACAATGTAAATAGGTTATACCATTGGTACAATGTAAATAGGATATACCATTGTCCCAATGGTATATCCTATTTACATTGTACCAATGGTATATCCTATTTACATTGTACCAAAGGTATATCTATTTACATTGTACCAATGGTATATCCTATTTACATTGTACCAATTGTATATCCTATTTACATTGGACCAATGATATATCCTATTTACCAATGGTATATCCTATGTACATTGTAGCAATGGTTTATCCTATTTACATTGTAGCAATGGTATATCCTATTTACATTGTAGCAATGGTTTATCCTATTTACATTGTAGCAATGGTATATTCTATTTACATTGTACCAATGGTATATCCTATTTACATTGTAGCAATGGTTTATCCTATTTACATTGTAGCAATGTTATATTCTATTTACATTGTACCAATGGTATATCCTATTTACATTGTACCAATATTGTATCCTATTTACATTGTACCAATGGTATATCCTATTTATATTGTACCAATGGTATATTCCATTTACATTGTAGCAATGGTATATCCTATTTACATTGTACCAATGGTATATCCTATTTACATTGTATCTATGGTATATCGTTATTTCAGTGTACCAATGGTATATCCTATTTACATTGTACCAATGGTATATCCTATTTACATTGTACCAATGGTATATCCTATTTACATTGTATCTATGGTATATCGTTATTTCAGTGTACCAATGGTATATCCTATTTACATTGTACCAATGGTATATCCTATTTACATTGTACCAATGGTATATCCTATTTACATTGTATCTATGGTATATCGTTATTTCAGTGTACCAATGGTATATCCTATTTACATTGTACCAATGGTATATCCTATTTACATTGTACCAATGGTATATCCTATTTACATTGTATCTATGGTATATCGTTATTTCAGTGTACCAATGGTATATCCTATTTACATTGTACCAATGGTATATCCTATTTACATTGTACCAATGGTATATCCTATTTACATTGTATCTATGGTATATCGTTATTTCAGTGTACCAATGGTATATCCTAATTTCATTGTACCAATGGTATATCCTATTTACATTGTACCAATGGTATATCCTATTTACATTGTATCTATGGTATATCGTTATTACAGTGTACCAATGGTATATCCTATTTACATTGTACCAATGGTATATCCTATTTACATTGTACCAATGGTATATCTTATTTACATTGTACCAATGATATATCCTATTTACATTGTACCAATTTACATTGTACCAATGGTATATCCTATTTACATTGTAGCAATGATATATTCTATTTACATTGTACCAATGGTATATCCTATTTACATTGTACCAATGGTATATCCTATTTACATTGTACCAATGGTATATCCTATTTACATTGTACCAATGGTAATATATCCTATTTACATTGTACCAATGGTATATCCTATTTACATTGTACCAATGTTGTATCATATTTACATTGTATCAATGGTATATCCTATTTACATTGTATCAATGGTATATCCTATTTACATTGTATCAATGTTGTATTCTATTTACATTGGTTCAATGTTGTGTCATATTTACATTGTATCAATGTTGTATCATATTTACATTCTATTAATCTTTATCATTTTTACATTCTATTGATGTTATACATTATATTCACATTATATCAATATGATCTCGTATATACATTGTACCAATGTTATATCGTCTTCACAAAAGTAAAACCAAAGAAATAGTGTTAATCTGATAATGTGTTTTTACATTCAATCAACTATATACCGTAATTTTATTCAACTTATCGTACACCCAATGCGTAATTTACATTGACATTCCATCAATATTACACAATATTTACAGTATAAACTACGGTAATGATCTTTTTGTATTAATAGTGCACTAATGCTGTACCATAATCCTATCTTATCTTAATGTTATCTAATTTTTTCTCTTATTTATTTATTGATATTTCACTAGTACCAGTGTTACCATTTTTATATTGCATTTATGATTTGTCTTTTTTACATTCAACTACTTTCATATAGATATTTGTTTCCGACATTTGATGATACAATCATAGAGGTTTAATATCATGCATACACGCATATCTAACATCTGAACATTTCACTTTAATTCACTTCATATCGCTACATGTATATAAGGTTCAGATCCAGGAAGTAAACTGTGTATTATTAGGTATGTCCCTGAATAACAATCTGACTATGTACAGACCGTACAATACTTTCTGCAGAATTGACTCTATATTTACATTTTATCAAATATGTATTATCTAAGCATTTTTCCTGCTATGTTTTGCAACGTAAGATACATACGTTATATAGTGACACCGATCCACTTTCGACCAAGAAATTTTGTCAGTGTTAAACTTCCCTTCATATTTACCACCCTCCAAAATTTCAATAGCCAGAACCTTCTGGTGGTGCTAAGCAATCATGTAAACAAATTGTCGAATCCTTGTGATGGTGTGCAAAAAAGTTCAACCTACAGCGTAAGGGCTCTTGCAAGCCACTGACCTAAAATTTATTTTAAGAGAGTAATATTTAGTTAATGTCTTGCTAGCGGAGATGGCTGTTGGATTGCTCTTATAAATAGCGGGGAACGAAATTGTCATTAACATCAATATATCAAAGGAAACGTTTACACCTGGAGTTAAAATATAGCGTTATTAAATTCACGAAGTTTGAATGCTAGACGTAAGAAAATCTTTTAAAAAATACGTAAATTAACAAAATCAACAACACTGGTTTGTCTATGCATTTACTACATAAATGAGTAGATAAAACACAATGATGTCATTGTGCAATCTATATAACAGAGTCTTGTTTACGGGACTTTCAAAGCATTGGAGCACAACAACTAGAATTAGCAGTTTCAAGCACTCCAGTAATATGCCCAGAGAATTACGTGGCCAATGGTCTCTTGTTTACGTCGTAACTATATCATATCGTGTTCGCATTTAGAGCTCCATTCCACATTTTTATTCATTATTTTTTTACTGTGTTTCCATTGTGCGTCTCACATGTTATGCTGTAGTGACATTGCATTGGTTTTACATTGTACAGTTCACCAATTATATACAGTTTTTATCTTCTACTTATGTTTTATTATTGTTCAGTTTCTAAAGGTTATATCGTACTTATATTTCTCTAACATTCACCTTTCTATGTCAGGGATAGAGAAAGGAATATATATATATGTTGCTTCCCACTGCATGTTGTGACAGGCGACTTAAGTGGTAACCCCCTGCAGAGTTGGCCTTGAGCGACCACAATACATCTACTTCATCCATTGTAACATTTAGGATCTATAAATGTTCTATCTTCTTTCCTACCTTTTTATTTTCTAGTCCCTGGAATGTTCTACATTAATAAACTTTTATTAAAATCATACGTATTTACATCTTGTCAACATTCCAATTGTGATTTTTTTGTGTTAGTTACATTGCATGTATTATATAACGTTATACTTTATAACGTTAACGTTATCGATGACTGACCTTTAAACGTATGCTTTCGATGTGAAAGTGTCATACAAATATGATGTTATATATAAATACTTAAAAGTATATCTAACGTCTAAATATTTCACTGATATTCACCGGCTATTTTTGATCATTGTGTTTGTGATTCAGAGTCGCTGATCCTATCTAGGAAGTAAACTGTGCAGGCCCGGGTAGTTTCCGGAATACCCCAGTGTATATGTACCTGTTGATGGAATTTTGTTTATCACAGACACACATCGACAGTCTGATACGCACAACATCCGGACATTTGAACAAAACCCTTCCTGTTCTGCTTAAACGTAAGTTACTAATGATATCAATCGACAGGGAAACATGTAAATATGTGCACTCTTCAAATGAAAAGTATGTACTGTATAACAGACAATTTTCAAGATGGTTCTATTTTTGACCGTCTGCGGAAAGGTGAGTTCACATATTCAACACTTCCATTAAAATGTATAGTGACTGATAATTAAAATGTTTCTTTGAAGAACAAAAAAGGTAAATCAAATCTGTCATACATCATGTTCCATTTTATTTCTTCTTTACAATCGATTAAAACCTTCGTGCAGAAATATTGCCGGTAATTGAACAATATGTATGTTACACCTTTCTTCTCTGAGCGCGAAAGCCATTTAGTTTGTTATACATTTTACGTGTAAATATTGAGTCATTATCAGATGTAGCTATGTTGTTGAAACAATGCTTATATTCATAACATATTGGCAACATTAAGATTATTTCATTTTATTTATCTTTTTAATTATTAAAACAATTGGATTGGACATGCTAAACATACGCTAGTTCTCCCCTTTATATGTGATATGTAATATAATAAACTGGTAACACAACGTCAACGAACAAGGAAATGTTGCGATAAAAACCGGGGTACGAAACCAGTTGTTTCGAAGTACTTGATTTGGCACATGTTGTGAAGTTTTCCGGTAAATCCGAGAGCGAATATAGATAATCAACGATTTAAGACACGTGATCATGTTGATATCAACAAACTGAAATATCATAGTTGGTTTTCTGGTTATGAAGATGACAGTACACGTTCTGCAACATAGACTGATTTATATAATGCAGAGAACCCTAGCTACGACGGATATCAGTCAACAAGTTGCATGGATCCCTGAGAATATCCTGATACAGAACGGGATCAAGAGTAAACTGCAGAAGTAGGAGAAGCTGGTATAATACTGATAAAAGAAAGTTAAAGGAAGTGAACATAAAATCTGCACGTTTTGGCTTAGAATTTGGTAGTGAAGGCCTATTATTTACTTATTATGTACATTTGTGGGGAAAAGGGTGTCTATTGTGTGTTGAGTTTCATACTATTTCCCAAACTACTTATGATATAGCGACAACACATCATAATCACTCTTGTTGACCGCGCACTTGGGGTCTGAAAGTGGGAAATACCTGGAGTAGCCGGAGAAAACCCACGTGGTCGGGAAGGTGACCACATACCTTTGCACGTCCGAATCGAACCCCGGCCGACTTGGTGAAAGGCAAGTGAGATATCCACCCGGTCACTCAGGAATTATTGGGTAGAAGTCAGATACCCAACTCTGCCCACCAGACCTATCTCTTTATGTCAGCTGTATACCTAGTAGTATTCTAGACAAAGAACGCTATGTTAAAGTTTAAAAAAAAAAAATGTACGTGCGTTCCACACACTGTCATCAAATTCAGACTTCGACACTTAATAACAAAACTTTTGTTTCAACAAGATATGTTGAAAGTCATATTCATGCTTACAAAACGAACGAATGTAATATTTAAAAAACCTCAAGGTATATAAAAAAAAAACATTGCATTTTATTAGTATTAAATGAATATATACATTTGATATAAAAAATATGAATAAAAGGAAACTAATAAAAACACCTGGTTTTCCTATTAGTATCAGTGTCAATGTTGTACTTCATCCTCATCTGGATTGCAGGTCTCTTTCAACAGACTAGAGTATCATATAGGGAAGAGTTAAGAACAGTCGAGTAGCGCAGTCGATAACGGACTCGTTTTTCACCGAGACGGCGAGAGTTCGACTATCCATTCACGTCGGTTGTCTCCAGCAGGTTCTCCTGTTTATCTCCATCAAGACCCCCTATAGGCTACACTATGTGCCAACAAGAGGGATTCATATAAGTACATAACACTTGTTTTATGAGTGTTGCTAAGTTATTTGATGTTACATTATAGCATACATTTACAAAATAGTTATTAACGATTCTACTTCAAATTCTATAACGTTTCAAAATATCAAAGCGGCAATTGCCCCAGTTGTAACACAAATTATTTTCGAAAAAAAAAATGATCACAATTTACCTTCGATGAGTGGATGACATCCATGTTGACAGGTTCAAACTGTCGCTTAGAAATGTAAAATCTATTTCAATCAAACTTTTAGACGAAAAGAATTATGGGTAAAATGTACCCCAGTATGATACATTCGGCTCCTATCCATACAAACCTAAGTAACATCCTTTTTGTCGAAGTAACACGGAAGGTTTTGTAAAAAAAAACCCATTAAAGTTTAGCGATGTATACTAAATAGACGAAAACAGATAGAGTTGTATGAATGGCTCTGACCTGGGTGTATTGTGATATTATCTTTACCAAGATGTGTGCTGATTTAGACCGAACACCGTCCGTCTCTCTCCCTTTTGTCATGACATGTAGTCTTGTTTTGCTTCATTTAATTTTTTTGTTTTGATTTTTAGGAATGTTAAACTCCTCAGCTGTATTGTTTAACTGACAATCGGATAAACCATGGCCGCCACAGCACAGATAAGTTGCCACGCCGGACATTTTGTGTTTACTTTCTTGCGTAAGTAAATTATTCTTTTAACTGATATATTATAGGTGTACAAAGTTGTCTATATCAGGAATCCTACAGCTTCAGAATATTTCGGACTGACATGCGTCCACACGATAGATACAACAGGCCTTCAACTCATGGTATAGCCACTCAAAGGTTCATCCCTCTGATAAGTCGCATTTTAAGAACCTTGTCAAACATCGGATTTAGATATGTTCTTTAGATATATTAAACTTTTGATTACTAAAATGGTATATAAAACTAACATTTTGTCAAATAATTATTATGAGGCATTACGGCAAATGTTAAAAAATACGGTTCATAGGCACAGTAACAGATCAATGTATTTTGCGACCAAACTGAGTACTACGAAGTGATATGTATTAACTTAAGTTCATTTATATGCCTAGGTCATCCGGAGCTTCATTTCTCTTTAACCAGCTGTAAAGCATGTCGGCCACACATACAGATGAATGTTGCCCTAGAAAACGTCTAAGATCGTAGTTAGGTTCCCCAGTAATGTATTCTAGTAGTTTGTCAACAAGAAAAGAAGTCTTAGTGACTTTGATTGATAAATGATCTTTACATGATATGCCATTACATAACATACTGTGGTATTATAAACGAGCTAGATATAATCTAAACGTTATACATGAAAAGCACTATAATATGTATAACATGACATTTATAACAACGCTAAATATTACTAAAAAAAAAAGTTCATATAAAATCAATTTATGCAGCATGGTCACACGGCCCTTGGTTTTACATTCAAATACCGTTTAAGTATGTGACCAGAACGTTTTACTATGAAATTTGTGGTTTTACAATGCAACAACCATCATGGTTTGAAGTTGGTTAACTGTTTTTTATGAAGACAGCGATCTGGATGCATATTATTGCCGACGAAATGGAAGATAACGGCAATATATCACATTTTAATAACTCAAGTACAAGTTCGTATATCAAATTACGTATCTTATTTCAGATGGTTAAATGAAGGAGGTTGATGATTTGGTTGACTTCACAATATGTGGGTGTGTGTGTGTGGGTGGGGGGGNGAAAATAGTGTGTAAAACTTTCAAACTGTAAACGACTTGTGGATTGGCTATGATCATCGACAGAAAACATTCTACACTCGTTTCTTCGTCCTTAAATCTGATAATTATGTAATACGAATAGCAGAAAGTTGAGAAGTGACTATCACAAATACAAACATACAATGCAATGATATTGAATTGTCTACATATTCTCATCAGTAGCCAGTCACCACAAGGCTGATAATAGGAATGACTCATATGGGCAGAAAAGACCCAGTCCTTTTATCTAGATGTAGTGTAAGCAAATATATCTCAAATTACCTTTTTTATAAACTGTATTATCATACATATATAATCCAAACAATATTTAAATGCATAACTTTTTTTTATGTTTTATGTATTAAATACACCACACAAATGCACCAATACAAATTATAAATAACCCTTAAAATTAAATGTGTATTTATGTTCACACATATGTACCATGTGATATTATCTGACCTCATTGTTTACTCCCGAAATTAGAAAGCATTGTTTTGATATTTACTCACGATATCGACATCAGTGACCTGGGATATTGTGTTTCTTTATCTAGTCATCAGCTGTCGTTGCTGATTGATATGTATCTAAATTACTACTTTTGTACAACTGCCAAGTTGTCATATGGGTGACAAGTTTAAGTTATTAAAATCGCGTTAATTGACACAGCAAAAATAAAGCATACTGTTGAATCGCAATCTCAAAATTACATGAATTGCATTCCATACTTTCACTTAGTAAACTACAACGCGAAAGTGCATCTTTTGTCTGCCTTTGACAGAGAAGGTAAGGTCAACGCATAGCGAAATAAGTGATATGATTTTGTAGTTAAAAGCAATGGAAAGGCGAATCAAACACTGGCCGTATTCCCTTTTAATTGCCAGATAGCATACTTATAGAGGGGTAAAAATAATGGTATTGCCTTCATTAGATCTAACATCATAATAGCAGTAATAAAAACTTGCATGACCAAAGTCAACTTACATGTGAAGCTTGCGCTTCTTGATCATCTTGGGTTACCAACGCTCGGCTACATTCGCATTAAAACTGTTAACGTAGGGAGTACCACAATCAGAGATAATATCGCGCCTATTTAGTCGTTTCCTTACCTATTACGCGATGCTCCACGGGGTGTCTCGTGTGCTCCACCCATTGGGAGAACTTGCGGCACAGAAAACAGATGTACAGAGTGATTGGTCCAATACGTCAGTGTAGATGGAACCATACGATTTCTATTTCCGCAGCTTTCAAACCAGCTAATCTGACCGTGAGAACGGTTAACACTGTATTGGTGTACAGGAAGAACATCTAGAGATTTACACAACAAGAGAGTTGTCATGTAGTGTTCTAATGTATTTATTATAATTACGCTCCTACATCTTGACATTCTCAACTTTGTAAGTATAACGTTTTCAATAATGTATACTTGATTATTTTCAATACTATGATAAATCAAATTTCCATTAAATTGAGCTTGTACCAATTTGTTCAATTCAATTTTAATCAACGGTGTCTTATAGTATGTTAAAGAAAACTTCTATAACGTCAGTCAACTACAAAATTAGATATTTGTCCATTTATGTGTTTCACCAATAACCTGCTTTTTGGTTTATCCAATCATGTAAACGACTACGTTAATACCACATACATAAGCTACTGATCGAGTTTCTATAAAACGATTTTTTATATAATGTCAGACTATTTCTTGTGATAGGAACTTCATATTATTTATATATTTCAACACAGCATGTAACACTTCCACATTTTTAAATATTTAGACAGAAACACCAAAGAGAAAAGTCATGACTTTGATGACGTATTGTTCTCTGTGACATAAAAAATATAACAATGAATGATATCATGCATGTCATGCATATCGAACATGCGCAATGGTATCATCCAATAAAGTAACAGACCCTGTATATGAAACGAGAGTTTTATTGTATGATTTGTTTGGAATGTCCTCTTTCGAGTTCGATTCATACAATACCTTTTGCTTTCTATTAAATGCTAGTTTAACAATTGGTAAGTGTGATCTCACTATTAAACCTACCTATATATTCGCAATCTTTCTGTGCAAACCTCTGTTGATTCTTACACACGAATACAGCGATCGCGTCGTATTTATTTACAAAGAAGTAATGTGTTGAATTGTGAGATTATGGATAGACATGCATGTGACGTGCCAGTTTCAATTCAAACATTAGTAATACAGGTAAGCTAGTCAATGTAAGAATGTATATACATGTAGCAGGGTTTATGTTCCTAATTTGATTGTAGTCAATTTGGTTTTTCAGTCGCACTTTGTGTCCTTAGTAATGGTGGAATTGCATTGAGTACGACCATACAAGCAACGAGGACTTCAGCATACCTGTCCAGTGGATACGCGACATCTGTAGTCGCATCTGATGTTTCTAGCTCGGACTTTCAATCAGTAGAATTGTCACCAACTCCAAACATATCGGATGACGAAACATCTACTGTCACTTCATCAACTTTAGATAGCAGCTCAGGTTCAGTACTGACGACTCCATCCGCTATAGTCGAAACAAGTGTGATTTTAGTTACGTCATTCAGCTTTAATTATACAGCCACCACCCCTACAGTAGGGACTCCAACGACTGATACGTTTATCAATAGAACTGATGTTACTTCCTATTTGTTTTCCACGTCATCTAACGACCTAACTAGCACAGCTGGTATATCCTCATCAATAGGTACTGCTTCTGCACAAACGTCAACCCCTATGGATCAGCTAAACAGTTCAATTATTTCAACCGATTTGGGTTCGGATTTGTCGTCTGCTATAAGTCCCTCTACAACTTACCTGGCCATTGAGTCATCTCTATACACGGAAACCCCGACTGTGACAGACTTGGTTCTAAGTAGTTCTAGGTCATTTGGGGACATAACGTCTGCGCCGTTCATGGTAACCTCTACGTCATTAGCTTCAGAGATGACGGAAAGTTCGCTGCAACCTTCAACGGTGATGAGCAATATAAGCTCTGTAGTAAACGAAATAACTGCTACATTGACCAGTACAACGACAGACGGAACTTTAACTAGCACATATACTCCTAGTTCGTTATCGCCAAGTTCAAGCCCGGAGTTCACCTCGTCATCTGAGGGATTATTTATCACTGCAACTACGCACGCTAATACACCTGTATATACCTCCACACAGCATGCTACTACGACCACTTCAGCATTTCTCAAGACGTCATCGGAAATCAGTCAAACGGAACATGTAACTTCTAGTTCTTACTCCTCTTACTCCGCATCGTCTTCGTCGGTGGTTATTGCTCCAACTAGCACTTCTGATGCTGGTTTAATGTCATCGACGATGTCTGTAACACCTGACCCTAATATCCTGGCAGAGTTGGACAATCTCCGAAGTAAAGTTCAAGGTTTGTGAATATTTATTATACATATCATATTATTATGATATTGCTAATGCTGTATAGTATACACGGTGAAATCTGTTTAAGTTTAAAACAGGTTTTATGGACCGTCACCTGGGATTATCGTGCATTTAACTTCCGTTTTGGTGTTAGTATGCTGTAAACCATAATACAGTTTTACCTGTGCAAGGTTTATATGTACAAATACAGGTGTGTACGGAGACACAGGTATGAAACATTATCTACAACGTCAACACTTGGTTTATGTCAGCTGTCCTGACCCATTTATAAGAATTTATTAAATAAGCCCCAACGAGGTCTGCCTGTTCACCAACTACACCTATCATATACCGCTTGTTTACCTGTGTCTATTTATATGTTGATACTAAGCATGTAAGTGGATTCGTCCTTTTGTTAACATTAAGGTCGAAGGCGTCGTAACCGCCTTAAAATGACATAGCAATTCGAGGTGAATATAGCATGAAATTGTTCTATAATAGAACACGTTTATCGCGCTGTCATCCGTGCTGATTATATCTGTATGATTATCTTTATCATGACTTTTTTGTATACAAAATCAATTTACCACAAACATAATAATCATTTTGATAACATATTCATTGTATATAACGTGTATACAAATTATTACTGTTAATATAATATTAACAACTATATCTTATCTAAAATCGAGCAAACAAGGTTATTATTTTCAGAAAACATAACGTGAATTGAAAAATATAATTAAAGATAGCATGGATTTAAACGATTGATATCGTTATGTTATTTAACTCTATAAATACTAATAAATAGGATCGTAAATTTTCAGAATTAGAAGCCACCAATAGTGGGTTGCAGACAGCGACTATTGTGCTGGCCATAGTTATCGTGTTGATAATATTGGCGGTCATTGGACTTGTGTATCTACGTCGACGGTAGGTATTAAAGTGAAAGTATAGTGAGTGGTCAAAATATTTAGTCAAAGTCTGCAGTCACACTATATAGTATAGTCTGTAGCCACTACGTTTAGTCATCGTATGTAGTATTAGTATATAGTCACATTCTGTAGTTATAGTATATAGTCACATTCTGTAGTTATAGTATTTAGTCACATTCTGTAGTTATGGTATATAGTCACAATCTGTAGTTATAGTATATAGTCACATTCTGTAGTGATAGTATGTAGTCACAATCTGTAGTGATAGTATATAGTCACAATCTGTAGTTATAGTATATAGTCACAATCTGTGGTTATAGTAAATAGTCACATTCTGTAGTTATAGTATATAGTCACAATCTGTAGTTATAATATATAGTCACAATCTGTAGTTAGAGTATATAGTCACAATCTTTAGTTATAGTATATAGTCCCAATCTGTAGTTATAGTATCTAGCCACATTCTGTAGTTATAGAATATAGTCACAATCTGTAATTATAGTATATAGTCCTAATCTGTAGTTATAGTATGTGGTCACAATCTGTAGTTATATTATATAGTCACATTCTGTAGTTTTAGTATATAGTCACAATTTGTAGTTATAGTATATAGTAACAATCTGTAGTTATAGTATCTAGCCACATTCTGTAGTTATAGTATTTAGTCACATTCTGTAGTGATAGTATTTAGTCACATTCTGTAGTTATAGTATATAGTCACAATCTGTAGTGATAGTATATAGTCACAATCTGCAGTTATAGTATATAGTCACATTCAGTAGTTATAGTATATAGTCACAATCTGTAGTTATAGTATATAGTCACATTCTTTAGCTGTAATATGTAATCATGTTATCCTGTCACAATGTGTCGTCATAGTATGTTGTAATAGGCTGTAAAATATACTGAAGTCAGTCACAATCATGTATTAATTCTGTAGTCAAAGCATAAAATCTGTCATTAGTTATTGTCTATTTGTATACATTAGGCGAGAAAATTGATAGGATTTTTCATGATACACGATACCTGTTATTCATTACATTTGGAAACAGATGTTGAGACCTTCCCTACAATTAGCTGCGTTTTAAAGTAAAGCCATACTTAAGATCTACCCCAATCAATTATATATGTGATGTATATCGAAATATATGTCAACATGGTATTCTTGTTATGATTCTCAACATTTTAGTGACTTCCCACTGTTTACCTTTAATTGCTCAAATTTATATAAGACAGTATATTGACTCATTCTTCAACATAATAAATTGATTCATTTATCTTTGTTTGCAATACACTCTTTCTCTGGATTATCTTCATTTTGAACATATATTTCTGCCCGAAGTCATCTTTGAGATTTATGTTTGTTTGAGATATACTCCTGTGCATTTTCGTTATTGAGGATTCACTCCTTTCGTAATTGATTACGTAATATCAATATCGATTCCTGTTTAATTGTTTTTTTCCTTTAAATACATTTATGTTTTGATTCTGTTCTATAACTTAGTACGAACGGAATATCATCTGATATCTTAGAATATTTAATGGGTTGTAATGTTTGTAGGCGAATGGCCAAGCGGAAAAAGAACAGATTTGCCGGGATTGATGCTGACCTCACCACGCCTGTGGTAATTTTTTTTTTTATTAAAGCAGTGAATAGTTAAGTGCAAGCAGAAACGTTAAATTATACATGAATTGTTCTCCAGTTAGTTATGCTTATTTAAATAGAATCCTTGATGAGATTTCCTCTGATGGCGCATAAAAACAATAACTTTGATTTCGTTCGGTTGTCAACTAGCTAGTCTTTTGCCTGTACCACCAATGCAATGCTTGCTTTGTTCGTAATGTGTGATATACTGTTTGCAATTACAGATCCAACGTCCCAAGCTGGCTTTTGGTCAAAGCGGGCATGCAGACATATTTGGTGGGAGAATCAGCACGGCAACATTAGATGGCAGTGAAGAAATGTCGACGTTAGGGACGTTTTCTACCCTGCCTAAATCAACTGCAGTATGCAACAATAATATGGATACCCCTTCGTAGTTCGTCTATGTTAATGCACACGAAGTGAAAGTTGCAGAAATAGGCGGAGCCACTGACTAAGAAAATACAACGTCCTGTGGTCAAATAGGAATGCTGTGTATATTTCGCCGTTTGCCCACAGCCTCGTGTTCAATAACTTTAATAACGAAAGTAGACAAAGGTCCCCATTACGTTTGCTATGTTACCTATGTGCTTTGTGATGCAAGCTTGTCCCTGACACTACCTACATGCATTCCCTGTTGTGTTCTACAGATCCTGGATTCATCAGTGCTTGAGGAATGGTTCATCAGGTAGATAGCAATTTGTGATGACTGTGGATGAAAACCATGTAATATGATTATTAAATAGACAGTTATATAGACTGCTTAGGTATACGGTACTATTATTTTCTCGTGTAGAGATAAGGTACTTACTATACAGTCGGTACATTCTCGTCATGATATGGAGAAAAGGTTCCAACTGCATGAACAGTCTCTCCGTGAGGTACTTACTGTACCATAAGTTTCTCTTCGTGTAGAGATAATGTACTGTACCAATAGATTCTATTGGCACAGTACATTATCTCTACACGAAGAGAATCTATTGGCACAGTACATTATCTCTACACGAAGATAATCTATTGGTACAGTACATTATCTCAACACGAAGAGAATCTATTGGTACAGTACATTATCTTTACACGAAGAGAATCTAGTGGTACAGTACATTATCTCTACACAAAGAGAATCTATTGGCACGGTACATTATCTCTACACGAAGAGAATCCATTGGTACTGTACATTATCTCTACACGAAGAGAAACTTATGGTACAGTAAGTTTCTCTTCGTGTAGAGATAATGTACTGTACCAATAGATTATCTTCGTGTAGAGATAATGTACTGTTCCAATAGATTCTCTTCGTGTAAAGATAATGTACTGTACCAATAGATTCTCTTCGTGTAGAGATAATGTACTGTGCCAATAGATTCTCTTTGTGTAGAGATAATGTACTGTACCAATAGATTCTCTTCGTGTAAAGATAATGTACTGTACCAATAGATTCTCGTCATTTGGAGATAAGGCACGGCGCCATTAGATTCTCGTCACGTGAGGAAACACATTAAAATAATATTCTAACAACTTACTTTGTAGTAGATCTGAGTTGTACATCATGCTAATTTGGTCATTGCATGGAATTAATAAATGTGTAAACAGTACTGTCAGTGTGCTCACAAAATGGGTTAGTGCATTATTTACAATTGAAGTAGGTAGCTCACATTTGTAAAGGAGAGCTGCTCAATATTGATTAAGTTTTAAAAAGAGGGGCGTTTAAAAAGCTTAGCATTGTACATACAATTATAGTTAGGTTGATATTTATATATTACGTGAGTTCATGTGAAAACAGTCCAATCAAACATTAAACCGATAGGTTCAACTAATAGGCAATGAGATTTCTTTGGTCTTGCATTGTACCGTATACAAGGTAATTGTCGCTAGTGCCTAATTTTCACTCTATTCAACTTTCCTGTTTTACACTATTGAATGATCCGCTGGTAGGTAATCAAACAAGGAAAGGTTGATATACCAACGGGCATTCTTATACAAGAGTTTTATCATCACAATTCAACTTATTTAGAAATAGCCTAACGTTACTAATTACATCTTTTACAAATTTCAATTTCGTGGATTATGTGTATTCAAATTACTTATATTGCTTCATGAATGACAATTCTGTTACTAACAGGTTCTGGAAAACCACATCCAGACACTCATCAAAACTAGTCACTAGCCTCAATTAAATCTCAAGCACGTGTGGAGTCCTGTTATGGATTAATATATATTGATTATTTTCAGTTATACAAGAAGTAACTCAATACTTCGGTTTTTATATCTGAGTTGTGATCATGCCGTTTAAATTGAACTAAAAGCCCATTTGTTTGCTTGATTATCTTAAATATAAAATATTCCGGAATTTTTCAAACAGTATTGATGTAGGAAGTATGTATCTAAAGATAAACACAGACACAGCTGTTCATCAGGACCACAACATATTTACTGTAAAATCAATAACAAACATCTCATTAGCAAATTCGTGTATCCATATGATTCAATATGAGTACAATTCACCGTGTATATGAACTATCAAGGAAGTTTTTTCAAGTTTGAAAACAAATATTTTCGTTCCTACTATTTGTTATCATTTGAAAAGACCTAAAAACATTTTTGTGCACAATACCATATTCAAAATATCGTGATACAGTGATAACGAATGTTTTAGTTTATATTTTCTCAGGATATCTGGTATAAAGTAAGGATTTTAACGTGTGTAGTAAAGAAAACAGTTGAGGAGGTACACACCCGGAGGTGAAACATTTATAAACCCAAATACCGTATAAAAGGTCATTTTTGCGATGGAATACTTTTCGTGGTATGTGGAATCAGTCACTGAATTAATTCAGTCAGAGAAACATATCATTTACTCACATAAGGATTGAACCGAGCGTGAACATTGCAAAAGTGCCATATAATCCTTAGTTTTACTTTTTATATTTTACGTTTTTATTGACCTTACAAAGATATCCACTTATATTTTCGATATCGAAAGGCCTTTGTCGTCAGTGTAAACGAAATTCTCGGAACAGCCTTACTTCACCAAAGTGTTTATCGAGCCTGGCTAAGAAACTTCAAAATGACGCTGATCCAATTTCGTTTATAGCACTATGAACGCAATGTCTTATGGTAATGCTTATAGAAGAACTTGCAGTGGAAATGTAAATATTCCAAGTAACGTAATGAGCAATTCATTCCGTTCAGTAAAAGGGTTGTTATATCCTTCGAAATAAACTGCATGTTTTTTTCTGTACTGCTCTTGTACTAAAGTTAAGTTTAAGATGATGTATCCTCCACTTTAACCTGTGAGTGTTGGGGATTAAATAAGTTTGAGTCAACAACGCCAGAATCCGTAACGAGCTATAACTACACAGGTTATATTAAGCTTAGCTATTGGTAATAACCTGCCGTTTTCTCACCATTATGTAATTAAATGTTATAAGGAGGTGAGATCGATATTTGATGGTATACAACTACACTGAAGACGCATTGTAAGTATATAGTTGTATGTAGGTGTGTATGTATGTATGCATGATGTATTTGCATGCATGTGTGTTTAGGTATGCGTGTGTGAGTGTGTATGAACATTATAGGTTTGGGAGTACGTGAGCGCGTGCGTGTATTATGGAATAACGAATAACAATAAATCTCCTTATTTTGATATGATCTTATATATCTATTTGCCATGTCTAGGATAAGCTTTATCTTTGTAAATATATGTACATTATTTTGTACTTAATGTCATTAAACCATAAAACAGAAGAGCACTTGTAATACTACATATTACTGTTATAAATATAAACTTTATTTATTTTACAACAATTATGAAAGAAGTTATTTCAGCTTATATTAATCACTCTTGTTGGCCCGGTTGTAAGCGCGCGGGAGGTCTTATTGTGGGAGGAACACGGAGTACCCGGAGATAACCCACGTAATCGGGCAGGTGACCCCATACCTTTTCACGTCCGATCGGGGAATCCAACCCCGGCCGCAATGGTGAAAGGCAAGTGCGCTATCCAACGCAACACCCGATCACCTATTTAACACATTACTGTTAAGGCATATGGAGTACATACGAATATATATGAATATTTAATATGCTTTACATGTTACTGCAACAAGTGTATGCCTTTATTAGGGAAATTAACAGATGATAAAGCTGTACATTTTGACTATATTGATTTATAAACCGTCCTAATTGCCAATAAAACGAGCGAGATATTTACCGAAGCTGTTTGTCGTTTTTTCTATTTATTGCCTCAAGATGACGACGAAGATAATGAATGGATACATCAACAAATCCGCCATATTACCATAACAGCAAAAACAGTTATGATTACTGATTCAGTTAAAAGTACATTCGTCATAGGAGTTGTCAGTACTGAAATTCCATTTACAATTTAGCCTGCAAGATAACTCCACCCTCAATCAGGAGAGAAACAGAGACATGAGAGAGGGTTTCCGTATCAATTTACAGTTTCCTAATGTGCATATTTCAAATATTCTCAGGTATCAACAGGCGTGCCAGACAGATAAATGTGTGTAAGTATGATACAGGTATACAACTGCCGATCAGTTAAACAAGTGTCAAATAATTATAAGAGTGTCAAGCACATATTAAAGTATAGAAGAGATATACGGGAAATAAGAGTTTATTTGGACATAAAACGCATGATGTTCTAAACACTGCTCAACGTACCCAAACTAAAACGCCAGACATCTTTATGGCCGGGGAACTTTCAAGTTAATGTTTTATGAGTTTCGTCTAAGTTGTAAATTAAAAATCGGTGACATGTGTGACCCTATTACCCATTGATGTTCAAGTAATAGCATATACCCCAAAAGATTCCGGAATAGAATAAACCTCAGTTTTACCTTAAGTTAAAGTTAGCACCATACATATAAAATGGTTTTCATATAAATCGTTGCATGTAGTACAATGTATTTCTCAAAATGTCCATGCTTAAGAAATTTTAACTGTAGCCGAAAACTCTGCTTTGTAAAAACAAACGTTTTCAAACCAGATTCCCGTTTATAAATGACACTTGAATGGAAGACAAGAAAAAGGAGATAGTGATATAGCTATTCAACATGACGTGTGCTTTGTGATTACTTAATGCTTTTTGTGATATTTACCGTATTGTATAATTTGTCTGCGTGCCCCGTTTATTTACAGCAAGCTGGCTGTCTTTTGTGTCCAGAAGAAGGATGTAGGTATAACAGTTGCAATGCGAGAGCTTCTATAAAAAAAAAAAGGTCACTGTCTCCCTCAAAGCTACCTGTCTCGACACTCGTCCGGCTATTTCCTTCATTGAAACACTATTAGATAATAAAAAAAGGTTTTGGAGGGTAGAGGGAGATAAATCTTTGCTAGTACGTGAAACATAGATGTATTCCGTTTCGATTACCGCCCCTTGCACAGGTAGAAATAAGTACTCTCCCGAAGTTTTACGACTTATATTATTTGCATTTGGAAACTAGTATATTCAGCACAAATCAGTAGCAACAACAACGTCATCTAAATGATTATTGTCATCACTTTCATCATCATCATCATCATCATCATCATCATCATCATCATCATCATCATCATCATCATCATCATCATCATCATTATCTTAAAAAATCAACATCATCGACTACAACTTCATCATCAGCATCATCATAGTCATCATCATCATCATCATCATCATCATCATCATCATCATATCATCATGATCAAAATAATACCTGACAAGAAAAGTTGTGAATCTTTCCTCGCTATGGGCGTTAACATTGGTCTGTGTACATTTATGGCTGCGGTTTACATGAGGTCCTTGCCGATTGATTTTTACAAATAAATCTCTGTCTAACCAACGATGGATGTAGTTCAAACTACACGTCCCTAAAATAAAGGATGGCTGATATGTATGCATAAAATTCTAACGTGGATTC